TATTGATAATGATATTGTTTATGCTAGATTAGAATTTGTGTAGATAATCTAACTCTTATTTCATTCTATTTTACTTGACAACTATTGAAGAAAAATATGCAACTGACAAATGTCCACTTTATTCCAGAATCCAGAAAGAGGAACTAATAATGTATTTCATTGTACAAAAAAATTAATATATGCAAAAGATTCATATTGTACTGGCGACTTTTGAGTGCGTTTATGAGGAAACTATAATTTCAATAAGCTCGTGCTATGTGCAGTATGGTTCCACAAAATAAACTGTGTATAATTATAGTGTCATTTTATAGCTCTTAGATCGAGCACATTCTTTCTCAGGTATGGAATACTGGTGAACCAAGAGGGTGGGATTTAATATAAATTGTCTTGCTTTCACGTGAGTGGCAGCTGCTCTGCCTGCATCTCCTACACTAATTTTGCCTAGAAGTGTTACAGTGCACCGGGAGAACTTGAGATTTTCAAGTATATTTCATGTCAAATGAAGGAAATACTCTCCATTACGTTTGATATTCCTTTTGTATCCATTTTAAAACAAAACTTAACATTAAAAGATAATTGTATATTTTCACTCTTTATTATCATACTTATGTAGTAGGACTGCCCCATATGGTGCATACAAAACTGTTTATAGAGGGTGTGGCATGTACTGATCAGCAGTAAAGTGTCAATAATAATTCCACAGTATGCTGGAATTAACACTATAAATCTCTGTTGCTTTTATATATGGCATTCTGCAAATCCATGATAAATAATGTTATGTTCTTTAGTTACTGAATAATATCTGTGTCTTTTGAATCCATTTTTAGTTTATCACATTCTTCTATTCATGGTCCACTGTCTCTGTAATAAATTGCAAATCATAATTTTTTCCAAACAATTTCACCTTGCAGCTCCATTTGTCCTCATGTGTCCCACAGTTGTATTTTACATTCCTTAATTTGTTTAATATGTTGGTAATGTCATTTGAAGAGGTTGGTTCATGCAGAATAGTTTCCTTTAATGGTCTACTCCGTTCAGCAACAACATGCGTCACTCACTCCCAATGTGTGTAGCTTTGCAAAACATCACTTTAAAGATCGCCTTAATATAACAATCCATGTCGTTTATTTATTTATTTATTATTTTTTGTTTAAACTGCATACCTTGTAATGAAGTTCTATTGTCCTGGTTCAATCAATGGTCTTAAAAAAGCCACTTTGCTGCATATCCTTATAGTCCAGTGCTTTCCATTACGTTATATGTACAGAGGTACCTCGGTTTAAGAGTTTAATCTGTTCCAGGAGACAGCTCGTAATCCGAAAACTCATAAACCGAAGCTAATTTTCCCCATAAGAAATAATGGGAAATGAACTAATCTGTTCCTGACTACCCAAAAACCTCACTTCAAACTAAATTTTATATCTAATTCATCTAAATCTGCACTACAAAAGTATTTTCAAGTTATTACTTACCCTTGCTGATGACTGCTGTTGGCGTATGGAAGATAGTGAGGAGGAGGAGAGGTGTTACTGTTTGGAAGGGGAGTCCCCTTCCATTATAACATCAGGCAGTGAGGACTTCACTGGTGTGCACTCTCTGGCACGTTTTGTCTGCATACCACTAGGACTTGCTTGTCTTACTAAGAATCTGTCTAAAGACACTTGTTTTTCCCTACATTTTAACACTTGTCTGTAGTAAGACATCACATTGTCATTTTAAAGGTCAATGCAACGGCCTGCTACAGCTTTATCTGGGTGAGTTTTTTCAACAAAACTTTGCAGTTCTTCCCATACTTCACACATTTTCTTAATGAAGAAGGGACATCCTCTACTGCCTCTACTCACAACTATTTTCTTAGGTTGAACTTTACCACTGGCTTTCTTGGGACCCATGGCGAGATATATAGTAACTTTTATGCTCAAATAGCCAAAAATCTGACAAAAAACTGTAAATCCTTGTGAAGAAATCAGGCGGGATAGTCACTGGGCGCGAGGCACTGGTAAACTGAGGCGCTGTTGCCATGCCACCATGCACTAGTCGGCCTGTACGCGTATCAACACCCTCGTCTTCCGAGGCAACGCTCATATTCCAATGTAAATTTTCCGAGCAAATCCTGCTCGTATTCCAAAAAACTTGTATACAGGGACACTCGTATTCCGAGGTACCGCTGTACATTTCTTCTTTAAGCACTGATGTTTACAACTTGGCTCTGATAAGTTAATCCCTTTTTGTTATTCACCCCTTGAGCTTGTTATGTTGATAATCATCCAAAACTGGGTTCAAATTATATCTTGGTAGCAGGTGTCAATAACAAGCTGTATCGGGTGGTTCTGGCATTGAGAATGAAAATTATGGCACATCACAACAATGATCAAGCTCTGAACAGTATCTTGGTTATTCTCAATGCTAGAATCAGCTAGAACCAGCTTATTGTTCATATTTGACATCACAGACATCATTCAAGTAAGACATTATTTGTCCCCCCAGTATGACATTAGTGCAAGGGGGTCTATATGCCTTGGATTGACTTATTGAGGTAATCTAAATTTTATAAATGTGCTCTTGAGGAAAAATCAAAGTATCACATGCAGTACGAAAATCTTGCCTTATGTATTGGCATTTTTTAAATATAATTGTAAATAGAAACAGATCTGTAAATTTCTTGCACATATTACATATACACAGGTAAAACTTAGTTATTAGTAAAATGTTTTGAGAGGTGACTCAGAAAATGGAGAGAATGTTTAATCTGGTTGTTATATGAGCATTATAAAGGACAATGAAGGGGATACGTGTAGAGCATCATATAACAGGAAATCCATCCAGCGAGTGCTTGTAGATGTTTTTTGAACATGAACATAAACAATATGGCAGCTCAGTTTATCAAGTGGTGTACAGTAATCATTATCATATGAGCTATGTAACTTAGTTATAACCATCTATGAGGGTATGGATGATCTGACCAAGTTCTGCCACTAGGACTATAAGTTATTTATTAGATGGCAGGGTTAATGAATTCTTGCTTTTGTGAAATGAGTGACTCACTTGATTGGCTTAAATGAGGTGTCAATTGCAAGGTAGGCCTTGTCTTTTCATATATTTCTTGCTGAGTTGGTAGGTGAAGTCTGTGATATGTATCCTTATGTATTAAAGGGTTTCTGTTCAAATAAACTTGCTATCAACTTTAAAGATTTGTTTATTTATATATCCACATTGAAATAATTAAACATTTAAAGTCCCAGGGAATGAAGGCAAGGATGGAATACTCTGCCCCCTCTCAAAAGTACAGTACAGTACTGAAAAGATAACATGACATGACATTTTATAGCAAGTTAATCCTGGCCAAGTTCTTGTTCATATGAACAAATCCACAAGTCACATCTGAGAACATCCCGTACATAAGTTCAAACCCTCATGAAGGTCTTTGTGGATTTGTTCATTTGGTATATCACACTATTGTGATTTGTGTGTGTATTCTTATTCATATTTTTATGGATCTAGAAGAAACAAAAAGAGCAGTGATTAATCTCTCTTTGTGTACTTGTTATAATTTGGTCTATGCTGTTTAACATGTTCTTTATCAATATCCTGTGACGAAGCAGTTTTAAGAATTGGTAAAAGTTCAGCATAATTCTTTTGAATGTAGTCTTTAACAAAAATACATCAAGCAAGATGCTCTTCTACTCTGCACTTAATTTTCTTTATTTTTGGTCTCTGTATCTATAATTTTCTTGGGACAGTGTTGGAATCATGTGATCTTTCTTATTTTCTTTAACCAAATAATGAATTTACTGACAAGAAAGATTGCTCGAGCATTGTTTTCATATTAGCTGATCTGGATTTGTCATAAGAAACCAGACATGTACTACAGTATTTAAAAGTTATTCTATACGGTAGCTACATTATTTATTTACCTATTTCCTGCCAGGAGTAGGAACATCAGTGAATCATCAACCTTATATATGTTGTTGGCTAACATAAAATGTATGGCTGATCTGAGCCCCCACTAGCAAAATGTTATGGCTATGCACTGACACTCACAGGTCAACAAACTAGCCTTGCTAGTGCAGGCTAGTTGCCTGGAAACCTAGCCCTGCCTAGCCTAGCTTATTGCAGTAAGATAGGGATGGTAGAGAAGTAATTACTGACACAGAGCAGCAAACTAGTATTACTAGTGTAGGCTAGTAGCCTGGAAACCAAGCCCTGCCTAGCCTAGGACACCTCGCACCCATGGCCACAGGGCTGCGAGAGTTTGGACTCCAATCTCCACATTGAACAGCAACAACCAGCGATTGCGAAAACTGGGGGTCAACCCCAACCTGCCTCATCCTGAACTACTTCGTCTCGAACCACCTAACTGGGAAACTATTTCTGAAGTAACACTCCCTCCAGACAGTGGTATGCAGGAACCAACTGGAACACTAAATCCTTCCCTGCAGGAGTCTCTTCGACGACCTGGTAGGACGCACAGTACTCCTACATACCTTCGGGATTCTTTATCTTCATAGTAGGTGCAGTTTGCACGAGCCTTCGGGATTATGTTGCTTAAATGCTAGACGGGGTGACTGTACTAAAAATGGAACATATCTTCTTGATAGTAGGTGCAGTTTGCATGGGGGAACATATCTATCGGGGTAGAGTTGTTGCCCGAAAACGTTATGCGTATTAGTGATTGATTAATTGATGAAGATTAAGCCACCCAAGAGGTGGCATGGGCATGAATAGCCCGTAAGTGGTGGCCCTTTTGAGCCATTACCAGTATCAAGAGCTGATACTGGAGATCTGTGGAGGTGCGACTGCACCCTGCATGACGGGAGATGTCTCCCATGTGCGTATTAGTGGCTTTAAGTATTGTATATACTTGCTCTACCTATAAATCCAACATTATGTTTGTAACTAATCTATGTATGTACTTTTACCCGAATAAACATTTGATTTGATTTGATTTGATTTGATTGTTGAAGTGGATGGATGCTCGCTAGGTTGTTATTGTTTTGGTGATCAGCTGAGTGTGTCGTGCATGATCAGCTGTTTGTGTGTACAGGTCGGTGGAAGGGTCTCTCTTTCTGTTGAAATTGAAACTGAAATAAGTTTATTGAGGTAAAATACACACAAAGGGACGAGGTAGCTCAAGCTATTCTCACCCCGTTCAGTACATCGTGTTAATACATACATATACACATATCACAAACAATAAACATATTACCAAACATTCTGAGAGATAAACATCTACATTTCCTCCTTTCTCTTTGTTTTAGCTTTAGTCATATGCAGGTTGCTTATTGTTATAGTGAATAGACAGTACTTAAACTGTATATATGTTTTGTATATATATAATGACCTTCCTAATCATGTCAAAGATTGTACCGCTCTCAACCAGTTTAAGATGAAAACTAAGTACTACCTAATTAACTCCATGTAACCTACCTTACTTCTAAATGTCAACCCATGTCTTACTATTTAAAAAAAAAAAATCCTGTTTGTTGACCAACTTGTATATTGGCTATTTTCTACCATGTTCCCCCCCCCCCCTTTTTTTTATCTTTTATTATTTTTTTTCTTTCAACGCAATTTATACTTTAAGCTCAATTACTATTAAGTTTTAGTCTAAGTGTTTTTTTCCCCAGCTCACCTTGCCCAAAACGCTATGCGTACTGGTGGCTTTAGGTATTGTATGTACTACCTCTATCTTTAAATCAAACATTGTTTGTACTGTAACTCTGCAACTATGTACTTTTCCTAAATAAATTATTATTATTATTATTTATTATTATTATATTATATGGCTTTGTATTATTGCAGGATACCACCTACAAACCAGGATGTAACTGTAGTGTAATTATTTGATCAATAAAGTCACAGGTCTGGCAAAGCGTTTGTTTAGTTCAATACTGTGGTACTGTAATTTCAATGATTTGAACTAATTTTAGGAAATGTGAGGGAAGTAGATAGTAGATGATTGTTGAATACTGTACAGTATTGACAAATTAATAAGTAATAAACTTTATTTTCAGGTATGGAAGGTGGTAATTAAAATGCTGCCACACCATTTACTTTAATGAGTAGATGATAAACGTTGCAAAATAATTTAGTACTTGAGCAGAGAGAGGAAAAGGACCGAGTAATACTGTTTTTAAAATTTGGGCTTCAACATAAACTGGAATACAAGAGGAAAAAGAGGAGAACGCTCAGGTGGCCCCAAGAGACGATATACACCTACTGTGTTTCCCATTTTTAAGAATGTCAAACTCGAATATAAATGGCAAAATTTCTTTAGATAATCTTCCAGTGCCACAGGTAAGCAGTGCTACAGTGGTGAATTTTTGCATGATATATGGGATAATGATATTTTCTGTGGTAGCTCCAGGGAGCCATAGCGGCTCTCTGGAGCTATCAGGCGAATATGCAATACGTTAGACCATGGCTTTAGTCAATAAAGTTCAGCTTACCAGGGACCACGAGCCAGAACCTGGCCCACTCAGAGAGGCAAGGGAGCAATGGCCCTTTGAAAACTCCCTTGTGGTTGGTAGTTTTCCTTATCTGCCATCGACAGGGGTTAGGCACCCAGAAAGATAGGCATAACAAAACAGACCCCACGTGGTAAGAAAATTGTAACCGAAAGCTGAACAGAAAGGCAGAACTCCGTCAATTCTAAAGTAAATCAAGCAAACGTCACACACGCTCGTCTGCGCAGCCCCTCCCCTCTTGGAGAGGGAGGGGGGAGACCCGGACTCCCGCACCATCCCTCAGTTCCTTGGGTAAAGCGATCCAGGGATATTGTCATCTCTGGCATGGTTTCTATGCAGAATTTTGCCTTCGTGGTGTTCTATGTTGTTTTGTGGTGTGGTGGTCAGGAGTAATTAGTGTACTGGGGCTGCATGCACTTAGGGCGGCCTTCCCTAAGTGCCCTGTAAGTACTACCCCTGGGTACTTGGGTTCTCTTCCCTAGTGCCTTTGGGACGCCATTTCCGTAGGTGTTTTTTCTGCTTGGCATTCACCCCCCCCCCCATGGGGCCAGCTGGTGCTGTGTGGCCCTTGTTTGGCTTTGGGTAGGAAGTGGTATTGTTGCTGGTTGGGGAGTCAAGGTGTTGTGCCGCTTGCCTACTGAGCAGCGGCTGGTTCCTGTTTCCTCCCGCCTGCTCGCCCACCCACCCACCCAACTGCTCGACCACCTGCCTGCTCACCCACCCACCCACTTGCCTGCTCGAACCTGTTCACCCACCAAGCCCATCTGCCTGCCATCCACCCATCCAAAACCTACCTGCCTGAATCCATCTATCCCTGCCTGCCCGAACCCACCTATCCCTGCCTGCCCGAACTCACCTATCCCTGCCCACCCACCCACCTATCCCTGCCTGCCCACCCACCCACCCATCCCTGCCTGCCCACCCACCCACTTTCCCTGCCCACCTACCAGCTAGGCAGCTAACCACCCACCCAGCCTCAAACACAAATTAGTGTGTATCAATTCAAATCATGATTGTGGTATAAAAATTGTTGGAAATGTTCCCCTTTGGACTCGGAGGTGAAAAAGTATGTTAATCCAGAAAACGTGATAATCCGGTTGGGGGCCCTTCCCATATAATCCGGATTAGCGAGTGGATACAGTATTTTCTTTAAAATACTGGCTACAGTAATATCACAACCCATCCTCCTCTTTAGATAGTACCTATTGTGATGATCGTCAATAGTCACGAATTCGTACGTACTTATCTTTTAGATAGTACAGGTAGTATACTGACTAGTATGGAATTCTTTAAAAATGAAGCTAAAAATCAAACTTAAATATTCCTAGGCCTAATATAGTACACACATGTGCTATATTAGGCCTCAAATATCGTGTATTAGGCCTAGGAAGGTTAGATTAGGTTAGTTTATTTTGTCTTTGCAACACAAGTTAAAAATAGTTTTCCAGTTTATCCAACACAATAGTGCTGATTTCTAATTTTGTTTTACGTCAGTATAGTGTACGTACAGTACTGTACTATGGTCCTCATTGCTATTATAAATATTATACTACCATAACAAGAGGGGATGGTCTGTAATATCATATGAAATTAACCTCTTCATTATTTGGTGTTTCTTTTGCTTGTTTTATCATCATGAGTTATGTTGCATGCTTGCAGACTGTGCAGTGATATAGAGCCTCATAGAGAAGCTCCCTGCTGGAGAAGGGCATTACACGATAGTTATAGATAAACCAGTGTCTGGCATACCTATTATTGATCTTGATATAACATGACTACTTGGTGTGAAATGATCAGGAGGGTTATGCATCATACGATTAGCAGTCACTATTTAAACAAATGTTTTAAACACTTTCTACTGTATCTCTGTAAATATATGTATATAAATACTGTACTGTATTTCTTTTAGATTCCAAAATGTCTTCAAATACGTACAGTGACCAAAGGACTTATGTCCTATGCCGAGGCAAAGAAATTTGATTCATATCGCCAAGCAGCTCATGCATGTGTTTGGGCACGACAAGAGGGCAGCTCCAGCTTTGGAGAGTTGCGAGCAGCAGTCATGGTGAGTTTGATTGGGTTAAAAATATGTATTGTATTCTGCATTATTCAGTAATTAGCTTAAAGTACAGTAAAAGATATTAATGAAATTTCTGGGGGAAGCCCCTATGGCTCCCCGGAGCTATCCATGGCTAATATGGATACCCTAACTATTTTGCATCAGTTGATGTGGGTGGAGTTCTAGCATACTGGGGACCACGAGCCAGAACCTGGCCCCCGCCTCACAGAGGCACGGGGAGCAATGGCCCATAGAAATGCACATATCACATAATTTGGAGCATTCTATATCTGCCATCGACTGGGACAAGCACCCAGAACGGTAAGCGCCACAAAACAAACCCCTATTCTGGTTAACAACGAAAATTGACAAACGAGTGGACAGAACTCCCCAAAAGAAAAACGAGCAAAAAGCATGAGATCACACGAGCCGCACTACATGTCTGCACAGCTCCCCCCTCCCCGGGAGGGGGAAGGGGCAGCCCCAGACCCTCGCACCGGCGATGTCTAAGTTGGAGACCTTTGCAGGCTGTAATTTCACTCCCATGTAGCTACTAGTTCAGCACAGCTTTGGAGCCCTTCTCATATGTTGCTCTTGACCAGTGGCTTTTCTGAGATTGCTTCTTTTGGTTGATCAAATGTGACCCATATTGATGGTTTAGGACACTACCAATCTTTTATATGATCACCTCTATGTTAGACAAGGGGCGGACATCTAGTTCTTGCATTTGAAAGAGTTTTTTGGGTGACTATGAGGTTGCAGGGTAAGCTTTCTGTAAATTTCTGGCCCTTCATCATCTCTTCTTTGTCAAAGGCATTGGTGTTATTACTTACTTGGCTGCTTCTTAAAAGACAGTTAATGACAAATATTTATTGTCACCTCTTATCTTTCCGACTTTGGCAGTCTCTCTCTCTCTTGCTTGTGTCCTAGGTTGATTTATCTTCTACTGCATCATTCATAAGTTGGCTTGGTCTTCTCTTGTGTTCAGTTGGATCATATTGTATAGAAAATACACGGGACATGTTTTCCTTTTGAAGAATTTCATCTGAAGCACATAGCACCACCACTGTTTCTTTCTGACCACTGCTTAGTTATCTTGAGGTTATCTTGAGATAATTTCGGGGCTTAGCATCTCTGTGGCTCGGTCCTCGACCAGGCCTTCTTTTTGTTACACACTCCCAGGAAGCAGCCCGTAGCAGCTGTCTAACTCCCAGGGACCTATTTACTGCTAAGTAACAGGGGCATCAGAGTGAGAGAAACTTTTTGGCCATTTATCTCCGCCTCCACCGGGAATCGAACCTGGAACCTCAGGACTACAAATCCGAAGCGCTGTCCACTCAGCTGTCAGGCGTCCTGTATTACATTAGTATTAATAGTATAACATTAATCACTCGCTCAATGTTCTACAATTCTTTTCCTGTATGTTTTAATGTTTTACCAAGAAAAGTTTTCACAATACATGTACTGTTTTGTGTTTTATATTGTCATACCCTTACTTTATGCGTGTACTTTATTTACCCAAAACTTGCTCATTTAATGTACAGTATCTAGAAATTGAATGGATTAGATACCTTGCGAGCATTCAAACTACCACTCTTAATGGTATTTATCTGACCTTGTTTGGGGTGTTACAGAGTCAAAGGTCAGTCCTACATACATATCAAAGATTAAACTGGTTGATGGTTTATGAAATTTTTGTGTGTTCTTGAATATGCTATCTTCTGCAAAATTGTAATTATTTTTTCAACTTCCATTCTTGACAGATGCATCTACGCTTTGATGGCACCTTTGGATTTCCTGGTGGCTTAGTAAAATCAGGAGAGGATGTAGTAGATGGTTTGAATCGGGAAATGGCTGAAGAGATCGGCTGGTCACTAACGGAACATCCTGTTACTTGGAGTGACTACTACAATACTCAGGTAGAGGCAACAGGTTGCATTGCTTATCTGATTATGCAGTAAGATCATGGCATATCCTGTATTATGGTGCAATTAGTTTAAAATTTAGGGCCCCCGGTAGTATAGTCGGGTTCGTTCTCAACCCACAATCGAGGATTATGGGTTTGAATCCCGGGTAGGGCAGAAATGGTTGGGCACATTTCCATTCACCTAACAGTAAGTAGGTACAGTACTCAGGAGCTAGTCAGCTTGTTGTGGGGTTGCATATTCCTGGATGGGGTCAGTAATTCGACCTTGGGAGGGGGGGGGGGACCTTGATAAAAGCCTAATGAATACAATCTGGCTCTTGTCCCTCAACACAATGAATTATAAATATTAGTATAAAACTATGTAGTGTTCTAAGTTGCAATTTAAATACCTCTTGGTAAAACAATATATTTATTTCCATTGACTTATTAACACACATTTTGTTTACACAACTGTTACTTAATTTCTTTATATGTTATAGTTTAGCAAAAGAAATAATTGACAGGTTGCCATAAAAGTACCATAAGTTGTGAATAAAATGTCATGATAGCAAGTACAGAACTGCTATCCCGTGAATGCACTATACATTATTACATTTAACTGGGGCCTCAATAATTAACATGAAACTAATAAACATCCAGCAACCTAATAGCAGATTACACTGCAGTTATTTATTCATTTAAAAATTAGTTGAACTATTGGTCAATTATCTTAAGTTATATTGTAGGAAAATTGCTTGAATGAATTATCTCAAAAAGCATTTGTTTACATCTTGAAAATCAGATTCATAAAATAATTTACTAACAGCCATTAGTGTTTTAGCCAATTTACTCTCATTATTTTCCAGTATATTTTCAGCAGGATTGTAACATTCTATGCCTTGACTTTACCAAAGCCTTTGCTTCTGTGCATCTTCCAAGTCAAAACCATTGGCAGGTGTCTTGTGAACCTTTTTCTGTGTCTTTTACCACTTCCAGCTATTTATGTACATCACCTGAGACCTGGAACTTTAAGAACAAGAGGTCATAGATATAAACTAGCTAAACACAGATGCCGAAGAAATATAAGAAAATTCACTTTTGCAAACAGAGTGGTAGACGGTTGGAACAAGTTAGGGGAGGTGGTGGAGGCCAAGACTGTCAGTAGTTTCAAAGCGTTATATGACAAAGAGTGCTGGGAAGACGGGACACCACGAGCGTAGCTCTCATCCTGTAACTACACTTAGGTAATTATCTATATTTTGACAGACTACTACAGACTCAGAAGCCCCAGGTGTGGATCGAATGTGGATCTAATCCAATCCAACGTCTTAAAGACACTGGCAGAAGAACTATGCCTACCACTGAAAGTACTTTTCACAAAATCACTGTGGGTTAGTCCCCAAAGATTGGAAATATACAAATGTCACCCCTATTTTCAAAAAAGGCAGAGAGCTCAGCAGAAAACTACTGACGGATCAGCCTGACATCACGCATCTGTAAGCTCATGGAGCTTCAATCTTGCTCAGGGAGGGAATCATTCACCATCTTTCAGTGAACAACTTTGTACAATGGATACAACATGGATTGTTAAAAACAGATCTGCCTTGATTGCCTGCACACAGATCTGCCCTACAAACTTACTAAATTTTTTGGAACAGGTAACAAGCTACTCAGACAAAGGCTTTCCGGCAGATGCAGTATACATGGATTTTGCTAAAGCTTTTGATAAGGTACCACATGAAAGATTGGCAAGGAAATTACAGGCCCAGGGAATAAATGGTAAAATATTAGAATGGATAAAACAATGGTTGAAGGAAAGAAAACAAAGGGTCGTGCTAAATGGAAACAAATCTAAATGGAGAAATGTGATAAGTGGGGGTGCCACAAGTGTCCATTTTGGGACAAAATTCCTTTTTGTCATATACATCAATGACGTGGATGAGAATATTACAAATCACTTCATCAAATTTGCAGATGACACCAACATTTATGGTAAAGTGGGAAATGATAATGATATTGAAGCCTTATAGAGAGATCTTCATGAACTCCACAAATGGTCAGAAGACTGGCAAATGCATTTTAATATCGACAAATGCTAGACCCTGCATGTGGGCCCTGGTCGACGACCGGGCCGCGGGGACGCTAAGCCCCGGAAGCACCTCAAGGTAAGGTGGGGCACAACTACTCATGCCACGACTACCCAATTATTAGCATTACATTACAGCAGATTGACGAAGAAAAGAACTTAGAGGCCAAAATCCACCACTCATTAAAAGTTGCAAAACAGGTGGGAGCAGCAATCAGAAAAGCTAACCAAACTCTTGGGAGAATTAAGCGTACTTTAGACTATAAGGAAAAGAAAGTAATGGTAGTCTCTAGTGCGCCCCCATTTGGATTACCGTATCCAAGCATGGAGACCTCATTTTCAGGACATAACTGCAATGGAGAATGGGCAACACCGGGCAACAAAATCCATTCCAGAGTTAAGTCATCTCTTGTATCAGGAACGTTCGAAGGCCACGGGGCTGACAACACTGCAAACCAGGCATGACAGGGAAAATCTCATTGAAACTTTTAAAATACTGAACAAGTTAGAGGATGTTGATCTGGATATTTTCTTCAGAAGGTCAGATGTAACACAAATGAAGAGCAACGGATTCAAGCTCAACAAGCCACAATGTAGGACCAAGAACATGAGATGCTTTTTCATCCACAGGGTTATTAACCTCAAGGAACTGCTTACCCGCTGAAGCCGTAAATGCCAAATCTGTGTTGAGTTTTAAAAGATACCTGGAAAAGATCAAGGTAAATTGGGGGGGGGGGAATCTTCAACAAGCCGCCGGCTTCCTTTCTTTATCGAGGCCACTAGGGTTAGTGGCCATCGGGTAAATCAGGTAAATTACCTATATTTCCTAGTTCTGTATGTTGCAGCGCTGGTCTTTGAATTGCAAAATATTCCTGTCCTTGCTTTCACATTCTCTTTGTCAAAGATTATCATCACTTTCCTCTTCGATTTCATTACAATTGATCTAATAAGGAACACTTATCTGTAGATCTACCAATGATTTTCTCATTTTTATTTTTGTTGTAAATTATTGCAGGTGGAACACAACAAACATTTGGTCCTGCATTTCTTCATCAAGGAAGTGACACTTGATCAGTTCATTACCCTTGAGAAAAAGTGTCCAACTGTGCCTGAATATGGTGACGAGGTGAGATTTGCTCTTTCTTCTGTACCTAAAAAGTACAGCAACATTGATAGTTTCAAAATGACCATTTTGAAGCAAATATGTTGTGCTTTATGTATGATATTGGAGATACAAACCATTATACATTAGAGAAAGAAAACTAATATATTTAACTAATATATATTTGGTATATTTAACTGAGAGCCACTAACACTCAAGCCAGTGGCTTCTCCAAGTACTTGGGTAATATTCTTTCATCCCAGTACCACAAACTCGTATCTCTTTTAAGTGCTATAGTCATACTATCTTACTGCTTTATCTTCATAATTACCTTACCTGAAAGGCCAGGTAACATAATTATGATGATTTCACAAAATCAGCAGGTGACAATTTTTTTTTAAATCGTTGAAAGTAATCAGTTGGTATTTCTGAAAATTTTTCTTATAATTTTCCAAGTTATATTTGTGTGCTGTTCCAAAAGATACAGTACATATTGTATATTGATTCAACTGCACATTAGCTGGATTGGCTGACAGTCAAGCAAGAATAATATACCCTGTTGACCAGACCACACACTAGAAGTTGAAGGGACGACGACGTTTCGGTCCGTCCTGGACCATTCTCCAATGGTCCAGGACGGACCGAAACGTCGTCGTCCCTTCAACTTCTAGTGTGTGGTCTGGTCAACATACTTCAGCCACGTTATTGTGACTCATCGCCTGCAATAATATACCCTACTGATGTCACAAGGTCTAGTAAGGGTGTTTTAGATCAAGTAAGCTGCTTGAAAGTCACTAGACAAAGATTACTTCAGGTAGGATAAGATATTAAAAAAGGTTCTGTTTTGAAGACCGCAGTAGTATGAGCCCTAGAGATATCGGGCAAATGCCAGCCAATGTTAAGCCCCAAATATTCCTATAGCCAATCATTTAAGCTCCTGCTTGAATTTGTTTAATATAAAATACTACAAATATAATAAAAACTATTTACATGTTATTATGTTGATGGCAGGTAGCCAGTTAATACTGGATTATAATGAACAAAATACAGGTACTGTATGTTTCAATTTGATATGGTGCATGCAAGTGAAAAATTGTGAAGAAACCAAGTTGACTAGGGGGTCACCAGAAAGGAAGCTACTGTATTAAATAAATTGGAAAATTATAGTTAACAAGTTCCCAGGGCCAGACAAAGAGCTTATCAAGTCCTCATCTTGCACAGGGGCGCAATGCCAATTTTGTAGGTGCTGGAGCTCTGGTGGGCCTGACAAAAGCCTGTCATTTCCTATCCTGTTTCTGTATGTCACAAAATTAAGTATTTCGTGTTTGAACTCATTAATTATTATAAAATATAATTATTAAGCAAAGAAACAACATCAATCATGTATTTATCAAGTTAAGAAGGTAAAACAAAAAATAGAACCAGTGAGAAGTTTCATAATAGTTTCCACAAAAGAAACGAAACCGAAACACACAAAGTAATGCGCATCTTTCATAGTACTGTATCTGTCATCAGAAAATCGTACCAGCACACCCTAGTAAAATGTCCATACCAATATTATCTACGTCGTTTCATATATTATGTGTAAAGTACTCTGTGAATTGTCACATATAGAATATTGAGAACTTATTCTCTCTAAACCGCTGTCACTCAATCCTATTGTAACACAAGTGAAATAATCACATGCCATCATTTTCTCACAACTGCCACGCCTGTCAATCTTTTCTCTATTCGTCCTACCCTTAATTTTATCCCAGTATCCCTGTACTACTACTGTAGCATCCACGCAATCATATTACCATTATAACATGCGGGTGTTATAATGAATATTAAAATGCATTCATGTTGCTTTTATGTTTCAGGTATTAGGCACAGTGCGTGTTCCCCTGTATACGATGCAGAATATGTACAGTGGATTGCCAGCATTCCTCAACAACAGGTTTGTTGGCACTGCAAAACAGCAGTTACTCTTAGCCATGCATTATGTTAACATTATGACTGAACAAGAAATTAATGATGTTATGTATAAAAGTAATAATCTTAAATTAAGCTCCAATAGAATTTAACTCTGCCATATTAACTGTAGAGTAAGCACAGTATGCATTTAGGCATATTTTAGAGTGCTATATTGTTACCCGGAGTGGTTCACTTAACATATTTCAAGCAGTGTTGGTTTAAACAAGTTGAACTAACACTTCCTGTTTGGACATGTGCCAATTCATGCAGTTACATACTGAAATACTTAGCACTTGATTTTGCATGCATTGTGCATGTGAGGTGTTCGTCTAGTTACTAAACTTAATGCTGAAATTAAGTGAGTTTTGCATGTGAACAAATGACAGAATTATGTTGAATTTTGTTTTAATACTTAATGGTTAACAATATATATATATATTGTATAAGATCATATCAATTTAGTTGACAATATATTTAGTTTTGATCGATTTTTGGCACTATAGTTCTGCTGTGTAATGGAGTCATTTAACCAATTGGGATGTGTTTTGCTGTGGCAATGAAGTACACTAGGATACTACACAATGGTTAATATTCAGATATTTGTATATATGTATCATATGTTATGTAGATGTACTGTATCACTTTAGTAGTAAACTTTTGTCTGTTGTCTTATCTATGATTGCATTTATACCCTTACATATTCTTCTCTATTTACCTAAGAGCCACCATCTCTAGTATAAATGTTGGGGACAAGAAGTTGATGGCTTATCAAAGGCCCATTATTCCTGAGCAATGTTTTTAGTTGTAGAGTATTTTGAACTGGAGGGTTCCAATATTACATTTACGGCTTCGGTGGGTTGATGATTCTATGGGTTTATTACGCCATGAGTGTTCTAAATTATGTTAATTACTTATACTGTATCTATAGCCCATATACCTTGTTTCCTCCTAGAAGAATCACATCATCAGGGAGTGGTCGGAGCAGAATTTTCTCCAGGAGGCTCCATCACCACACAAACTGTCTACTCTTTCCAGCTCTCTTGACTCCTCCTACCATCCTTTCATACATTGGTCCACTTGTCTCTCAGTATAATGATCATCTTCCTCTCCCCTATTTCATTTGTGAGCTTGCACTAAAGCTAGTGGCCACCATGCTTGGTCTGCATTATGAAGACGGTTGCAAAGCCTGAACCAGAAATCTCTGGAGGAGGATACTAGCCAAGGCTTGGTCTAAAACCAAGACCACCAGAACAGTGACCCCTTGGAACTATCACAAAGTAGGTAGGCTTGTAGGACAAAGACCTGCAGGTCTCTGATCCAATACAGAGCACCGCTTGTTTTCCGAAAGTTACAGTTTCCCGATTGGGGTTGGGGAGTCACGCTACACAAACCAAGTCCTCCATTTCTCGTTTACGAACTTACATGATAACCGACGGGTCTCGTCCCCAAGGGGTTCGGAAACCAAGTGGTGCTCTGTACCATGCAAGATGGAGGAGAAATTAGATTAAATGACTGGACCACAATAAGCCCAGGGGGTCAAGCCTATTTAGGTCAAGTTTATCCAGGTGGCTGTCAATGTGTCCCAGACTACTTCCAACTAAATTAACCTAAGAGGAAGGTGTGCTGGAATTTCAGCAAATTCACATGAAAACAACTTCTGCAGTATCACCAACACCTACTTCCTGGCTAGCAGGCATTTTGGGTGCAGAGTGTTCAAAAGATTCAGTCGTTGAGGTAGACAACTCGCTATCCAAGAGCAGAAGGGTTAAGAAAGGTGGATTACAAGAGTGATGGTCAGTACAGACACCACAAATAAACTGAAAACTGCCCATCTGTCAGTAAAAAAGTCAAACTAAAACTCAAAGGACCTGAAAAACAGAAATGCATCATAAAAAAAAAAACTGAACCTTTCCCAATGCCAACTTGATAAAATTCATAAAATGGAGCTGGGAAGAGAAGAGTTTCTGCCATATTAGTCTTGCTTATGTTGGTGATTCAGTTGGATCAAGTATTGAACAGTGACTACGTAGCCCACTGTTGATGAACCTGTAAGGGATCACGGTAAAAGTTACCAGAGGTGTTGGTGCCAGAATGTTGTCCTCCACAATCCTGCCCATAAATGGTCACAATGGATCTTACCTTAGGGAGCAGCCAAGTGATTCTGCTCAAATTGGGTAATTTCATATACCTCAAAAGCCTTATTTTATTTATGAATTAAATGAATAGTGTAAAATGTAATTATTCTACATTATAAACAATGGCCTTTATAATTGCATACAAAATGTAGGATTTTATTATGAGCAACACCTTGTTAATATTTATATAGGTTTTATTTATTCTTTTTCATCTTCTTGAATTCACCCTCTTGCATTTGTAATCCACCCATGATCTGTCCAAGCTTTCTCTTGCGTTCAGCATCACTGTAATGAGAAAGGTTGGTTGCAATAATTAGCATTAAACAGTTAATTTATGTTCATTTCTGTGGCATTCCATAAGAGTAGCTTGCTTTACACAAACAATAATACTAATATATTATAAGAATATTTTATCAATACTAATCTACTATTTCCATACTAACCAGGTCTAGTTTCTCCTTCAATACTTGCTACTCTATTTGTGTGAATGTAAGCTGCCCCCGATTCTATCTCACACGATGAGCTTTTCAACAGGGACTATTTCAGATAAAAATTCAAAGACAAAGCCTGAAGTTGAGCCATGACTTTAAAACTCCACATCAAAGTTACTCTCAACACAAGGATACTGTACCTATAACACACTTGCAGTTTCCATTACTAAATAGGATATGCATTTCTCTGGAGACAAATTTCTTTATTATACAAGAAAGGGAAACAAGCTCAACCATTTCCGTCCCAACACTGGATCGAACCAGAGATCTTCGACTGTGAGTTCAGAATGTAGGTACATCTTTGCAGATTCAATAGTCTTATTTTGGTTTCTTATGAGATATAAGGCACTAGTACAACCCAGTATCAACCAGTACTGTCTTTTCTAGCTGGGAATATAATTATGTTGAGAGATTACAGAAATGGGTATAATCATTTACTACTAATTAACACTTTAGTGCGCGCGGCACTTGCTGAAAATAAAGCGGGTTGTGCGCGCGGCGTTCTGGGCGCTCAAGCGTAAACACAAAAAAGTGTATAATCTTTTCACGCTCCTAACATCAATTCTCGAGCTACTTTTTCATTTTGGTATCAATGCGTTGGCAATAAAATTCTCTACAAGATCATATGCATAAAATGTCACCAAAGCATTTGCTATCCCACCACGAAGTAAATAAACACGAAGATGACTCGCTGTGACACCCAAACAGGAAGTAAATGTTCATACTCTTTCGTTTGTTGCCAGCCTCACAGTCATCCTACAGCGCTTATTTTGATATCACTGAACTCGCAATAAAATTCCCCACCCAGACATATGCCTATCAATGTCTAATTATGTTCCGCACGAGTGTGGGAACTGGGCGAAGCGTTAGCCGTGATTTCAGCAGCAACGACACTGTTGTGATGCAGCGCTTTGAAAGTTTATACTTATTTCACTGTCATGACAATATTTCTTGAGCTACGTATTTCATTTTTATAGCAATGTGTTCGCAATAGAAAGTTCTATAAGAACATGGGTAGAATTGGCCAACAGAGCGTCAAATAAATTTGCGGCGAATAAAATCTTACGCGTGTTTGTACCCGTGAGCGTAAAAAGTTTTTACTTTGCTCATGTTTTTTCAAGTTTATACTTGATTCACACCGTTTTTTTTGTTTGTATAGTGTTCGGAATAAAATTCTCTACACAGACATATGCATATAAATGTAGAATCATGATCGCGGCCAACACAAGAGTGTGTGAAGTGGGCGATTACCCTCGTTGTGTCACCAACTCAATAGTCTCTCCTCTAAGTTACAATACATTGCCGTTTTCTCAAATAGGCACTGTGCCTATTAGAGAAAACGAAAATTTATTGGCAAACATATTCATACAAACCCCAAGTCGATCGAGTAGTAAATACCCAATATAAAACACGGTCCGTAAATTTACGTCGTGATCTGACAAGCGGTTAAGCAAAACGCCCGTAATTCCAAGTGGAAAATCCAGGAAAGTGTTAAAACATTTAAAGCATCAATTGCTGCTCACCTTTGAATTGTCTCCATCAGCTGTTGTCTGGCCAAGAAAGCTGTGTCTCTCTGGATTTCTCTCCTGGCCCCCTTCTTTTCACGTTTCAGTTTGTGTAAGAGTTTCTGCTTTTCAAGATAATCCTTTGTTCCATGACGTTTCTTCACACCTTCAATTCTATATAGAAGTATAAGTATAGATTTTAGAATTTTGAAGAAAATTTTTTTTTATTACATTCCTGCTTATATACACATGCATTCACTCCCTTCTTATAAACCACTTTCACGCCAGTCATGTCCCTTACTGTATTCCGTAAGCTGTTAACACTTGATCCATGCTTTCTCACATAAATCATTATGTAAAGCTACCATCTTGTCCTTCCTCCTACCCTCTAATTCACTTCAGTATACTCACTTAACCAGCCTACAATCATCACTCCACCTATTTGACAAATCATTCCTAAGTGGAGTGCTTCCCACACAATGGAAACGTGCAATAAGTGTTCCCATACCAAAGTCCCGTGGTCCTGGCAATTACAGACCTACTGGTCTCGTGTTATGCATATGCAAGATGCTTGAGAGGATCATATTAAACCATCTGTCACATAAAATAGGTAGACTAGGGGAAGGAATCAACAGATTTGTTAATGGATGGAGCACAGCAAATTGTATAGTCAATTACTAAGCTAATGATACAGCTAAGTACTCTGTATTTGTTGACATCAAAGGAGTCTTTGACAAAGCACAAGGAACTGCGATTCTAAACAGGCTTGCATGCATGGGTGTCAAGGGAATACTCGTGAAATGGATTGAAGATTACCTCACAGAGAGGAAAGCCAAGGTCTGCTTCAACGGAGCAGTCTCAAGAACAATGAGTATGGAACTTAGGATCCCCCCCAAGGAGGAGTCTTAAGCCCCACACTATTCAAGATATTTATGAATGCCATTGTAAATATTGAATTTCCAGAAGGAACACAGTAAGTGGGATATGCAGATGATGTCCTAATACAAGTTTCAACTTTGGGAAAATAAAAGTCCATTAAATTTCTTGGAAGGAAGTGTTGAACTCAGTTTCACTCTCTCCACAAACAAAACAAAAGCATATTGTCATCACAAGTGAAGTGAAAATGAATTGCAGATTAATGGTGAAACGCTTAGCGGGTTGACCACAATTGATATATTGGCATCACTGTCGGCTCTAACAAGGGGAAGAAAGAGGAGCTCAACCAACTCATAGGAACATGTAAAAGTCGACTCAGGGCACAGAGTCTTGTAAATATATATTTGCACAATTCATGTAACATTTGAAAACCTATTTCAGTGAAATCCCCATTGGGATATAAAATGAAATGCAAATAATTTCTTGACTTACATGTTTTCAATAGCTGGTTCATACATCTTGATAGATACAGGTTTGCTTTCTTCCCTAACAAGTGCACATCCCTGGACTGGCAAGGATCCAATTGTTCTTGATAATTCCTCTGAAGCCTCGTTTACCCAACAAGGATAATTCTTTAGGGAAAGGGACTGCAAAAGTTTGGTTGTAGGTGCCATAATGGCACGTATTGAAGGATTTTGTGACCAGCATTTACATAACTGGTTAAGAAGCTTCATTGTTTTGCACACGATATTAACTTTAAAGTCATCAGTCAGCTCCTCCTCCTCTTTGTTAATACTGGATAATGTTAGTTTAGATTCTTTACACCTGCAATAAAACAAATAATGTAGCAGTAAAATAAAGTCTGTCCTGTATGGAAGCATCCTTTTCCCATACATATATCTGGTAACTCCTTAAAACACTGCACTAAATTAAAAATGACCCTCACATATAAAGGATATTACAGGTATTATTCTCAATATCTTCACTATGTGCAGGCTTACTTTTTTAACTAAACCAATATTTGGATTTGGTTCCAACAAGAAGTGCTAAAGACTGATAATGGAGCTACCCTATGAAGCCAGGTTAAGAGGTTAAGAGTGCTCAGTTTAATGACACTAGAAGAGATGTGATCACAACATACAAGATACTGAGAGGGAGGACAGTAAACATAAGAGCAGTTTTTAAATCTGAAAGATTCCATTATAAAGCCAGTTCTGGAGTAAGCAGATGAGCACTATATCAGTTTAGATAGCTTCAGGGAGCCGACGGGACTCCCCAAAGAAAATGGTATAATGGCCAAGATAATGAGAATATACTTTACCTCAGCTAATGGCCTTTATTTATGTGTAATTGTTTGCATGCTACAATGTGCCCATTTTGTTGTACTTGCTAAGACAATAAAATAATGTCTTATGATATAACCCTCCTTTAAATGTGATGGTAGTCAACAGGTGAAACAGTGCATTTATTACACTAAATATAAATGGACTGCTTTTTGTTCCAAAGAGAAAGCTCACTTTGTTGCAGCATTTTCCAAATAGAGAAGGGAAGCGGCTGCTCCAACAGGTCTAAATGGAGGATTCAGCGGAAGATGTATTTTATCTTGACCTCCAATTGCAGTGAAGAGAAGACCATTTAATAGGTTTGCCAGCTCTGGTATAAACCTTTTAGAAAGGCTTATGTACTGAAAAAAATAAAAAATTATTGTAAACGTGTTTCAAAACAAATACAGAAATACCTGTACGATTATAGAATGTGCAAACACATTAAATACAAATGTACGTATATATAATTTTTTTTAATTTAGAATTTTTGTCATTATGTGATAAGTTTAGTGTTGTTCACTATGTTTAGTGACTATGTCACTCAAGTTAAAAAATATTTGCAAGTGTTAAGAAATTGTATCAATTTATAAAAGAATAGAAAATTGCAAATGCCTGCAGTCTCGGATCTTTTGCTGCAGGTAATTAAAATACTGCGATATTCAAATTACTTTCATGGTTAGGAGGCATGAATGGGTTGAAGTTGTGTCTAGAATTAGGATTTTAGTGCTATATTCTACACCATGGGGGCCTCACGGCTGAGTGGACAGCGCTCGGGATTCATAAGCCTAAGGTTCCAGGTTTTATCCCCGACAGAGGCGAAGACATATGGGCAGTTTCTTTCACCCGGATGCCCCTGTTCATCAGCAGTAAATAGGTACCTGGGACCTATAGGTAAGCTAAGCCCCGAAATCATCTCAAGATAAGAAGGTGGGAATAAACTCTGACCATTTGTGTATTTTATTTAATAGTGTTGCAGACCCTCAGTAATGTTTTTGCTTTCCACTTTACCATAGCTCTTTATGTCGTCTGCAAATTTAGTAATGTAGTGTGAACTTCACGTTTATGTTGGTGCACAGTAGTAACAAAAAGGCATGGCCATAGAATGAACCAATGCTTATAGATGTGCACATGTTGGAGTCTAAATGCACACTGGATATGGTTACATTTGTCTTCCACTGCCTTAACACTAGACTGGACTATACAATACATTAGTTGTATGGGCAACTGCCATTTCTATTTATCTACTTATCTGAAATATTAGTAACCATAACTCTGCCAATTCCCAAATAAAGCATTCCATGAAACTGCACGAATCTACTGAAAATGTGTATACCACTAGGCCAATGGTATATTTTTATAGCAGTTGTAGTCTTTAGGGGTTACATGTAAGACTCATAATAGTACCGCTCAAATTTTAACACAAGTTTTAAGGAACTACAGTATGTGTAAACCTTTAAGATCAGTCTGAAATCATTCATTTTTTTGTTTACCTTATATTAATGGTAAAAAATTATTAAAGAGAAAATTACCAGGTTAGATTGTGAATGGCAGGTAATCGAGAAGCCAGAGAATCGAAGACTTATGGATGAGGTTTTGTTGAAAAGAGCAAAAAACCAGAGCACGATGTACTGTAGTATGTTTTCAGTTTTCTGTAACTAGGGACATGAGGCCTGTTAGCCTAGGGGGACCTCAATAAACCTAACTACTGATCTTTCCCAGGTATCTTTTTACCGCTAGGTGAACAGATGCATCAGGTAAGAGGAAATATTACCCAAACATCTTTGTACTGCTGCAGGAATTGAACCCAGGACCTGTTAGCCAACTGCACTTACCAAGTGGATGAGACCAATATTGCTTGATGAGACATACAAGTTTCATAAGGAGTAAGCAGTTAAGAGAAAGACATGTATAATTATAGACAAATAAAAACTATTGAAGAATGACTAAAAGGAGTTGCAAACAGAATACAATGTAGAAAAGTATAGTACTGAAGCAAGATGTGGAGTAAGCTCACCTCAAACAAAAGATGTGCTGAAAACAGTGCTGCAGTAACATCTCTCTTTGTGACAATCTTGGCTCGACCCAGCAGGTGAGTCAGGAATATCACCACAGGAGTCATTATTACATGAATAAAATCTGAAGATGGGAAAAGAAGTCCAGCAATTTTCAGGAACACAAACTGAAAGAAAAATACTTATATTAAAAGATAATATGTATTTACTAGTACAGTACTATAAAATTTGTAAATGTTATATTTGTTAATTTTAATTATGAGTATACTGTACAAGTATAATTATAAGTATACTGTATATACAGTACTTCATTACTTTTGAATAAGCTGACCATGAGATGGAAAACATTCTGGTTGCTTTTTAAATAAAAAAATATTTTGATTAAGGAACTTTGTTTTAAGTGTAATATACTTAAGCCAGCATATATCCCAATATGGAAAACATGGTGTAATGATTATAAGAGGTGTAACAACTGCAGTGTGCCGTAATGAATACATTTCCGATAATGATAAAGGCATACGCAGTAATGAGTACAAGGAGTCTTTAAAAAGTTCAAGAAGTAATGTATAATGAATTCAAGAAGCATGCAGATGAGTCACAATAACATAGCTGAAGAGGTGATATCCAACCCACATATCAGTTGGATATCGGAGTTGATATCCAACCCACATCCTGGACTGAATCATCATCATTTCTTAATTTTCAAGAAGCATTATTTAATAAGATCAGGGATTTCAGAATAATGAACAATGGCTAGTGAAAGGAGGACTAGAATGAGATAAAGAGGAAAGGTTGGAGTAGTGTACTGGTGGAGGGAGAGAAAGGTTGTAGTAATGTACTGGCGGAGGGAGAGAAAGGTTGGAGTAGTGTACTGGCGGAGGGAGAGCAAGGTTAGCGTAGTGTACTGGCGGAGGGAGAGAAAGGTTGGAGTAGTATACTGGTGGAGGGAGAGAAAGGTTAGCGTAGTGTACTGGCGGAGGGAGAGAAAGGTTGGAGTAGTATACTGGTGGAGGGAGAGAAAGGTTAGCGTAGTGTACTGGCGGAGGGAGAGAAAGGTTGGAGTAGTATACTGGTGGAGGGAGAGAAAGGTTAGCGTAGTGTACTGGCGGAGGGCGAGAAAGGTTAGCGTAGTGTACTGGCGGAGGGAGAGAAAGGTTAGCGTAGTGTACTGGCGGAGGGAGAGAAAGGTTAGCGTAGTGTACTGGCGGAGGGAGAGAAAGGTTAGCGTAGTGTACTGGCGGAGGGAGAGAAAAGTTAGGAAAATACAGGATTTGCATTATCAATAAATGTAAACAAATTTATTACTATTTGTACTAAAAATTAATATTTTCAAGTCACTTTATATCAAATTACACATAATAAATTAAAATACGTATTTTATTATTTTTGTTAATAAAACTACACCATGACAAAATATAGCTTATGTCTCTTTACAATGGAAGGTCCAGGAACCTAATTGTCCTTTCAAGTAAGATATCACTGTATTCATAGTTGCAAGTGAGGATAGGTAAAAATGCTTTAGGCCATAACATTCAGCAAATACACTGTTCCAAGATGAAGAAAATTAAGAGAATATGTTGGGAAATGCTACTGGAAGACCAATACAACTGACTAGTGTACCCTGTATGGTATGTTTATATTTCTAAATCAAATTATTACATTTATTTGTAATTTATTAACCAAAGATGAATTGGAAATATACTCACTGTGTTGGCCATGGGATATCTCTTAAATTTGGAGTGTGCACAATCTTCATACTTCTCTTCAATGACCTAAAATAAAATAAATTTGTTGTACTGTACTTGCTGTGGCACCTGGGGAGTCCTATCACCTTTTTTACTTACACATCTTACCTTCCCCATCAGTAAATCTCCCCATTCAGAGAAGGGCCTCTCCTAAAAGTTACGTGGACAGTTGATTCATCCTGGGTTATTTCTATTTCCTGTACAGTGGACCCATGTTTTAAGTGAATGATTTATGTCCGTAAATTCACTATCTTTGCAGTTGTCACAAGCTTTATTGAACCAGTGAGAGCTTTTATAAAAACTATAGACAGACTCTACATATGTACAATGGAAACACTGTAATCATACCCATCTAATATTTAAATAAATTATTATTATTTTATAAACCTGTTTAGGCTTTGCTCTGCACCAGTTTTCCTGACACCTTTTCAGAATTTAGTTTAATTAACCTGTGCTTGGTGTTATACCATGGTATATCCACTTGGGAACTGATCTCATTCTATTTGATGGAATTTTGCAGGGTGCCATAAGAATAAAGATAACTGCAGAAGGCTTATTGACCCATACAAAGCAGATTCTATTTATACCCAACCAAACAAATTCATATTCTGTATATATCAAATATTTGCTTAAAACAATCCATGTTTATTATCTTACCTGGTATTTTGTTCCATAAATCAATAAAGCATTTCCAAACTAATATATACCCAGGACTTTTCTGATTCTGAACGTATTCAATTTATAACTAGTATCTTGTGTTTACATATTATTTAGCAACATATTAATATTCCCTTTCATCCATATGTATAGTTAAATTGTATCATCTTTTACTCTTTGCCTTTCTAGAGAATATAAATTAAGCATCATTTAATCTCTCTTCATAAGGAAGGTTTCTAATTCATATGATCAATTTGTCATTCCTCTCTGTACACATTCAAGTGAAGTTATGTCTAGAACTGAACTACATAATCATAATGGTACCTAACAAGGGCACGATAAAGCTCAAGAATAACGCGTGCTGAGGTCTGCCGCACATATATTTTTTACATGATTCAATACTGTGTAATATGAGGAATTTATATATATATATTTAAATGTTTGGAACATCGCCATGCTCAAAAACATGGTGCTCATATCTAGTGACACGTACGTTATATTCGTTGATCAGTAAAACTGTATTTTTGCCATATTATACACTATATACACACACACACACACATGTTATATATACATAACTATATTTGTATAAATCCTAACGAACCACTAAGCAATTCTGGTGTGTGTGGTAATGAAATCTTAGCACAATACGTAGCTACACGTTAAGACCAGCTGACTCCAGCAGACGTTACCTGATGGTGCAAAATACCCAGAAATACACTACGCACATCGCTATTATTACTACAGACTGCTATTATTATCAGATTCCTGTCACTAAATCATGAATATGAATAATTTTCCACAAGTTTATTTTCTACAGTAACTTGAGGTTACATTACCTCATGCATAGATTCATGACACCTCAGCTGTGTGCAGTGAATGTCTTCCCCTTACTGTTAACTATCATTGTGTTCACTGATGTCTTAACCTTGTAGATAATTTTTATTACAGGCAGGATCATCTATGACAATATCAGAGCAAATTAATTGCAGTTACTTATTTTATTCATCATTATTAAGTGGTGCTGCAGCCCTGACTTGTATAGCTGTGCTGTGAGCTCCAGCTGCATGTGCCAGCCTTGACTGCTCTGGCAATACTGAGCCTCTCACAGTCAGGAGGGTGGTATGTATTTTTAAGATGGTGTCTGTTTACTGGAGTCCTGAGGAACAGGATGTGATCCTCATGTATATGTGAAAGTTTTGAATCTTACAATATACAGTACTACCACACACGACATGCTGGTGTGTGCACCAGCATGTCATGATATCTTATCATGATATTTTATCTCATGATATCATGGCATGCACAGTACATTGGTTAAAGCAAAAGAGGATTGCCTATAAAGCAGCTGGCTCTTGTAAGACAGTAAATCAGGCTATATACAGCTGCTAATACTGTATTGTAGCTCATATTCTCTCATAATATCACATGTTCTTCACTTAAATTAGACTTGGTTGTTTTTAAAAACATCTGTAAGGTATATATCTAATTTAGTTGCCTATTACATTAAATGCAGTTCAATCAATATTGCAGCTGGTCATTGCTATTTAAATTAGGCTAATATAAATATAATATAGCCACAGATTACAGTGTCTTCACAGAACTGCCGACTGTTTTATAACACTCTTATTGGTTTGCTTAAATAGATTGTGCTGATTATAAAAGCATTTTTCTATAAATAACAAAAGTGGTCCAAACACTGTACTGTAAAACTATTCCTCGGTATTAATATTTCAAACCTGTAACAGAGCCTTTGCAGAGTTCGCAGGTGACACTTGAGTGATTGTGAAGAGATGCTGAATAAAAGAATCAACATAGATCATTGGTGAAACGTTGGGGATCGGAGACTCTCCTTCTGGGTCCGATAAAACGTGTAGAGTCTGTATAAGTATAAAATAAGATTAGAAACAATAAAAAAAGATCAACTAAATTTTTTTGTAAGAATTTATTTAGGATGAATTCAACTTTACATAAGAAAAATAAGGATGCATTCTTGAAACCACCAAAGTCAACATTTTTCAGTCCACTGTTAGTATAAAATATATTAAATCAATACTAAATACTCGTACCAGTTTTCCATTCCCTAAGATAGTGTGCAGAAAAGTTCACATTACAATAACTTCTAAACAACAGTGCAGGGCAGTGATTCATAATCACAATATCAAAACTTGCCCTAATAAATGAAGACATTAAGGTAGATAATAACCACTTGCCTGCAGAATATAGGCATAAATATCATCACATTTTTCCTTGTTAGTGCCTCCTAAACTTGGATGGTTGCATGATATCATTCGCTCCAAGATAAGGCTTACTTCCTTTGGTGAATGATTTTCAAGTAAAGCCCAAAATGAATCATAATCCTGGGGCACTGTAAAAGAAGAAATAATTAACCACATCTGTATGATTTAGTGTTTTTAATATTTTTGCATTACAAAGCCAGTTCACATTTTTTCCATTGTGATATCACCCTGCCCCATGAAAGACGGATATGGAGAAATGATAATGTATACACGTATGAACAAACTGGCTAAAATTAACAATGAGCTTTAAAGATGAATTATAATTAGAACAAAACAAGAAAAATACCGGTAAGTAAACATTTATGTGGTTTACCAGTATCATTTATTAATTTGAACATTGAAGCTATTTATATTACCAGGCCAATATAAATTGCTTGTGGGGAACTTTGAGAAATATAAATTACTTAATATCTTACCTTCAAATGTATAGGGTATTTCCTTTTTAGCAGCTTCCATCATTGCTGTTTTCTGAATGCTAACTTTTTTCACTTCCTTTTCTTTGGGTAGGTCTGTATCCTCGTCACTCTCACTGTCTTCAAGGATATCAGAATATTTGTCACTCTCATCATCTGTGCTTTTGTCATCTTCATCCTTTTTGTCATTATTTTTATTGTCCTTTTCCTGGTGAACCCTGTTCTTTTTGTCATTTTCCTGTTCCACCTTCTTCCCTTCTTCCTCCTCTTCCACTTCCTCCTCCTCCTCTTCTTCTTCTTCTTCTTCTTCTGAAATAAACAAACCACATTCTGTGATTTCTAGACCTCTCATTAGTCTCTTTACAAGAAATTTTACAAATTTTTGTTTTTATACAGGTACAGTATATCATATTTTTTAAGAGTAGAAAAGTTGCTCTCCACCGAAACGGTAAAATCCTCGATATCTGGAATTCATCTTAATTTAGAACAGATGAGTCTAAATTTTGAAGGTTGTATTATATAAGAATTAAGAGAAATAAAGCTAAGAACGAAAAGACACGACTTCATAATAGTCCAGGAAGGACCGAAACGTCGTCGTTTCTCCATTTTCTGGTGTGTGGTTTGGTCATCAAGAAAGAAAAAGTAAATTTACTATCAACTCATGTTTCCATAAAAGCCAGTTGCAACTTGGCTTCTATAAAAGAAAAAATGTACAAGATTAATTATTATTCATCTCATATACTTATAAACACTACAACCCCATAAGTTTAGAAGAGCGCAAGAGAAAGAGATTACCTGCACTATTATTATTTTCATCTTGATCCTCATCTTCTTCCTCTAGATCGTCAGCTTCAACTGTTGCTGCAATCATCTCGCCATCTCTGTAGCTAACATGAAATCTGTCGTCCTTATCAATGGCAAACCTGAAAACAAAAATATAAATTATCATATTGACTTCAATCAGCCAGATTTGATGATTTCTTATTAAGTTTGGCTTACTTTCTCAGTAATATACAGTACACGTGGGAAAAGGCATAACAATACAGATATACAAATATGGAAATTATTCCCCCAGAACATCCATTAGCTCACCCATCATCAAGGTCATCTGCACTCTTGAGTCCAACATTTCCTTTGTTCTTCTCTCCTCTCATCCGCCGCACCCTATCTGTTTCCAGCGCTAGAAGGCGTTCACGTTCTTCCTTCACTAACTCTTGAGGAGTCTTGAGTTTCTCTACTGCCTTAGCTTTACCACTGCGGTCAAATCCAAGCTCTTTAACTATGGTATCATAGTCTCTGAACTCACAAGTTTTCTTGGCCTGATAATAAATACTTCAATGAAATTTCAGCTACTGTATCTACATTATTTATAATATGGCCTTATATAGTCAATTATTGTATAAATGAAACTGATAACATATTTTATTAAAATTTCTACCAAAAATACAGTATACAGTAGTATATCGTAATATCTATTGAGAAACATCAGTGGTTGCATTATTTTCTTTAAGTACTGTAGCGCTGTTAAATGTAGTTTATAAAATAATCAACATGAGCATGAAAGTTATAATCACTGATGGCCAGAAAGCCTACGATACTCAAGTTTTTACCATCTACCTGGCTGCAATGAACACTAAGCCTGTTACCAACCTATTTGTCTTTACCATTAAAGAATACAGAATTAGACAAAACATTTAGTTTAAGATAAGAACACTTATAATCATACAGTTTACACAAAACTTTGTTGCCTCTAGTAATATGCACGAGCTGTGAGACTTACCTTGTCTTTATCTTCATCAGTGAGTGTATGACTTGCCATCATCGTCATAAATGACTGAAGCTCTGCATCCAATTTGTTCACAGCTTCATATTGCTCCTCTTTCTCTTTCTTAGATTCGGCCTTCTTTTTTTTCGATTCAGCTATGATTTCATCAATCCAGTCCTTCCTGCTCTTTGGTTTGCCATCCTTGTCATCTACTTCCTGGCCCTCTCTTTTGCTCAGAAATCCACCACCACCAAAATGTTTCTCTTTGACAAACTGGGCTTTGTGGAGAAGACAAAGATTAAACATTTTAAAACTAATAATTCTCAAGCTGTATGAATGTAGACCTTAAATATAAATCCACATTTATACTATCAAATTTTGTTTTCCTATACAAAAGCCGGAAAGTTTTCCTATCCTGCAGAACTCTAGGTAATTTTTACATTAAAAATATGTCTTATTATTCTGTATTACTGGTACAATATTTATAATAAAATAATTCTCCCATAGCGTGCATCTATCATCATCTATCATGTGCATATTATCTTCACTAATAATTTTAAGTTATTTTCATCTGCATCTGCACCCACATGGATATATTTAATTAATGAGTACTTCCATCAAATTACCTAACACATTGTTGTCTTTAATCAGTCACTCATTTCTTATTATTTTACAGGTACTGCACTGTATACACTATTCTAGTGAATTGCTCCTGGAAACTTGTGTACAAGTTTCAAGAATGTCTCATATTCTTCTGACTTGCATTTCTCTACCTCAGTATATGACATTTTGAAACCAAAACTCAATTGATTGAAGTTTAACACAAAATACTGCATGTACAAGACAATAGTGTAACAATATATGTTTTACAAATATGGTATAATGGAAAAGCCTATTACTTGTGAATTTTTTTAACGTTTCACAGATGCTTATACCAGTCTACTGTTCATACCAGACAGTACATGTATTCAAATCAGATGTGACAACTATGTCCAGTACATATAATAATGCCTTACCATCAAGCATCTCATCATCATCATCTTCGTCACTGATGCCCATTTTGTCATTAAGGTTGGAATCATTCAGAGAGAAGCCACCATGTGTCAGTTCTTCATTATCATTCAAGTTGAAGAGTGATTTCTGTTGAATAAATATACCTGTATTATCTTTTGATTTGCAGCATTTGACTTGCATGCTATTGGTAAGTGTTGTATATTTTATGCCATTAAGAAACGTATATATTACCTTGCTAAATTGTTTTTTCTTTTCAACAGCAAGTCGAAGAGCAATCTTCTTTTCTGGGTCCATTCTCGAGTCATTTTCACCAATCCGTCTATCAATAAATACATTGCTCTTGTTGCGTAATTTATACTCTTGTAACAGAGTTTTTTCTCTCTGTAATATTAATATTTTGGTTATGATACACTGGTAGAATAATGAGAGGAAGTGCTTGGTGGGATGAGGAAAAGGCAGGAGCAGTTGATAACTAGAAAAACAAGTGCATTTTGAGAATGAAAATTGAAGGAGGCAAGAAGGATAAGAAAGGGAGTAAGAAATGTGAAAAGGTGGTGAGGAGAAAAATCAGAGTGAATGACAAGCTTGTCAAAGATTTAATCAAAACTTTACAGAACGCACAAAGCAATTTTGGTAAGAAGCAGAAAGTTTAACAAGAAGACTAGTGGGAAAACTCAATTAAAATTTTAAAATATACATCAGAGAATGTTAACCAGTGAAGAAGGAATTACAGATGTGAGCGTTAATACTATAATTAGAGTTGCTGGTTTTGTATTAATGTAGCAGTATACCGTTGTTTTCAATATATAAACTGATGGGGTCATGAGGAAGGTAAAATATATTTGAAAAGTGTGTGAAATTTATGTATAATTGGAATAAACAATTGACCAAATCTGAAATATATAAATAATGCCTTTCTACTATAACATAATTTTACTGTATGGACATGTGTTGATTATTTGAATGCTTTGTTGATATCTGTGAATGAAGATTGTTTAAAGTTACTGTGGGTACAACTGTGTGTTTATGAAGCTATTCTGAATGCTAGATTTTCATAAATATATAATATTTATTAACATTGTCACATCAGAAAGAAAAACTATCATAATGAGAAAATAAACTTTCTGTACCTTCTTAAAATGTCCAGGAACTAACTTGATCACTTACAACATTCAGCTCACTTAATACATAATGGATGCATGCGGTGATATAAAATTTAAAAATGCACCTTTTTGAGAATTAATTAACAGAAGATGTAGGAAGGCTGAATAGATAAACCTAACTGCAGTACTATACAGAATACACAAAAGAATGTAATAGTACCTTTTTCACTGCTTTTGCTCTGGCAACTCCAGGTAGACCACGATCATCTTTGCTTTTACGACCGACAATGTCATGCTTCACTCGGTTAATATGGACTTCAAAAGGATTAAGTTTTTTCTCCTGTTTGCCTTCTAACTGCCTTCTGTCTTGTGTATTTTTGGGCTTAAACTTACCCTTTTTGCCCATCTTGGAAAAATTGTATACAGACCCTGAAAATAAGTGCCAAAACACAAGTGAAAAACACTACTTAGTAAAGCAGATTCTCATTTTAATGGAATCCAGTCCAGTGAAAAATTTTATGAGAAAGGATTACAATCTGATAGGTGGTCAATATTATGCACTAGGTTGCTGAACAAGAGAAAGGATTACAATCTGATAGGTGGTCAATATTATGCACTAGGTGACTGAACAATTATAATAATAATTCACTGTCAGGGGACAGGCAGCCATTGTACATATACATGTTAGACTTATAGCAAGGTCCCTGCCCAATTACTTGGGTTGGACTGTAGAGCGATGGTCTCCCTTCATGCAGGTCGACCTTCAATCCCTTACCATTCAAGTGGTTGGGCACCATTCTTTAAGAATTCTGTCTGTTAATCCAGACGAAGCTGGAGGCATCCAAAGAAACACCTGGGATTCTGAGATCGCGCCAGATTGGTCACAGATGTTTATATGTGGCTTGCAGGAAGTACAACCTTGTGCAGGACCTATGTGGGACTGCTGGAGGGTCCGTTCGTTCTCGACTCACAATTAAGAATTCTGGGTTCGAATCCCGGACGGAACAGAAATGGTTGGGGAGCATATCCTGACACCTAATGCCCTGTGGGTCAGTAATTCGACCTCGGGGGAGTGGGGTGAAGAACGTTGATATATAAATACACCCTGGCTGCCTGTCCTTCTGGGAGACATCTCCCGTCCACAAGGCTAACCATAGCCCGTGCTTCTTGCCTCGCTTCTATGCCAGGTAAGTTACGGGCTCACCATAGCCCGTGCTACTTGGAACTTGTTCAGAGTAGCTGAATCTATAACAACAAAAACAACATGCCTGTCCTCCCAAAGCCCCGCTCCTGTGCCAGGTAAGTCCACTACGGGCTCACCATAGCCCGTGCTACTTGCCCCGCTCCTGTGCCAGGTAAGTCCACTACGGGCTCACCATAGCCCGTGCTACTATGGGAACTATCTTATTCTGAGTAGCTGAATCTAAAACAACAACAACATGCCTGTCCCTCGACACAATTATGATTTAGAACACGATTATTAAAATTAGAACTGTGGCCTCTCACCACCTCCACGCCTCACGCCTGTTTGTTTACCATCACTCACGGTGAAAACACCCGAGCTCGCCAAAATAAATATATTTAAGACGACTTAACTTATCTGCTTCAGAAGAAATATCAACTAAAATTTGCCTTAATATTATTCAATATTCCAATTTGTATAATGCAGGAGATGGGGGAGATTGAAGGGGGAGAGAGAGAGAGAGGGAGGGAGAGGAGGAAGGGTTATTGTAACCACGAGTGTTGGGTGTAGTGTTGTTGTCAAAGTGTTGTGGGGAGTGTTGTGTGTGTGTGTGGTGGGCCTCGGCAACACCCTAGTCCAGCCTCAGCAACACCCTAGCCCAGCTTCAGCAACACCCCTAGCCCAGCCTCAGCAACACCCTAGCTCCACCTCGGCAACACCCTAGCCCAGCCTCAGCAATACCCTAGCCCAGCCTCAGCAACACCCTAGCTCCGCCTCGGCAACACCCTAGCCCAGCCTCGGCAACACCCTAGCCCAGCCTCAGCAACACCCTAGCCCCGCCTCAGCAACACCCTAGCCTCGCCTCAGCAACACCCTAGCCAAGCCTCGGCAACACCCTAGCCTCGCCTCAGCAACACCCTAGCCAAGCCTCGGCAACACCCTAGCCCTGCCTCAGCAACACCTTACACCCTGGCCCTCCCCACTCACTCACACTATTGATGAGAACTTGTGCTCTCGTGGTTCCGTGTACGGCAGGCAGCTTTCTGTTTCATTTTCCTAATGGCACTAATTGGAGCAGTTGAAATTGGTTAAATTGGGGGTTGTCAGCGGTAGTGGATGTCACTACGGCTGTTGCACATGCCAATTTAACTGTGTTCATTGATTCACTAGTGTCATTTATTTCATTTGTCAGAATTATTGCTGCAATTTGAATTAGCATTAAACGCATGTAAAATATTTCGGTTCTTTACCTGAAATGAAATGCACTTGTATTATCTTATTTGTTACTGTTTTAATATACGTATAGTCATTGTGTGTAAATTATTTCTTCTTTTGTGTAGCAATTTAGGCTAGATAGTTTTGTTTTGTTTTAATATTAACTATTTACAGAATTTAGCTTTAAGAGCCAGTACGAGACTCTTAGACATTATTTATATACTGTACTGTATTTGTATGTATAGAAAACAAATAGCATAGGAACTCGGTGTAAAGTTTTTCATTATCGAGCTGTCACTGATTACTGGATATAGGCACTAAAAAAAAAAATATTGATTGTACAGTGCACAAAATGCTATAAACTCTATGAGTATAATCCAAAAAGTATTGATATTGAAACATTAAAGGAATTTAATAAAAACTATAGAATAAATATTATAAAACTAATTTTTCCATGTTCAATGCATATTATAATGCATTGGAATATTTTTTTTTATGTGAACAATTCAAATGTTATTAGATTAATTTTCCCTGCTTTCAGGTAAATATTCATACAGACTATGATCTTTAAACTGCAGGATAACATGAGGTAGACACCTCAAAAGGTGCATTATGAATAAAAAAAAATTTAAACACTCTTATTGAAATTGCCCTTTCTAAACACCAAAATAAAGCATCTCCAAATCAATTGGAAAAATGCCACCAATGAATACAAAAACACCATGCTACTTTGCATATTAATGCCAGACATTATCAGTCATTGGTTTCTAAGACATGAGTCTCTGAACATGGAGTGTCTTATCAGGAGCCTCCAGATGCATGGCAGTGAGAACAGGGTTGGGGTGGGGAGGGGTTGTGGGGAGGTCTTCTAACGGTATTAAAATGTCACTAAAATATGCTGACACACACCCGTGCTACCATTTCCAATAATGGCAGATATTAACAGTGTGGGTTTCCAAGAAATAAGCCACCAAACATTGAGGTTCCTGGTGCTAGTGTCCAACACCCTCGGATGCTAGTCTCCGGACACTTACAGGGCTGAACGTCTGGTAACCAGGTACAGTATGCTATTCTAAGAGTGTTGCGGAAGTATGGAAATGGGAGTTGCTAAATAGACCATAATATACATGGTTAAACTGTTAAAATTCCCTTGCATTTGGGTGATGTTTTGCAGCTTGGATACAGGTGTCAGGCTATCATCTCTCTCAATTCATACCATACATTTTGCAATACACTTGATAGTACATGTATGTATAATAAAATTAATCCACGTAGTGATGTCATATAAATTTCATATGTCCAGTAACGACTGCTTTACCCTAACCTAAATGGCTGGGCTAAACATAGCTCATACTTCAAAGTAGTATGTGTAGTGTAGAGTCCTACTTCAAAGATGTTTATGTGGCATGTGTTAATTGTTATATTATTGCAGGTACAATGGCATCTGTTAGTCCAGAAGAAACAGTGGAAAATGCTGCCATGCCAAGGGAGCTGTAAGTAATGGTTCTTTCAGACGCTATTACTTGTACTAGCAACAGTGATATATAAAATATAATTTTTATTATACAGTATTTTGTTTGCTCTGTATCTTTTGCACCAATCCTGAGGATGGTTTGTGAAACCCCATTTACAAAACATCAGCTTACAATGTATGGTGCAATATTGTTTGATACTGTATATCTCATTTCTAATTCATAATTTCTTAAATTTAATCTAAATCATCTTAGTGCTGTGATACTGGTAACACTGCATTAGTTCTACTGACCCATGTGAGGCAGACTTGATTTACACCCAATTATTGTCATTTGTATATCTATTATCTAATCAAGACTAAGTAAAGTATTAACTTTACTGATACTACATGGCAGAGTGTTCTAGTACTGTACTGTGTTTTATTCTACTGTTTTACTTTCTTGATCTGATTTAAATTTATATTATTATACAATATAGTATCATGGAAGTTATTTCTTCCCATAATTACAGTACAGTCCAGTAAGTACAGTACAGTATATGGAAATTTTGTACCAGTCATGTAATTTTTTTCTTTAGTGACTTGCTATGTGCAATACTATACCTAATACTGTATAATGTTTTAGGGCTGCTGAGAGCAGACTATACATTGAAGTTGGAGGAGACTGCATCCCAATTATTTATCGAGAGGAATATAATATTCATCTGCTTGGCATGGAGAGACTTCATCCATTTGATGCATGCAAATGGGGCAATGTAATCAAGGTACTGTAATTTCTAAGGAATACTGTATTTCTGAGTTACTTATTTTTCCAATCTCAGAGGTATACTGTACAATACTGTATATATATATATACTTTTGCCTCTTACAAATGTTTGTGAAAAGTCAGGCAAGCCAACAGGTGGCAACTGGCAGGCAATTATTAGCTAAGTAGAGAGCAAGGTCACCTGACATGAACTGACCTCTGGCCTTCATCTAAACATTAACACTTGTGAGGTGTGACTTTCCTATTGTCAAGGAAGTGACTGACTACATAAACTAGGCAACTACCCTCGTGCCCATGACGTTCAGAATCATGCTGCTCTTGCAGCGAATTTTGGCAGCATGTCTTGGGTATACAATCAGGTGCGGGGGTTTTGGAGGTCTAACAGGGTCCTGGCCACCAGATATCTAGTGAACATTCCAGTTCCTTCCCAGCCTTATGTGGCTTTGGGGTGCCTGTCGTGGCCATCTGTCTCTTTGTCTTGAGACCTGCGGTGCTGCCTCCTCCCGGTTAAGTCCCTCTTTTTATTTATCTTTGGGTAGTTAGCTTCAGGGAGCCGACGTGGGGCTCCCCACAGAAAATCAGCGTTGAATGTAATGAAACGCCATTTACTGGGTGAGACACCCTCCCTGACACCCTTCCTCCCTCCCTCTGGTTGGTGGTTTTTCATCATTCAAGAACTATAGTGGTGGGCTGCCGGCTTCCCCTTGCCGCTAGCGAGCGGAAGTGCTAGTTGCATGAAGGGTTGCTTGTTTGGTTTCTTTCTAGGGGTTATTTTGATCTTTTGGGATGTAGATTGCACAGGTTAACCAGACAGTGGTCTGTTTTGATTTGCCTACCTTTCTGGGTCCTTCCCCAGGACCCATAATTGCCATCCTTCGATGGCAATTATGAAATACTGTACAGTACTTTAAATGTCAAGTGCTCTTAGGCCATTCCTCCCTGTGCCTCTCTGAGGGGCCCTTGTTCTGGCTTGTAGTTCCTGGTAGGTATAAGAACTCCGGTGACTGATGACCCCAAACTAATGTAGCACATATCAGTTCTGATAGCTTCAGGGAGCCTCCAGGGCTCACCCAGAAAATGGCATTTCATTACATTCAGTTTTTTTTTTCACTAATACTATAGTGGTTGATGGTTGGGGTAAACTCAAAAGAGGTTATCAAAACAGAAACTAATGGAAATTAAAAAAAAAATTATTATAAAATTTATAATTGGATAATGTCATAAATAAATTTCTTCTTGCTACAAATACACTTATGAACACTCACGTCCACACACGAGAGCAGTGGAGTAATAACAGGTTGTGTATCCTCTGTTCCTACACATCATCTGAGGACATTCTCAACCTGTGATCATGTTTTGTAATCCTCAATTTGTAACCACTATATTATGCCAAATAAAGCTTAAATGATGAAAAATGGGGGGGTTGGGTTGAGCTGGCAGGAGAATCTTTATACTTTTATTGATGGGAACGTGTTTGTTTTTCTATATCTTAGGTTATGAGTCGCCATTTCAGCTAGAGATGTGTACATGTATGTAATAATAGTTGCTGTAGTATAACTGTAACAAACTGAGAGCACCTATCTTATTTCAGCATTTAAAGAAGAAGCAGCTGTTGAAAGGCTTAAACCTAGTTACCCCTAATGAAGCTTCAGAAGCTGATCTTCGGCTGGTTCACTCGGCATCTTATCTAAGAAGTCTCAAGGTAAACTGATCCAAGAAGTCTCAAGATGAGTAGCTGTAGTTTTTTTGGGGGGGATTCCTACCTTTCTGGAGTGCCTGATCTGGCAGATGTATACTGCTTCCATCTACATGGGGAGGGAAGTCTGTGGGCCATTGCTCCTCGTGGCTCTCTGAGGGAGCCAGGTTCTGGTTCATGGTCTCTGGTAGGCTAAGAATTCCATCGATTGACAGTTGCCATGGTTTAATATATAATTACAAAAAATAGTAATAAATGCAGGTATTGATTCGTTACACATAATGCGATATAATTTGGGATAGGTCGGAAGAGGTTTGGTCTCTATTATTTCATTAAAATGAGAGTACATATCATTTGGATTGTTAATTAATTTACATTAACTTATGAAACATACAAACTTGCTTCCATATGACTATTTATCATAACCAAGAACAGTTTGTTACTTGAATATCAATAAACAGTTTAATATTGTGTCTCATAATTTTCTAATTTATTTTCAGGTTAGCTTTAAGCAATCATAATAAAAGTATCATTTCTCTTTTCCAGTGGAGTATCAATGTGGCTAAAATTACTGAGGTCGCTCCAGTTGCACTTCTACCCAATTTGGTTCTGCAAAAGAGAGTACTGAAACCATTCAGGTTGGTTTAGTCATTTTGCAAGTTTATATTAAATGTAAACAAATATGGGTCTTGGTAGTGTAAATGTTTAATGAATGCACAGGAATTTTCCAATCTCATTACTTGCACAAATGTCGAGGATGACAACTTGAATTATCACATTCATAACAGGGTAAGTTAAAAACAGTTTTCTCTTTATACTGTGCTTACTAAACTTGATCATGTATTTATGCCCCTTTGTTCATTGTTCAGCTTATGCCCCCCCCCTTTGTTTATTGTTCAGCTTATGCCCCTTTTGTTTATTGTTCAGCTTATGCCCCTTTGTTGATCAGCTGCTCCCTTAAGTAAGATTCCACTAATGTCTTTGTGTAAGGACACAAGCGTCTTACTACTCATCCTTATTTGCCTGGTGGGGCTGTAGGACCACTTGTATTACTTGGGTGGCCCTCCGTTAGGTCCCCATGATTGCACATGTCGCAGGTGTTCAGTGTTTTGTTTGTTTGGTAGTTCCGGGATAACCGGTTAGCAGTTCCTTGCCTGGGCATAAACGAGGGGAGGGCGAGTATAATGATAGCTAGGGACTTGGTGTTATACCCGGTGGCTCCAGGATATACCTTATACAGAGGTTATGTTTCGTACAACAAACTAGAGTAAACAATCTCGGGGTAAAGGCTTTGGCAATTGATAACTCAGGGTAAAAATGAGCAAGCTCAGAAAGTAAAAATTGAATTGATTTAAAATAATCTATTCATTTATTTAATTTTGTTTGCTTTATGGACATTAAATGCAAGCAGGAGACAACTTGCTTGCTGAATGTATAAAAACTTCATTCTGAATGTATAAAAAAAGTTTATTCATTCTTCATACAGCCATTTATAGCACAATACATCTTGTATACCAGTACGATTCTTAATTTTATTGCTTTTTCAATAGTTGTAGTAAAAGTAAATATCAAGAGAAATCACTAAGCCATTACAATTATATAGCTCTTGGAAGGAACATCAGGATAAGGATTTAGGATAGGATGAAGGAAAGGAATTGGTGCCCACCCATTAGAGCAGTTGAGGATTGAACACCAACCTCCACAAAGCGAGACCATCCCTCTTCTGTCCAGTCTAAATGGTTGGGCTCTCGGTAGTAGTACTGTAGTAGAATTTGTATTGCCATAATTTATAAATTATGCAGCTCTTAAAACCTACTTTTCTGTTGTAAGGAACAATTAATTTAAGTGGGTCATCACTGAAATAAAATATGAACAATTTCTCTTAATTTTTGTTTGTTTAATTTTTCAGATACCAAACTGGAGGCAGTGTTTTGGCTGGAAAACTGGCTATTGAGCGAGGCTGGTCAATCAATGTTGGAGGTGGATTTCACCACTGCTGGGGGAATAAGGGTGGTGGATTCTGTGCATATGCTGATATTACCCTCACTGTGCACTTCATTCTCAACCACTATCCCAACATTGAGAGAGTTATGATTATTGATCTGGATGCTCATCAGGTAATACGAACATGTAAAGATGAACTCTACGTATATAGGGCCCTTGTTTAAGACTGGATTTTTGTTTGTTGGACACTCAGTTTCCACCTGTGTGTGTGTGTGTGTGTGTGTGTGTGTGTGTGTGTGTGTGTGTGTGTGTGTGTGTGTGTGTGTGTGTGTGTGTGTGTGGCTGTGACTGGGGAAGGTGAGGCATGTGAGGTGGGGAGGCAGTACTGATGCGTGTATCCCATGAAACATTATTAATCCATTTTGACTAAGGGGTAATATTCATGATTTTGTTGTACCCTGTGTATGCTGTAGACACTTGTTTTATGCAATTTATTGTGTGGCTTCTGAATACTATATTCATCACTATAAATCACCTTGAACTTTGCAGTCCAACATAGACCTCCCTTCTCTTCCAACTTGATCAATTCCACAAAGTACTTTTTGCCTGGCGGCTACACTGATTTGTAAGATGGCTGCCATGACCGTCCTAGGGTAGATTTTCATTGTCTCAATAACCAGATCTGTTTACATTAGATTGGTTTATCTCCATGCAAAATCTGATGCTTGAATCGCAAAAGCTAGTGTAGGTTTGTTATGCAATGACAGGCACAGGCATTTCAGTTAGGTTGTATCACTTATGTTGAGTTTAATCTAATTTACCGTTGAATATACTGCATCATTATTTTTACCGGATATGCCAGTACTATATTATGTTATTTTCTATAAATGGCTTTGGATAAAAATAAATATCGCACCTTATCACTTCTTGTCAACAGGGCAATGGACACGAGCGAGACTTCATGGGACGGAAGGATATTTATATCCTTGATATATATAATAAATATATATATCCTAATGACACATTTGCAAAAAAAGCAATTAGCCGCAAAGTGGAACTTTTTGCGTACACTGAAGATGAGGAATATCTTGAAAGAGTTAACACGTAAGTTTGTTGGTTCATCGTACACCGAATTATAATGTTCAAATTTGGTAAGAAGTGATTAGCAAGTACTGTAGAAGAAAGTACTGTATGGAAAAGATAAATTCTTTAGCAGTGTGGTTTTTATGTTCTGTTCAAAATCTGAATATTTCATAAATATAAACACAAAATATTACGTGTATATTCCGTGCAAATAATGTACATGATCATAGATGTGTAATATGTTATGCATTGCATGTACTACATATACTATAGATGTGCTATATATAGATTATATATAATCTGTATTTAGATATATAGATTAGATCTATATATAGCATGTACAATATATAGATTTGGTGTACATGTATGTATGTGTTCATAGATGTGCAAGAGCTTGAGTTTAACATGTTTGCTGTGCATTAACACAGGTTTCTCTGATACCCAGAATATAGTGGGATATATGTTTAGGCAGATTCTAGCATTATATTGGGCTTTATGGAAGTGGAATATAATGTATCTACTAAGGATAAATATGGCAGGAATCACTAAAATAAAGTAGTGTATATTAATAAGTGAAAGAATTGATAGAAAATCAAAGGCGATTGTAAGGATCGAATGATAGAGTACATATATATATAAGTTGTATAACAGGAATGAATGCTGAAAATTGTGTACTATATATGAGATGTCATAATTATATTGTACTGCCTTCTATTTTCTTATTCTTGTAACTTAGGCTTTTCTTGTTTCTTCTCTTACATTTTTCCATTTGCACTTAGTCGATGAGGCCTTACTTGCTACTTTTCACACCTGGCAAGTAATTATGTATCTTGGTGCAAGCAACAGTTGCATAGAGTGATGTCAATGTGTTACTTCAAAAGTTGTTAATAAACAGTTGCATAGAGTGATGTCAATGTGTTACTTCAAAAGTTGTTAATAAACAGTTGCATAGAGTGATGTCAATGTGTTACTTCAAAAGTTGTTAATATAATAACTTTACAGACATGTGGAGGGGGCCCTGAATGAGTTCAATCCTCAAGTGGTGATATATAATGCTGGAACTGACATCATGGCAGGTGACAGTTTAGGTCTTCTGTCCGTTTCCAAACAGGTATGTGAATCTAATTTTTTTTCTTTCCATACAGTTGAAGATACAACATATATAGGACTTCTGGTTCTATATAAGGATGCATTTTATGAGACACTTCAATGCAAAACCGAATTGCATAATATTTTGTCAAGGATCTTGTGGGAACAATAGGATGCATTCCAGACCAAAGAATATTTATTAACACATTTACAAATGTGGAACTTTATAGAAAATTTAAAGTTTTTTGACAATTTTTTTTTTTTTTTTTTTCATTTAATTCTGACAAATTTCTTTCTGGGCTAATGTACCCAGTGTTTATGCATTTAAAGTCACTTATAAAGCGAAGAAAAAACCTGTGTTATTAATACTGACTAATCACATTGACATGTAAATCAGAGAGTTGACAAAGTTCAACCAAGAAATAAACACAAAATTCTGCAAAGAAGTGGTCTCTGCTGAAATCCATCATACAAAAACTGGGAGCTTACTGTATTATATATTTGTATAATTAACTCGAAAGATGTATGTATTGTTATTCTCCATTCATGATTTGCCATGTTTTAGTTTCACTAACATCATGAAGGCATTTTGCCCAGTCTAAGGAATGTATATTTTATCCTTTGTTAGTTAATTATTTTCAATAATGACTTTCATCAGAGGAGCTCGATGTGTGCTCCTCATAAACAAAACTGCAGCAAAATTAGTCATTGAATAAATGCATCTTGATTAGTAATACCAAGAGTCATATTGTCAAAATCCTCACCATTACTCCAAAACTAAATGCATTGTGCTATTTGAAAGTAGCAAAGTGCTGTTTGTCTTGAGCCATTAACATTAGTGTGGTTGAGGGGTACAAAGTGCTGTTTGTCTTGAGCCATTAACATTAGTGTGGTTGAGGGGTACAAAGTGCTGTTTGTCTTGAGTCATTAACATTAGTGTGGTTGAGGGGTACAAAGTGGTGTTTGCCTTGAGTCATTAACATTAGTGTGGTTGAGGGGTACAAAGTGGTGTTTGCCTTGAGTCATTAACATTAGTGTGGTTGAGGGGTACAAAGTGGTGTTTGCCTTGAGTCATTAACATTAGTGTGGTTGAGGGGTACAAAGTGGTGTTTGCCTTGAGTCATTAATATTAGTGTGGTTGAGGGGTACAAAGTGGTGTTTGCCTTGAGTCATTAACATTAGTGTGGTTGAGGGGTACAAAGTGGTGTTTGCCTTGAGTCATTAACATTAGTGTGGTTGAGGGGTACAAAGTGGTATTTGCCTTGAGTCATTAACATTAGTGTGGTTGAGGGGTACAAAGTGGTGTTTGCCTTGAGTCATTAACATTAGTGTGGTTGAGGGGTACAAAGTGGTGTTTGCCTTGAGTCATTAACATTAGTGTGGTTGAGGGGTACAAAGTGATGTTTGTCTTGAGCCATTAAAATTAGCCTAGTTGAGGGGTACAAAGTGTTGACAGTACAGCAGAAAAACACTATAATGAGAGTTGGTTATATTTATAAATAAAAGCTCTATTTATTTTTTATTTCTGGGGGGAGCCCCGTCGGCTCCCCGGAGCTTTACCGGCTGATATGCTAATGTCAGACTTTGGCATCAGTCATGTGTATGGAGTTCTAGGGCCTACCGGGGACCACGAGCCAGAACCTGGCCCCCTCAGAGAGGCAAGGGGAGCAATGGCCTATAGAAACCCCCGTGTGGTTGGAAGCATTCTATGTCTGCCATCGACCGGGTCAAGCATCCAGAAAGGTAAGCATTCCAAAACAAACCCCTATTCTGGTGAAAATTGCTACCTAAGCCGAACTAGTGAATAGAACTCTTCAACAGAAAACACGGAAACTAGTATGACGTCATACGTCACCGCGCCGCTGTCTGCGCAGCTCCCCCCTCCCCGGGAGGGGGAAGGGGGAGCCCCAGACCTCCCACGCCGGCTATCCACCCATCAGTTCTTCGGCTGATGCTATAGGCAATGGTTATGTGCTCCGGCTCCAGTGGTTGTTTCAGCACTGTACCTAGAGTGTGGTGTCTGTTTTCTAGGTGGTGCGTGAGCCGGGTGTGATTCTTCAGTACTCGGGCTGCATGCGCCTAGGGTTCCCTTCCCTAGGTGCCCTGTAAGTACTGCCCTTGGGGCTTGGGGCCACCTTCCACAAGTTCCTTGGGTCCTGCCCCTGCTTGGCCGTTTACCGCTTGGTTTTCGGCCGCTCTTTGTGTGCTCGGGTGTTCTGTCTCCCTTGTTCGCCTTAGAGTAAGGGGCAGTGTTTGCACTGGTGGGGCGCGGGGTACTGTGCAGCTTGTCTTTACCAATCATAGCGGCCGGCTCTGTTCCGCTTGGGTACGCTGTCCTCTTGCGGGGTTTTCTTTTTCTTTTGTTTATATACCTGGTGGGGGGGTCTGCCTTCGTTCTTGCCCCTTGTGTCCCTTGTGTTCTGAGTATTTCTGGTGGTACCCCCTGCTAGGTCCCCGTGAGTGTACACGTCCCGGGGGTTCAGCTCTTAGAAAGTTGTTTGGTAGCTTGGGTGCCGGTTAGCAGTACCCTGCCTGGGATTACCTGAGCGCGAGTCCTCTTAAAGTAAACGCTCGGGACCCTGGGAAACCCCTGGGGGCGCGCGGGTCCGATGGATGTGACCCCAGAGCCCCCCCCTCGCTTCCAGCGAGTTTGAGGGTTGCTCTCACCTTTTGTCTCTGGGTGACTCTCTGTTTTGCCTCCGTCTGCTGCCTGTGGGGTCGGTGACACCTTCGACCCGGTGTCCTGCGAGTTTGGTTGCTCGTTGTGGCTCGGTTACCCAGTTGTGCTAACAAAGCGGGTGCGGGCAGCAGGGGCGTTGCACTTGAGCCTTGGTGGTGGCAACGTTCTCGTGGTTTCCTCCCCGGGAGCCCCGGGGCTGCCCCGTTGTATTTCGTTTTTCCCCTGGTTCACCCTTCCTGCCTGCATCCGGTTCCTTACCGTCTGTAGGTTCAGGGCGGGGTGTTTGGTGGTGTTGAGACTCGGGCAGTCTCGGGGAATTCCCCTTCCGGGGTAGTGACGGGGGCATTTGGGCCTGTTCCTCCAGCCGTGTTGTATGAGTCTGCCAGTGGGCTCCCTTCCTTAGTGTTTTCACGGCTGCCCCGGTTTTCTGGTACGGCCGGGGCTTTGGGGGAACGGCTCGGCCCCGGGGCCTGTCGTGTAGGTTCCCGGGGCTGGGGAGGGGCTGACTTGGGGGGCCTTGGCCCCGTTAGACCCCGTGGGGGGTTTTATCCCCCTCTAGGCGGGGCTTGTGGTTACGCGGAGTGGGGTTTTTCCTCCCCACTCGCCGTACGTGCTGTTGGACGTCGGCCCCTCCCCGGGCTCGGTTCCTTGGCCTTTGAGTCGGTTGGTTCCGTCCTGTGGGTGGATGTTTCCTCCCCCGCTTTTTGGGACGGTGTTTTTGTCATGTTTCCCCGTTCGATGGGGTTCTGCGTGACTTTTGATCTCGGGTGCGCCTGCGCCTTCGTGTGCCTTCGGGACTAGTGTTGGCTTCTGTGTTCTCGAGGGTACGGGAAGGTTTTTCGCTACTTCCCGCATTATTGGAACGTCTGTCGGCTCCTAGTACTTGTCGCCCTGTTGGGCTACTTGTCGCCCTGTTGGGCTACTTGTCGCCCTGTTGGGCTACTTGTCGCCCTGTTGGGCTACTTGTCGCCCTGTTGGGCTACTTGTCGCCCTGTTGGGCTACTTGTCGCCCGGTTGGGCTACTTGTCGCCCGGTTGGGCTACTTGTCGCCCGGTTGGGCTACTTGTCGCCCGGTTGGGCTACTTGTCGGCCGTTTGGGCTACTTGTCGCCCGTTTGGGCTACTTGTCGCCCGTTTGGGTTCCCTTTTTTGGGCTCTTTGCTTCTTTGGCCGGTTTTCTTGTTCCTGCTTCCTCTTTTGGCTCTTTTTCTCGTGCAATAGTCCTGGCTGGCGCCTTCCCGCAGGGAGGGTGTGCGGTGCGGCCAGCGTGTTATGCGCATGCGCCGTGGAGTTTGTTTTGGTCTGGGCGATGGTTCAGTGCTGGGGTTTTGCGCCCTTTTTTGCTACAGTGCTTCGCCTCTCGTTCTTCTCCCTGGCTGCGGTATGTGCCCCTTTGCGCCAGGGGTGTCCTGGTTCCCAGTTGTGGGGAGGACACCGCGGTTTTCTGTGTCATGGGTGTGGACCGCCTCCTTCGCCTCTCCCTGTTCTCCTGCGGGTCCGGCTCTGGCGTCTTCACCTGGCGGTGCTCCCAAGTTCTTCTGGGCACGGTTGAGTCGTGTCAAGTTCGAGCCACCATTCGCCAGGTGAGTTTCTGCGGTCTGGCGTCTTTTGGCCGGGCGCTGGATGCGGCGGTGTTCATATACCTGTCTTTATTTAGGTATAATTTTGTACGACTGAGACCGTTCGCACACCAGTGACTGTCCCTTTATCACCCCTTCCTGTCCCCCTCCTGTGCATGTCCAACCCATGCTCCAGTCGTTCAGGGGACCCTCCTTTTTTAATGTTGTGAGGTGTGGGGGTTGTAGGGTTGGTTCTGTACTCACCTGGTGAGGCTCCTGGCTGTGCTTGCAGGATTTGAGCTCTGGCTCTTGGGTCCCGCCTATCTGGTAGAACTTGCGGGATAGTACCAGTGGAGTGCAGTGGTGCTATTGGCACTTTTGGGGAACACTGTATTACCATCAGTGGTCTGTGCTTGTTACACGACCTACTTGCGCGCATAAGCCTTCTTGCTGGTTCGTCCGTGGACTTCCAGGGCGCACTGGCCTGTTTTCGTATGGCAGTTCCGGCCCGTCCTGGTTGTGGGGGTATGTGGGCCGGTGGACTGCTCCTAGCGGCTGCCTGGTGGGCCATCCTCTGGCCGGTCTGGCCTGACCTTGGGCCGGGCTTGAGGTGTAAAAGAGCTCCCAGTACCTCATCCAGCAGGTATCGAGCGGGGTTTCTCCGCCGTCGGTCGCCTGGTGCAGGTTTCTGGGCCTGCAGGGTTTTGTCGTGTCTCCGTTGGCCCTGTCTGGGGTCTGCCTGCTCCGTTCTCTGCCTTTGCAGAGGGGAGTTGCTATTTACATGTTGCATGTTGCAGTGGTGCCTGTTGCTGCTGCTGCTGCACGTGAGCATTGGTACCGTGTTTCACGGTGGCGTGTCCTTGTTCCTGTGTCCGGTTGTGGAGTGGCGCTTTGCTGCCGTTTTGTGCCTGGGGATTGCGTGGGGTTTTTGTCCCTGCCTGATTGTCCACCCCTGGTTGTTCTCCTGGTTTTTTTTTTTTTTTTGTGCTTCTGCTCTTTCTTCCTGCCTCTTCTGCAGCAGGAATGTTCTGCGTGTGTTCTTAGGCGTTGGTCAGCCTGTGTCCTGTGATGTGCTTCTTTGTTTCGGTCTGTTGCAGTTGTTCGGGCCCCTTGGTTCGGGTCCTGTTCTGGCGGCGACCCTTCCGCCTTCTTTGGTTTTCCTAGCTTGCCCTGCCGGTTGTTGTTGTTGTTTTATTTTTTTTGGGGGGGTTCTTGCGATGTCTCGCGTCGGACCCGTCGTTTCTGAACTCCTGGCGGGCTTGCATGCTTCGGAGTTTTTCTGTTCGGCAGACGTTCCATCTCCTTGTGCCGCCTGGGTTTCGGTGGTCGCGCCCGAGATCTTCTCGCGGCTCCGCCTTTTTCCTGGGCTCGGGGGGGCCTTGTCGGGGCTGCTTATGTTCTGCCTCGTGGTCTCGCCTCCGGTTGGTGGTCGGGTGGCTTCGTGGTAGGTGTCCCACCTGCGTGCTTCTTGGCGGCAGTATGGGGTATTTTGGCGGTCCTTCCTTTTCCTGTCCCTTCTTCGGTGGGTCCTTCTTGTTGGCTTGGTTTACTCTCGGCTTGGTTTTCTAGTGGGGGTTGGGGGCCGTCGTCTTGCCACATACTGTCGCCTCTTTTCGTGCGGCGCAGGCGGAGCCGCTTCAGCTTGCTTTCGGTCTTGGTGTTGCTTCTGCACCGTTAGTCAGCTGTCTTGTGCGTCATTTCACCTCCGGCCTGTTCGTGCGCCGCTTGCACCATCCTGGTCTCTGGTCAGCGTGCTCTGTCTTCTCCTCGGTTGGTAGTGCCCCTTCGGTTCCGGTGTGTTTTTTCGTCGGCTCTTTCCTTTGGGCCTTTGCCTCTGGGGGTCGGTTCGCTGAGTTTTCTTGCTCCTTCGGTTTTAGCGTTTTGGTTGTTTGATGGCAGCAGTCTCCATCTTTTCTGGCGCGGGGTGGGGCTGCTGCATTCTGCAGGGGTCCAGGGTTGTTGGTGCTTCGTTGGTTGGGCCGGGGGTGTGTCGTGTTTTGTGTTCAGTGGCGGCCCTCCGCTGTTGTTTGCGTGCCACGGTGTTTGGGTCCGGAGCACGTTTTGCGTTGATCCGGTTCTGTTCTTCCCGGTTTGCGTGTGATGGTGTCCCGGGTGGTCAGCCGTGTTCTTGTGGCTAAGCTGCCTGTGTTCTTCCCTCATGCCTGTGGTGTTCGTGGCTTCGCTGCTCTCGCTGCCGTTTGGGCGACGTGGCCTTGCAGTCTTTCGGGCATGGATTTTTGGTGTTCGTGCAGGGGCCTTGCTGCTCGTGGTTCTCGTGTTGTTCCCGGGATTTTCGGGGCTGTGGCGCCTTGGGTTGGCGTTTGGTTTCTATAGGCCATTGCTCCCCTTGCCTCTCTGAGGGGGCCAGGTTCTGGCTCGTGGTCCCCGGTAGGCCCTAGAACTCCATACACATGACTGATGCCAAAGTCTTTCATTACACTCAAAGCTCTATTTATTTTTTATTTTTTTTTCTTACCTTTTATTTAAATATCAGTCACGGTGTATATACTTTATTAAGTTTACTTGTTTTTCTTAAGATATCCTCAAAATCATAATTTATATTTGCATGTACATGATACTTGTTTCACAGAATTATTTCTATCACCAGTGCTTTATGACAAAGAATAATCTTTCCCCAAACTTAGCTAAGTTTGTGTTCCGTTATGTAGTTTTCAGTTATACGAGTAACTGCAATAATAATACTGCAAATATTGTAACATTAGGTACTGTAAAGACTTAAAACATATTAAATCAAATTTTCTCTTTGGGAAATGGGTGATATAATCACAGAAATATTATTTATTTCCAGGGTATAATTGAACGAGATGAGATAGTGTTTCAGAAGGTCCGACAGCGAAGCATCCCAATTGTCATGTTAACCAGCGGAGGCTACCAGCGTGTAACAGCAGCTGTCATTGCAGACTCAATAGCCAACCTTACTAAAAAGTCACTAATTGATATGTCATCTCATTAGCAAGTAAACTCCAGGTTGGACACTACTCTCAGTACACTTTACCATTGGTATGTATGTAGAGTAGCTCTAATTCACTTTTATTTCTTGTGAAATAAAAGTATAGTAGAGTATGTTGATAATTTTTTTAATAAGTAAAAGTCTTAATCCTTAACTTACTGAGATCATAAATAACAGATCGAGGGTGTCATGGTAAATTAGCTTTATAAGTTAAATGCTCATAATTAAGTTTTGCCTCTTGCTACATAATATTCTTTGTGTGTGTGTATTTTGTTTACAAAAATACACCTCTGGTCATTTGGGAGTGAGTGTACAGTATAAATAATCAAGTTAAAAGTTGCTGAACAGATTCAAGGAAGGAATGGCCTCTCGCCTATGTTTTTTTCACATGTTTCTATCATTTTATCAATATGCAATGTGTAATCAAAATATTAAATAACAGCTCAAAAAATCTCAGAGATGAAAATGACTGCAAAAATGTGTTTCTTTCTCACACGGCACAAATGGCATGTATCCTGTGACGTATGGTGTTAGTAATGGTTGTACCCGTCATTCAAGACAAAACTGGTAGTTGCTGTTTTGTCAAAATATTTGTGTTGAGTTGCTCGGGTACAAAACTGTTGTTGGTGGGATAAAGGCTGAAATATACATGTTATCAAGTGCTGCTCCTTATAGTGAGTTGTTTATAATGTTTGCTACTGTTGAAACAGTGGTTGAAATGAGCGTGTTTACTAATGGATGTGTTTAGGGCAAGCATTGTTGCCGTGATCCTGTTGTATATAATACAAATTAAATCAGTGACTTATATGACTTCAAGCAGTATATTTCCTGCCCATATTAGTTGTTTTACTAATGAGGTTATTTGTTAATACAGGGAACCTTGCTTAACGGATGAGAGGCATGCCTCAAAAAGGGTTCAGTGATTATATATTCATTGGACAAAAGTCATTTTATCATTAACTACTATGGTTAAAGCTGAGATATGTTCCACACCTAAAATTTTCCAATATTGAACAACTTTTTGTACACCAGAAACACATATTATGATACATAATATGGTAATAGAACATCAGACATATGTTTATTTAAATTTATATATATGAACAAAGGAGTGGCAAGAACTAGAATGTAAATTGTAATTCAGCTAAATCCAACTGCTTGTCCTCCTTTCCACCAGAACCTAGGCACATAGACAGCCCCAGAGGTGGCCGCATAGTGATCACATTTTTATCCCAGATCCCATGTGAATTCATATTGTCATTGCATGATATACACATGACAATTAAGCCACATCTCTCCTACATTCCAAAGTCAGTTCAAGTTTTATTGCAACTTTACAAGAATGTATCATTTACAAATTAAATTTGCTTCAAAACACACTGTAACTGTAAATATTTCAATGCATAAATAAAGTGCGCATGTTGAGTTCCGTCATTTGCAATTTTTGGAGCGAGTAAAGCACTACCTACCCCACCTCCAGCTCCCTCCCATCCCTGCATCCTTCCACTCCACACACACCATCCTCCCAACCCAGTTGGAGGATCAAAGCCGCACGCATGATACATTTTAAGTCGCAAGTAATATTTTTCTAATAAACCGGCAAATTACTGTACTTACGACACATTAAAAAACAGGTTGTGAAGAGGACTGGCATTAATATTGTATTAATACAATTTTGTTATTGGTTACTTTTTCAACACAGATGGCTAGTGATGTCTTGATATGTTTGCTAGCTTCAGCCAAGTCTTGTATGTTAAGAGTTGCTTTAAGGTCTTGGAAACTTTATCACAAGCATCATTCTTTTCCATTGAAATGTGTTTTGTTTTTAACCGATTCCTAATTTGTTAGATCTTTACCATGCGTCTTATACTTGCACTACATCATTCTGAACCATTTCATTGAATCCATCATTTCTGGCAAGTTTGACAATCTTCTGATGGATAATATTAAGTGAATCACAAAAACTAGTGAAGTCATTCTTGCATTCTATCCACAGTGTATCCCGGCATATATGTAATGTTGTCTGTGTCACTTCCTTCTAAACAGGATTTGTGTTGTCAATGACAATAATGATTTACATCTGCCTAAGCTGTATATTCTTATCAGTTTAGTCTAAAATGTTCTGCATCATTTGACACATGTAATATGCCATAAACATTTTTATAAAGCCTTAATCCATGGGCTGTATCAGTGATGGAAGAATGAAAGAAATTCCTACCCGAGAGGTGACAAAACTAAGAGTATGTGAGGATGCTCAGCAAGGACACTGATAGTGTTCAAGAGCAGATGAAAACTTGTATGTTCAGTTAGGTAGCAGCAGCAGTAGTATGTGTGGAATAAACTATATTAACAATTTAGCATGTGGATGGATGTAAAGAAAGTAGGGAGCTATTTGCGCTAGAGCTCAATAATGATTTACAAGAATGCATTAAATGTAACAAAAAGTGATTAATTTTGTATGTTATTACAGAAAATATTTTTTGTTAGGTTAATTGGATAATTTTAAAGTATTCGTAATGTAAGCATTCGTTAAGCATGGTTTGCCTGTATTGTACATTATAGCTCATTGTGAAGTGTGAACAAATCTAGAAGGACTTGTGTAGCTGTTGCTCATAGGACTTTTCCCTGTAAATATTTGAGAAGTTCTTTTACGTGATGCATAATGTTCTATTTGAAGAATCTCTATTATAAATTAATGAGAACAGGTTCAACATGGGTGCTAATTGAATGCTCATTTTATTATACTGTATTTAAAAAATAAGTATCTTATTGCGATAAGCTTGAAATATACGAGAGTTTGCATCATAGAAGCTATGGTTTAGCTTTCATCTACCCAACTAACTGATGTGAACTAGGGGGCTCCTTGTCTAAAGTAAAATAATGCATATTTCTAAATAGATTATTATGTAATACTGAACACAACACTGTTTTGATCTTGGTTGGGCAGGGTCAGTCCCTGGAAACACAAAACGAAACTGTCTCTATTTTCCGCTTGTTGCAACTTGTAATAAAGTTGTTACATCTTCGCTTAACATGTGTATGACGTATTAGAACGTTGTGACAACTTGCTATATTGGTTATTATAACTGGTTAGGAGGTGGTTAAAACTTGTTCGAACGTTGTACCAACGTCGTAGTTTCGGTGTGTGTTTGGCGGGGTGCACTCAAGTGCTTGTGATCAATCTATCAACAAGGTACTGTAGTTCCATTAAGCATTTGGATTACGGGAAATACTCGAGAAGATATTTACTCTTAAGAAATATATCATCTAAATCTTTTTAAGAAAAATGCCAGATGATAAAGGTAAACTTCTTAACGATTGTTTTTTGTTAGTTATCCCTAAAATGGATACCTTTTGGGGATACCAAAAGGTGTCCCTTTTGAAAAACTAAGCTGTTCCCAAAAGGAATACCTTACAGTTTTGACTAGATTAATTTATTCGTTCTCTAAAGTGAGATTTTTGGAGAATACCTTGGTGTATAAGTGCTATACTTTCAAAAGACATTTATGGTTGTGCAGGGAATATCCCAATTATTGGGCTGTGCAACTTCCTGGTTGCAGAATTTATAGCCGTTTTGAAAAGCGTGGGAGGTGACATTGAATTATATTTTGAAGATGATCAAGCATAGCATTTTCATATTTACACATGCCCTCATACCAAGATCCAATCACTAGACTTGATTGCAACCAATACCCTGGTATGTTTAGCATTAGATGCAACCATTTTGTTTGTTGCAAATCATTAAATATATTCTATACCTATATTTTATAATGTGCATGTCTTTTGAGCCATACCATATATAATACTATACTGTGTTCATTTTCATTATCGTGCCCTCGACACCATAACTCTTCCACCTCCCACACAGCAGCATGTCTAAACTCCATATGCTAAACACAAGTTTAAACTCCATATGCTCGTTATATTCCATGTACAGTTATGAATATTCCCTCGTATCATTATACTATACAATGTATTCATTATATTCCTTTTGCTCATTAAAACACTTTATAGTCATTATAGCACCCCATAATCATTATATCCCAATACTCATTAGACCAATTCATATCCTTAGCTGATCTGTGAATAGCTCTTGTTTAGTTACGTCAAAACATACCAAGTTAAAATTGGGATGATCTGTCATTACATGTCCCAGTTCCATTTTCAATGCTTCCAAGATGGTATGCATCCTTCAAAGATGAAATTCAACTAGTCTTTTTCTCTCTTCTGTCATAGACAGCATGTCTTTGGGCTTATCTAGTGATGCATTCACATTTTTCATTAAAATTTAGCTAGTCTTTGTCACAAAGTTGGAAATTTATTCTGATTCAAATTACAGCTTTTCATTTTGTATAATACATATGAAAGAATGAGGTAGAAATTATTTTAATTTAATTGGGAACGAAGTGATATTTGGTAGACATTGATGAAAAGCTTGCTTGACTGCGAAAGAACTTTCCTACGAGGAATGATTGAAGACTCGTGTAAATATGAATCACCTTATATGCCTTGTGAGCATGCCTAGTTTTGTACCTGAGAATATTTAATTTTTGTAGTACAGTACAAAAAAAATAGGAGTTTAATAGCACCTTTATTACATAGCTTACTATATATGTCTGTAGTTATTCGACACAGCTTTAATAATACATATCAAACTCTTAATTGTTTTTGTCGTAAGCAATTTTGGCACTATGCTGCATGGTAAATGTGTTGTGCAGTGCAGTGTTGAGTTGATGAGAGTAGTTGACTATTTGAATCTTCAATCTGGTAAATATTGTGTTGTCTAAAAGTTGGTCTTTTTCTTATCAGATACATCCAAGATGTAACTAAGAAAAAAGCTCTTGTGATATTAGTTTTATTCAGTGAGCATTATTTTGGAATCAAAAGGGATGATTAATTTGTAAGAGAAAGTTTAATATACTGTATTTGTATTCTTTGTGGCAAACTTATTATGCTGGAGATAATAGCTAAGGATTGTGTAGGATTTTCTAAAATAACAGGAGGTCTAGTTTAATATTTTGTTTTGGGATAATTTACTGTAGTGTGACATGTAAATAGTGTTGACTTCTTTAATAAATATATTTTAACATATAATTATACATAGTGTATATAGATATAATGAGATTATAAAATTTTAGAAGCTAGTGAAATTCTGCGCTTTATCTTTTGCTAGGAGTAGCGCTCTCTTAATTAATCAACCTTTCTTAAGATGGAGTTGTGATGTTCCAAGTAAAAAGAATAATGAGTTTTGTCTAAAGAGCCAAGTAATTTTGTGATTAATTGCTTTATAGGAATGCTTACTGAGCCACTTTTGCTCACTGATGGTATTTGAACTCATGTTGTGCATGGCTTTGATCACATTTATGAATCAGTCTGCACAAACTTCCTTGCCATGGCAAATTTAACTCTTACATTACTGATATTTAAACACGAATTTGAAAATATTTTTATATGCGAGTACTGTACTGTAATTACCCAAGTGTAATTACAGGACGAGGGCTATGCTCGTGGTGTCCCGTCTTCCCAGCACTCTTGTCATATAACGCTTTGACACTACTGATGGTTTTGGCCTCCACCACCTTCTCACTTAACTTGTTTCAACCCTCTACCACTATGTTTGTGAAAGTGAATTTTCTAATATTTAGTTGGCAGCTTTGTTTAGTCAGCTTAAATCTATGACCTCTTGTTCTTGAAGTTCCAGGTCTCAAAAATTCTTCTTTATCAATTTTGTCAATTTCCATTACTATTTTGTATGTAGTGATCATGTTATCTCTCTTTTTTATTCTATCTCCTAGCTTTGGCATATATAATGCCTCTAACCTCTCCTCATAGCTCTTGTTTTTCAGTTCTGGGAACCATTTAGTTGTGTGTCTGCACCTTTTCCAGTTTTTTGTATGTGCTTCTTTAAGCTATGGACACCATACAACCAATGCATATGAGTTGTATATGTTTTGAGTAAATAGATGTAGATGTTATGAGTGATGAGGTTTAGATGTTTTGTAGCAGTGAGATTGTAATATGCATTCTGTATACTCAAACATCTGATGGTTAAATGCCATGCATTTAACCATCATGCAAATTAGGATGAAAATAACTTGTGTACCAATCATGTTGTAGTCTTTTGAAATAAGGGTTGATTATAGTGTGGGCTTTAACATAGCAGTCTGATCAATTTGTTCAGTGCAGAGAGAGAGAGAGAAATGGAAAATTGTAGTGTTTATTAAACTGATGAATTGTATACTTGTGTGAGGCAACAGTGCAAATAAATGTTCATAATAAATCTTGTATTATCCACCAACGCTTTAGTGTTATACTTGAGAAAATACAATTGTTTTGCATGATCATTGTGCTTAATTGCATGAAGAGTAATGGCATAAAAATCAGGCTAGGTTGAAACCTTATTATGAATTTACTGTAATTCTAAATAAAGCCACTTTTGGTACTGGAGGTGCTGATTGATTTATGTTAAACAATTGAATTGGATAAAAAACTATCATTCATTGTGGAATACAACCTTCATGTAATTGTCTTTGAATTCCTGTTTAATAAAGTTCTGGTGCTTAATATTTTTTTACTTCTTTTTGACCCAGTGAACATTTTGACATACAGTAATTAATGAGTGCATATTTTTTAAAATTTCCTTTCATTTTAGCTGTTATTGGGATTTAATAAACACATAATATAAATACTTTGCATGTCTTTACAATATACACAATTTCCTGCTTTATGAAAACTGATATAAGTCCTTCAAATAAATTAAATAAATATAATGCAGTATATAGTGTGTATTATATAAAATGTGTATGCATGCATGCATACTAGTCTGCTTGTATAGGTAATTAACAAATATTATATAGTGCCTAAGCTCTCTTCGTAAATATATTTGAGTCTAGTTAAATCAAGTGTCAAAAGTAATTTATCTTGTTGATTACAGAATTTAGCATTAACTGTGGCTGTTTATAAGTAGCTTATGGAGACTGTACAGTCAGCCTATGATCTGTGCAAATTCAGAGCTGCATGGCTTGGGTTTTGCGTCATTGTGCATTTTGTATTTCAATATATTCTGTACTTTAGGCTGAAATGCATGAAGAACATACAATAATGATGTTCAAGCATTAGTTTTATTGCAAAAGTAGTGGGAAAGAAATTAACGTTTTGGAGTCTTCTGGAATATATCTCATTTTTTTCCCATTTTAAGTTAATCTCACTCTACATGATGTTTTCAAGGAAGGTATCTTTCACACTGATCAAAAGCCATCTGTAAATTATACATTGCAGTTCATGCAAATGAAGTTATATACAGTACAGTATTTTTAATTATTCTTGCATATTGTAGCTTCAATGTGGCTCTGTTCGAATGGCCCCTGCTATTATAGATCTCTAGATGTACTGGATATGACCCGATCTACAATCTTGTTGGGAACTCCGCTACAATAGTAGAAAACATTTAAGCAATAGCCATAGAGGATTTTGTTTGGTCAAATAGTCACATCAGGAATAAGGTATTAAAACGTAGATTCAATACTGCTTTTATTAATATTTATTTTTACCCATGGTTTTGATTTGATCTTGGTATAAAAATTGTTTGCAAAAATGTATTCAATTGTTTGAGACATAGTGATGATCATAATTACTATACTTCTGATCTACAACTATAACATATTTTATGCTAAAACTGACTGTCTGTCATGAAATAGTCCATTTGAGCAAAGTTGCACTGTACTATACTTAAATTTATTGTGCATACATTTTGTAGCATTAGCCAATCTGAAGTTTTACATAAGGTAGCTCAGGAAGAGTAAAAGGAATTTTACTACTCAAGAAGAACCATTGTATAACTTAAATTTGGCAATAGATTGTAAAGTACTTTATTTCCAATTTGTGCCAATTATAAAATGTGTATTGAAAGCAATGTGAATATGCTCAACATGGCCATTATTCAACCCGTCCTCTTAAAAATAACGTCACTTTTGGCTCGTATGCGCACTATGGCCAAATTTGGACGTAATTTGAAATGAAATCGACTCACAAAAGTGACGTACTGTTCCGTTTTCTGTTGGAGTCGTCCGGCCCTCCTTGGACAGCTTAGAAGAGGAACTTTCAATTAACGTTTTTCATAACGTTTTGAAACTTTATGAGAATTTCCTGCCCACCTAACCTATCAGAGGACCCTTAACTTACTGTAGTTGAGAAAAAAAATCCCAAATTTATTTTCAATTTATTTTCATTTTCAAATTACGTCCATATTCGGCCATATGGGCAAACGACCAAAAGCGACGTTATTTTTAAGAGGACAGGTTGCATTATTAAGCCAAAAATTATTATAATTTAGTATTAAGAAACTATATTTTCCAGAAAAAGCTACTTAATCTTATTTTTGTGAGTGGTGGAATTCTGCCAGTAGTCACCAACTGTTGGTGCAATATTGAATTTATTGTTGACCAAACCACACACTAGAAAGTGAAGGGACGACGACGTTTCGGTCCGTCCTGGACTCATTCTCAAGTCGATTCTCAAATTACAATCGACTTGAGAATGGTCCAGAACGGACCGAAACGTCGTCGTTCCTTCACTGTCTAGTGTGTGGTTTGGTCAACATATTTCAGCCACGTTATTGTGATTCCTCGTCTGCATACTGAATGTAAATATTAGTATGGTTTATTGGGACTTAATGAACTGCTTTTCATTCAATGTGCTTGTGTTTCATCTCTGAAAGCAGACTTGTCACAATGTATTCAATTTAAATAATTAGATATTTTTTAAGTGTCCCAATGGATAACTAAGATTATTGCTTGCAAAATCACAAGAAATTATTTGGCAGCTTTCCTGTCTAACTGGCTTTGAAAAGAAGCTTTGGGGATAGAACTTCAATACCAGTCAAGAGTGTATGCAGGTAATGTGTAAAAACCCTGATTTGGGATCAGAAGATGCCTCAAGAACCCTAGAGGATTCAGTGGAATCTAGGTTACATTACATTTGTAGCATATCATGGTTTAGGGTTTGTGGTTAGAAGTACCCAGCGTGCTGGTTGGAATTCTCCTCAAGGCTCCTACTGATTTTCTCTTTAATACATCATGTTAATGTGATTCTTTTGTACACTTTTCACCATAGCACATTGTTGTGTGTGAACAAGCCCTTTGGTAAGCTTTACTGATAATTTGTCTCCCTGTTTAAGTAGTTTGTTCTTCCCTGTTTGTGTTTCACACACATTTTTTATGGCCTGTTATGTCTTATTGATTCCTATTATACATTTATGCTACTGTATCTGTAAATTTGTTTTCCTAATAAATATTATTGGTGCCTATTAATCTTTGTTTAAATTACCAATCAAGCTATCAATGTAATAAATCAGAGCTTTGATATACCAATGTGCTTCAATATACTTACTAATCTCTCTCATCTCATTTTTTCTTGCAATGTATCTGTTATCAGTATTAATTCTGCTAGAATTTACCTACTTAAAATTATTTGTTAGATTAAGGACCTGCCCGAAACTCTGCACGTACTTGTGGCTTTACAAGATTGTAAATGCCATGCTATGTTACAAGATTGTAAATTGTATGCTAGCATCAGCATAGCTAATTATGTGCACATTGGGTGTGCTCGGTACAGTTTAACAGCGTGTTTATTAAAACCACTTTAGCGCACCTGGGTCGTAAATAAACGACGCGTAAATACCGGTATTTTGACCACTAGTTGCTGTAGCGTGTTAAATTTACGCGCGATTAAAAAATATTTGTATAAAATCCAATTCTTATTCGATCGACTTGGGGATAGAATGAAAATGTTTGCCATTAAACTTTCGTTTTCTCTAATAGGCACATGGCCTATTTGGGAGAACGGCATTGTATTGTAACTTAGTGGAAAGACTTGTATTGTTGACACGGTGAGTGTAATCGCCCACTTCACACACTCTTGGTGTGGGCCGCGATCATGATTCTACATTTATATGCATATGTCCGGGTAGGGAATTTAATTGACATCACAGTGATACCAAATTTAACGCTGTAGGACAAGTGTGGAGTTGACAACCCTGAAAAGAATAGAAACATTTCGTCGCTGTTTGGAGCTCACGGTTAGTAATCGATGTAGTTCTTTAGCTTTTTGTGTGATTTAACTCATGCTTTGGTGACATATACATATGTTCTTATAGATCATTCTATTGCGAACACATTGGTACAAAAATGAAATCTGTATATCGAAAATTAATTGTACATCGAAAAATGAACGAGGCTACATGTTCCAAATTAATTAAAGCCCCAAACGGCCTGTCCTTTTCCCTCTGATCAGAAATAATTAATTAACGTGACTCGGGGCTAAGATAACTCGATATACATTAGATGCAGATATAAGAACAGGTGAACACTAATCGAGGCAAGGGGAATACAGAAAATAATATAATTGGCTAGAGACTGACAGTCCAAAAGTCCTCTCTAGTCTAATACTGTCTCAGACAGCATAAGACCAGAGAAGACTGCCCAGCAGGACACGGGTTAAGGCAGGGAGGGGCCGAAGCAATAACACACCAACCATGAAATCAGTTTCAAATCGATCTCCACCTTTTTTTCAGCAGAAGAGGAGGCGAGATGGGAGGGGAGGTGGGTCGAAGATGAGGTGGATTTAGCGAAGTAAGCGACCCATGAAATGTATTGGTGTTTACATATATTACAAATGGCGGACGCTCCTCCAACCACCACCAGTTGGCTTCCTTACCCTGTTCACATCACATGCTTACTACCCTTACTCATCACTAGACCTGCTCGCCTCACAACACACTTTACTACCCTTACTCATCACTAGACCTGCTCGCCTCACAACACACTTACTACCCTTACTCATCACTAGACCTGCTCGCCTCACAACACACTTACTACCCTTACTCATCACTAGACTTGCTCGCCTCACAACACACTTACTACCCTTACTCATCACTAGACCTGCTCGCCTCACAACACACTACCCTTACTCATCACTAGACCTGCTCGCCTCACAACACACTACCCTTACTCATCACTAGACTTGCTCGCCTCACAATACACTTACTACCCTTACTCATCACTAGACCTGCTCGCCTCACAACACACTTACTACCCTTACTCATCACTAGACCTGGTCGCCTCACAACACACTTACTACCCTTACTCATCACTAGACCTGCTCGCCTCACAACACACTTACTACCCTTACTCATCACTAGACCTGCTCGCCTCACAGGTCCTTAACTACCCTTACTCATCACTAGACCTTCTCGCAGAACACAACACTCGCTTTCTTATCCACTCGCCTCACAATATCTACCCCCAATACTCACCCGCTTCCCTATTTATTTATTTATATACAAGAAGATACATTAGGTTTGTGAGGATACATAGCATGGTATTTACATTCTTGTAAAGCCACTAGTACGCGCAGCGTTTCGGGCAGGTCCTTAATCTAACAAAATAAATGTTAGTAGGTAAATTCTAGCAGAATTTATAAAATTATAATTTATAAAATGATAAGTACATTGCAAGGGAAAAAATGAGATGAGAGAGGGTTAGTAGTATCTACTCACTTCACCGACTTTTTTATTAAACATATGTTACGTCTTGAAATATTACAAATAAAATTTAATGAATCTATAAACGTGAGCAAAATGTAATTTTAACAAGTGGTTCATTCGTTGAGAAAAGACCATTTCCTGTTATACAGCAAAGTCACTAACGCTCACTCTGAATCCCCTTTTCAACAAACAAATAAACTTCGCAATCACAATGCCGGGAGGAAGGGGTGGAGAATTCATATGAAGGGATTGAAAGAAAGAAAAGGGGGGTTCACTGAGGCGGATGAGGGTGATGAGGAAGCTGATGGAAGGGGAAAGGGAGGAGGAGGAGGGGTTGTGAGGGGGTGACATTAAGGGGGTCGTGTTAAGGGGTATATAGGGTAGAAGGGGAGGAGAATGCCTGTAAAGGTATTGGGTTCTCTTCTCCCTCCGCTCTTTACGCGGTAATTTATGACTTCATTTTCTGTATTGTGTCTGGGTGTTTGGTCACAGGGAGGAGGAGAGTGACATAATACTGCCAGCTTCCGTTTCTTCTCATTGTTACGTAGTAAAAGTGACGCTATTGTGACCGTCACGTAAATTATTTTAAAGAATTTCATGAAAACATCTGTTTTAGGCAGTGTCAAACAAGAAATAATTACGTTTGTTCATTCCTTAGTACTCACCTAGTAAAGTGTGTGTGTGTATTTACCTAGTTGTGCTTGCAGGGGTTGAGCTCTGCTCTTTCGGCACGCCTCTCGACTGTCAATCAATCAATTGTTACTAACTACTAACTCCCCCCCCCCCCTCTACATTAATTAACGTGACTACATTAAGATTTGTTCATTTGATGCATCACGCAATTGTGATTTCTGTGTGTAGTGTGGAGTGAGGTTTTGTTTAGCATGTTTAGGGATTTAAACCAGGATTTATATCATTCGTTTGTGAATGTAGTCTTCAAGTGTTCTTCTACTTAAAATTATCTGCTAGATTAAGGACCTGCCCGAAACGCTGTGCGTACTAGTGGCTTTACAAGAATGTAAATACTGTACTATCCAATGTATTCTCACAAACCCAATGTACCTTCTTGTATATATATAAATAAATAAATAAATAAATAAATAAGTGTAGGCGTGGAGATCAGGTCAGGTAGGAGCTAGGTTCCAGTGGGTGGGATGATAGGCTACTGAAATACTTTATAAATAACTATGATGTATTCACAATTATGGCTTCATTCACAATTTAGGTTACCAACATTTTGTAGTTCCCATAGAACACATCTATACAAACTTTGATGTCCTTAAATAACTTTACTTTCGACCAGGTATCAGAAAAATTTACAAGTGGGCCTTTTGAGGATGTATTATTCCCAAGAATTTTCCAGAAATATTTTTCTGAAATCTCTCTGCCTAGATGATTTTAGTTTGGGATTTGGATTAAACAGTCTCAGATCAACAGTCTCCGTGGTGTAGTGGTAAGACACTCGCCTGGCGTTCCGCGAGCGCTATGTCATGGGTTCGTATCCTGGCCGGGGAGGATTTATTGGGCGCAATTCCTTAACTGTAGCCTCTGTTTAACGCAACAGTAAAATGTGTACTTGGATGAAAAAACGATTCTTCGCGGCAGGGGATCGTATTCCAGGGACCATAGGATTAAGGACTTGCCCGAAACGCTACGCGTACTAGTGGCTGTACAAGAATGTAACAACTCTTGTATATATCTCAATCTCAAAATAAATGTGTCCAGCGAGTTAAAAGTAACGATGGCACATTTACCAGGATTGAATATGGGGTTGTATTTAGCACCATAGTTACTGTATTTAGTTAACTTGTCCCATACAAGTATTTTATTTAACACATATCCTTGTGCTAGTGATAGATAAATTCATGTCATATCTTGAAGTCAACATCATTTGGGCTGACAATGTTATGTTGTAGATGATTGTTACAACATGTTCATAGCTCGGGAGGACGCCATACAATAATGACATCTTTGTACTGCACAAAATGTGTCTGGTGGAGAAAGGAATGGATGGGCAAGAGAGCTAGTTGTAACGCCGGAATCAACGCAAAATAACGCAAGGTAAAGCAAGGTAAAGGGATAAGCCCAAAACCGAACCCCAAAAAAGTACCAAACCAGCAACTCTTGAATTAAACTAGTAACCTTGAGGGAAAACAAGGCAATTATTGTCGCCAGTTAACCCCCCCCCCCCCGTGATGCACCTGACCGCCACCAGATGGCTCTCCAGCCCACCAGGGTCTCCACCAGCCAGCCAGCCAGACTGCTCATTCACTTGTCTGGTTCTGCCTGTGACACACGTCTCTGCTGCCCGCCGTCTGCTTCTTCACACACTCAGAAATGTGGTATCTGCTCTCACGTGAATGTTTCGTTTCCCGCGGGCACATAATTTTGATTTTTGTTCCATTCCTTTCTTCACATTTGTTTTATGTCGCCTGCCTCGGTGTTCATTGTTTACAATCCCTCCAACTGTGTGTAAGGTTAATCTTCCATAGTTCTCCTAACCCCATCAACTATTCTAGTTTTCTCCCAGTTTTTCCTTTAATTTCTACCCAAGTTCGCGTCCCACTACGAGGCCAGTTAATGAGTGATACATTTGTAGTTGGTAAGACACTCGAGTGGTGGTTCGCGAGCCCTTTGTCCTGGGTTCATATCCTGGCCGGGGAGGATTTACTGGGCGTCTATTAACTGTAGCTTCTGTTTACCCAACAGTAAAATGGGTACCTGGTTGTTAAACGATTTAGCAGGTAGTATTCCGGGGAACATTGGAATAAGGACTTGCCCAAAAAGCTATGCGTGCTAGTGGCTGTACAAGAATGTAAACTTTTGTATAAAAATAAACATTCCGGTGGCCTTTTGTGGCTCATTCGTGTCATTAAAGGCCGTGACGAGGATTCGAACCTACGTCAGAGAGGATCCCAGACGCTGCCTTAATCGACTGAGCTACGATAGGGTAAAAGAATTGCAACCGGGAAATCTTTAATAATAATAAAATAATAAAGGTCGCTTAATAATCTTTATTTGTGGCCTTTATTATGTCCTTTATCGCAGCTTTGCTCCTTATTTTCCGAACTGCACTGTTCCATTTCTAGCCATGCACCTCCTTGTGAAATGTCCAGACTTCAGAAAAACAAAACATGCTCTAATGTCCCTCAAGGTCACTTCTCTAGCCTCCTGGGTGAATCTGATGCCTTTAATATTGCTCACCTTGTTCCTTTGTTCTCGTATTGATATTCTCGGTGATGCTTGGCGCCTTTTGACTATCCAGCAACACTGATGGTGGTACATATTCTCCCCAGCACGACTCCTTATTACTTCTTACCATGTTTACAAAAACTTACTCATCCTGGTGAATTTCAGTAGTGTTTAAACATTTTAGAGAAGCCTAATTCTGGTATCCAGTGGTACAACCTGTCACATATTACCCCAGCCACTTGGGCCTTTGTTAAAGTCCTCCATAACAATGTTTCACGACTTGAGGGTTTTGGTCAAAGTTCAGTAAATCATTTTTTTTCTGACCTGGATCTGAATAAGAGCAATACTTAGATATTCTGTTATTGATACTGATGCTTTAGGGAAGTAACTAACCAATTTATTTTCCATTGGACAGCGACAAGCCTGAGAATTGCGCAATTTGTAAAAACAAATTCGATGAACCTCTACGGAGGCCGCGAAATCTGCCTTGTGGCCATACAATCTGCTCACAATGTGCTAGAGCTATTCTACTGAAGGGTCTGTTCTTTTGCCCAAGCTGTCATCCTGAGCGCAGTGTCGCAGCTGATGCTCAGTTGCCAGTTAACAGTGCGGAGGCCATTATCACGAAACAAACTGATATTAGGCCGACGTCGGTGGCACCAGAATCTGTTGAACCGCAAGACAATTCAATTAAAGTCGGCGAAAGTTTACGGTTGCAGGTGGAGCAGCAAAAGCTCAGATTGAACCAGTTAACAGAACGTTGTGACAAACTAGTCACAAGTTTGGGAGAGTACCGGTCCCTGCTGAGGCACTGGGGGATTAAACACTACCGACTTGAGGAGGGACTCTCTAGCCTGTTGGAACAGAACAACGCGGCGATGAGACTGCTGGAGCAAGAGATTAAAAGAGGGACAAACTTGGCAAGAGTAGGCCAGGAAACAAGGCGGCAGCTACAAGAGTTGATGGTGCGCCTCGACACGCTAAACGCTGCACAAGAGGTATACGTGGTCATAAAGGACATTGATAAATGTAATGTGCGTTTAGAGCAATGGGCGGCGAAGGGCAAGGAACTATTCAGGAACGGCCGCACTGTCTTAATGTCACTTAAGGTATGTTGCTTATCAGACCGCTACTAACGCGGTCCTTACTGAAGTACTTACTTCAGTAATTACATACTGTACACACTATACATATTATAACTTCAGTTATAGTGCTGAAGTAAGGACTGCTAACGCGGTCCTTGCTGAAGTTTTCTTTATAAATTGCTATGCTTTTAGAATATCTAAGATTCGGTAGTTTTAATTTTCATGTCTTCCATCACTCTGGATCCCTGTGCTTCATAGACCTTGAGTGATGGATCAATATTCTATAGTTTTAAGTTTTCGAAATCTATAAATTCAGTTATAGTATTGCCAATATAAAGGTTAGACTTTATTAGTCATGGTTTAAATTCTTGAGGGGTATTTGTTGGTAGTACAGTTAGTTTCGAAGAATAAATCCACAAGGCCGTGATAAGGGTTCGAACTTACATCTTGGATGATCAAACACTCGCCTTATTAGACAGCCTTACCCCTCGTCACGGCCATTGTGTATTTATTAATTTGATATATCACGCTATTGGGATTTGTGTGTATACAGTATCGTTCTGGACACGCAATCTGAAATCCTGGGTTTGAATCCCTGGAGGTACAAATGGTTTGGCGTGTTTCCCATTTTCTATTGCCCATCTTATTTTATAAAATATAAATTTATAGTGTAGCACGATCGGATGAATGGGTAAAGGGGATGGAACTGGTTGTGTACAGCCCTGAGGACAGCGTCTCTTCTGACTTGATTGAAGGCCTTTTTTAAAGTCAAACTTTACTAGTGCCTTCTGGTGAGATCAGCAATGCAAGCCCGTGCTGCATGTGCTGCAGCTTCACAGCCTAGGGGGATCCCGAGTTGATGAGGTTTCAGCAAGGTGGCTGCTTTCTGGCTGATAGCTCTCACTGCAGCTTTAGCTACGAGGCGTCGGAGGGTGTTGCCAACGGCAATGGGCCCGATTCCCCTATTCTTCTTTAGAGCAGAGTGCTGCTCCATAAGACAGGCCTGATGTCCTTAGGGATGTCGCCTGCCAAACACATATTGGAGAATCTGGTAAGTTCCACTAGAAGGTCCTTTGCAGCATCTCTAAGCACCGGGTTCAGCATTTATTTGATGTGCTGGGGTCTTAGGCCTGTAAAGCCCCCTGCTGAACCTGTTGGGAAAGACATGGCTGCTTTGTACACCTCAGATTCTCGAACAGTCAAGGGTTCCATGCCGGTATTGTTTTCCTGGGGATCCCTGCTGCTGTCGGGGGCTCTGGGTGGGTGTTTTGTCTAGTAGAGCCTGTGCTGTCGTGGCGTTCCTGGGGGGGCAATAGTGTCATCGCTGGTCATGATTCTGATGGCACCTGTGGTATTGCCCTCTTTTTTTTCCTGGTGATCTGTGCTCTCATTTTGTGGTTCTCAGGCGAGTTATTATTGGTCGACCTTCGGCTGGAGTTCTTGGCACGAGGGGGAGGCGGACCAGGTTGTCTGCTCTGGGGAATTCATCAAGAGCCCTGATTACTGAGGTTGCTAATAACTTCTCTCCTGGGCGGTAATGCTAGGCATGCATTCCCAAATAGGAGATCGTGCCATGATCCAGTGGTTCTGGGAGCATTGTTGACCTTTGTCAGCAGACTGGTGAGTTTGGCTGCTGCTTGGTGACTGGCAGCCTTGGGGATGTGGGGCAAGATCCTGGTGGACGTCGCTTTGACTGCTTCAAGCAGATTATCTGCCGAAATGAAGTCTAGGGAAGTATTAGTCCTCGTTCCTGCAGCAGGCTGTCCATCGTCACTACCCCGGGGCGGGCGCCTAGACCCCTAGATAGCCACCTAAATTGACAGAATAAAAGCGGACAGTTCCATCTTGAGACGATACCGTTCGTCACACACTTGTTTCCTCGTGTGTGCATAATTTATATTTTGCCATTATACCATCTGGGATATTTGTCCCATAGTACTGTCCCCATGGTGATAAATACTTTCAGCACCTCAGTCGTCTAGGCACCTTCCTTCCCTCCCTCCCTCCCTCTCTCCGTCCGTCCGTTTCCCGCGGTGTAAAGTCTTCCCTTCATCAGTCTCCCTTTCCTCTACCAATGGGATAACCGTTAACAATTTGGCCTTGGTACTTCAGTTCGGTTTTTACCCCTTGTGTAGCAATTCTTGTCCCATGTTGGATTTTTTTTTAGAATTCTGCGGGTTCTCGGTTCTGTGAGCACTAATAGAATCTTAAAGCACGAAGCTATCCCCTTGAGGGCTTCAGGCGCCAGTTACGGTGCCTGGGCCCAGTCCAGGATGTACTATGTTCACTACCAGTTCTCACACCCTAGGCCCCTTCTCCTGACCACCAACTCTGGGAAGGAGGGGGGGGGGGTGAAATGTTCCCAGTTTTGACTAGAATTACAATGAATTACTTGTGATTTTAAACAGTAGAGTAGAAGCAAAGCACGTTTCCCGAAATGTTTACTAGGCCTATCAAAAAAGTTTTCCCTAACATACAACTGTAACCTAACATGCAAGTTTAAATCGTGATTGGTTATTACCAATTTATATCCAAGTTTACCTTGTGGATTTTCCAGATATTAGGTATTTATATTGCATTGCCGATATGCATAACTTTGCACTACTCGACATTGGTATTGACAGAGGCTGGAGAAAGCGAAGGCTTCCCTGAAGGCAACCTCTGAGAAGCAGGCCGCAGTAGCCCCCGTCAACCAGGAAGAGACTACAGTAGCCCCCGTCAACCAGGAAGAGACTACAGTAGCCCCCGTCAACCAGGAAGACACTCCAGTAGCCCCCGTCAACCAGGAAGAGACTACAGTATCCCCAGTCAACCAGGAAGAGACTACAGTAGCCCCCGTCAACCAGGAAGACTCCGCCTCCAGCAGTGTGTCTAAAGTTCAGCCAATTACTGATGATATATTTGGAGCGCTGTTAACATTTAGTGTGAGTTATAATTAATATTCAGTCTCGCAAATTTCACAATTTTCTTATTTGTTCACTGTCACCGTTGACTTTGCTGGTAAATTGTGTAAATATTGTGGAATTGTTGGGCAATAAGTGAGTCTTGTTTATTTTCTCTGGTAGAGCTTCTTTAAGAGGCTCCCTGAGCCTCGGGTATCGATGGAGTGGTTCCGGATGTGTCGCGGTCTACGCAGTTGGTGGTGGCGGAGGTCCATGTCCCTGCTGATGGCGGTGCCTGTGGTTCTAACGTGCCTTCTGTTTTTTCTCCAGCAGGGGGGGGGGGGCTCTGCAGTAGGGGGGGTGGGTGCTGGCTTCACCTGGATAGATGGTGAGGATACTGGTGCAGGCCGTGGCCTGGTGGTGAAATTGAAGGATGCTCGCTGGAAGGGGAACCATGTCGGTGTCTGGTTGTGTGAACGTTGCCGCATGTGCCCATGTGGTGTTGTCCTCTGCCACTCCGTCTCCCATGCGGATCTGTGGAGGAGTCTCGGGGGATCTGTTGCCGGCGTCTGTGGATGCCACCGGGTCACTGGCGTCAGACTGCCCAGTTTCCGTTGTCTGAGAATGCGGCGGCCTGTCGTGCTGCGAGGCTTCCCTTAGTGTGGGGGGCGCGGATGTGATACCATATGGGTCTCCAGTTTGCGGGTCTGTTTCCAAGGTTCCGGATGCTAAGAGTTTCCCCGGTGGATAAAGACGACGCTGTGGGGTGGTTGCACTATAAGGAGTTCAATGTGAGGTTCCCGAGAGAAAAATTTCTGGGAGGTGTGTTGATGTACCATCTGTGCGTTTGTTTGTGTGATGTTAAGTGCCCCTATGGCTGCTTGCTTGTCCTTGCCCGTTTTTGTTCAAATTATGTATTGTTGTTGTTTTTTATCCATGTTTATGTATTTAATTTTTTGTTTTTCGTTGCATGTAATGTATTTCATGTATTTTCTTGATCTTCTGTGCTAGTGCCTCTTAGTTTGTCATTAACGAGGCCGACGCCTTGTTTTGCCTTGTCCTATTCCTGTAATTACGTTATTGGGTTGGGGTTTGAGCATTTTACATTGTACTTTTGTTTTGAGCTTTAGGTTGTATGTTGTTGTTGTTGTTGTATGGTCTGTCATGCGATGTGCTTATTGGTTTGTTGTTGTCGGCCCTTCAGGCCGGTGTATTTGCAATTTGCTACATAGCCTTCCCGGATTGGTGCCTTCTTTTGATAATTACTTACTTGTAGTTTGCTATGTTTAGTTGTTTTGTCTGTTTTATTCTATTTAATTGCATGCTTGCATGTAAAAATACAAAATAAAGAGCGTTTAGGTCCAAATTGAAGTTAGCACCACTAGCCCGCCACCAGATGGGAGCCCTGGCGACCCTAGCCACCCCAGTCTTTAACCCTCTGTGACGCCAACATTGTTGACACATCAACCTAATGATGTTGACAATACACAGGACAAATTGCGGTTAAAGGATAATTCAGGAATGACATAACCACACGTGTTTTAGGTACTATCCTTGTCTTGATGATAATTGGCTTGATGCCGTCTGCAAATGACTTCACAATGTTCTCGGGTAATAATGCAGCCGATTATCCACAGATCGAACATCTTCGTAATATCAGCCGGCCTCTCCAGAGCTTGGTGGTGGCTGGCCGGGTCTTCTCTGTCAAGGAATTTCATGGCGGGTTTTACTCGGCAAGGATAACATCACGAGGAGGAAAAATGTATCTTCATGCATTCGAGAAGCAGCCTCTGACCGCTTTTCCTGCTACATTCAAGGTAACTTGTATTATACATTCTATCTCGAGCAAGATGGAATGTTTTATGGGATGCGTTCAAGCTTGAACAGTGATTACAGTATCTTGGGGAATCACACCAGGTCTGAGACTACCCGGATCTGCCGGGAGCCAAGATCCCGCTCACTGGGTTTGGTTAATATTGGTCTTCACTTGTGCAATGTGGCGTTTTGGGCAGCATCCGCACGTGGTCTCAGTTTTGGCAAGTTTGGTTTAGATTCCCTGGAATTATTATTGGTGGGGGTTGACTTGTACTGTCCTCCCCGGACTGTTGGTGGGGGCTGGCTTGTACTGTCCTCCCCGGACTGTTGGTGGGGGCTGACTTGTACTGTCCTCCCCGGACTGTTGGTGGGGGCTGGCTTGTACTGTCCTCCCCGGACTGTTGGTGGGGGCTGACTTGTACTGTCCTCCCCGGACTGTTGGTGGGGGCTGGCTTGTACTGTCCTCCCCGGACTGTTGGTGGGGGTTGGCACTTTTTTGAGGTTTTCAGAATTTAATCGTGTGACGCTGCCTTCCTCTTCATTTCCAGACTCGAGGTTTTGCAAACTCGAATTGGCTCAGGTCCTTTGGGCGGTCTGTCGGGCTCGCAGTATGGTTCACGTAGTTTTGCATGATGATCGGCTCACTTCAGGCTTGGTAGTTTGACTCGCTGTCAACTTTCCAGTTCATTGTCTGGAATGTTGGGGGGGGGGGGGAGAGGTTGCTGGGGTTTAAGGTTGTAGGGGCTGGACTCTGGTGGTTCTTGATCCTCTGAGCCCTCCTCACCATTAACGTGGACGAAGTGTCAAACGTGCAGGTGTTTTTCTTCCCCCATTCGGTCGAAGATTTTAGTTTTTGCCTCGGTATTGGTTATTGGGTTAGTGTCCAGAAGCCATTTTTCACTTGTCCCAGAGGGCTTCTTAGTTTGCCGCCGTATCTTTCATTTTTGGCCCAAAATAGGGTGACTGGGTTCAAAGAGGCCCTTTAGATAGTTTGGTTGGCCGAGGGTGCTTCATTTATCCATTTTAAACAGTTTTCTGTTATTTGCGTGCCACAAGGTGCTCTGGGTGAGGCTGTCAGTCGGGCGTCTTTTCCCTCGTTTTGGGAAAGATCTCTACTTCCCAGGCTTTCCAAGTCTTAGTGTGAAAATTATATATATATATATATATATATATATATATATATATATATATATATATATATATATATATATATATATATATATATATATATATTATTTTCTGATCTTGGCTCTCGGTAGTTAGGAAGTAATGACGGTCTGGCGAGATTACTTAACAGGTTAATCTTTGCTGCTATCCTTAAGTGACACGCCAGGGAAAGGGGCTTCTAACAACATTAAACACACAAAAAAAATTCTTTTCTTACTAATTTAATATTGTATTCAGGACAGAGACATTGCGCAGTTGCTGGACCACTCCTCCACCATGGCGTGTCAATTCACTGGACGTGACAGAGCTGCAATGGAAGAGGTCGAAATATGCACCAGTCCTGACACTGCACTGGGCAAACGGTTCATATCGCTTCATACTGGTGAGGTTCATCAAGCTGGAGGGACTGAAGAACACGGAGAGTATGTGGTAGTTGGGGAATACGACAGGTTGCCTAATGATGACACACATGATCCACGACCCGCCGTGGAAGGGCAGCATGGGAAGCCACCCATGGATTGGGTTGTGTACGCATGGGTGCGGCCGGACACTGGAAACTGGTTGCAGTTCGGGATCTCGCTTAATAACTGCCCGATGCCTGACACATCTTCAGCGAATGTAATTGATGGGGCGGTGGGAGGTCCGGATGTGTTGAAGACGGCTGCTCGGGCCACTGATCTCCCAGAGGTGTTGGTGCTCGACCGTGGTATTGTGCTGCCATTTTAGGTCTACACTGCTATCCTACTTACCAGCAATGTCACCACAATGCTTCATCCTTTTATTTGTAATTCAATTTTGTTGGGACTCGCAAATGTAATAGTTTTATTCCAGTTTACACAATGGAATGACGTAGCGAGTGGATTTGTATAAAATAAAACGGTGATTTAGTACATTGTATAGGCCTGCAATGTAATTTATATACGCTTATGTAGCACAGCTCAAAGGAAGGCTTTCAACATCTCTCCTTTGTTTACAGCTGTTAGGTATTGTCAGACATATTAAAACTCCTGCAGGAAATTCCAAATTGTAATACTTTTTCTTTCTTGGTCTGGGTTGGTTCCATTGCATCCATATTAGTGTAATGTAACTATTTAGTGTAATCTTCTCTATCACTATTATTAACACTATCACCAGCCTTAACTGTTTTATCACCACCACGCCTTTTTTTCACCATAGCCGATGTCACCTTCAGTGACGTCATCGTTAATTATCAGCTGTTGGTCACACATCACCATCGCATCTGCTTTACAGCTGTTCTTGTATGTCCTTAAATTCATTCCTGCCTTTGAATCCCTCGCCATTGTCGCCCCCTAACACTCGCCTGTCAGGCGGGTCCCACAACCGGGCAAGTGACCATACCCAGCAATAAATATTTTAAGTTCCTAATGACATTTATGGCTAGATTTTAATATGTATTTTACACAATAAACCGCTCCGTGGTGTAGCCTTGGCATGGTGAGGGGCTCACGTACACCCCCTGGGACCGGTGAGGGTTGCCTTTGTCCCCTCTCCTGGCCCTCTTTGGGTGTTGTACGTGCAAAAGGGCACCATGTAGGGTCCTTGCGAGTCATCGGACCACCCCGCTGGAGGGGGTCGTCCGTGAGGGGCCGCCCTGAGTGGATGGTAGAGTTCTTCCCAACCATCCTCTTCCCAAACCAACCGTAGACTTCCGGGACGAGCGTGTCTTGCTTTCCGACCATCCCCCGCGGTCGCTTGTCCCTCGATAGTATTCTTGGCGACTCGGATACTTTTGATATCGTTCGCCTTGTGCGTTTGTTCTCGTATTGGCATCCTTGGTAATATTTAGCGCCCTCTGATTATTCTGCACATTTGATGGTGTTACATAGCCTTCCCGGTTTGGTGCCTTCTATTGGTAATTACTCCCTTGCTAGTGGGGGCAAATAGATCAGCCTTACATTTCTTGTTCTCTCCTTATTCCATGTATGCCTGGCCGTCCTGTGAGGTGGGGATGTTGGATGATCGTGTAGCTGGTTTATGATCGACTATATGGTCCTTCATACAGAATAGGGAAGCAGTACATTGTTGTGTATACCTAAGCTTGTTAAGAAATACATTGAGTAGTCTTGTAGAAACTGATAATAGTTTATATTATATTTTCATAATTCAGTGCTTACCTCTTGTGAAAATCGTGTTTAGTCAGTTGATTTGTTTTATGTATTGAGGCTATTTTCTCCCTTGATTCCATGTATGCCTAACCATCCTACGAGATGGGAGTATTAGATGAACTTGTACCTAGTTTCCCCTCTGATTATTTTGCGTATTTGATGGTGCTACATAGCCTTCCCGGTTTGGTGCCTTCTTTTGATAATTACTTACTTGTACCTAGTTTTTTTTTATCTACGCTGTGTAATCTTTCATATAGAATAGGGTAACAGCACATTGTGTGTACCTAATCTTTTTAATTCAAAAATATCGGTAATAATGATTTTAAATTATAGTTTGTATTATTACCAATATTATCCTTATTAAATCATGTTAACCATGGATCATAAAGATCTCATGTTGATATGCAAGTTATTTCTTTTGAATCATTCATTAAATTGTGAATTCTCAATTTTTCACTTCTTTGAATATACTGTATAGTACAAAAAGATAGGATAAAAATAAAACCAGTAATATTTCTTTCATTATATTTTTTATTTATACAACCATCAATTTTTTACAGCTGACAGGATTTTTCTCACAGGTGCATTATTTGTTAAAAAAAAAAATTGGTTTATTACAATGGTGCTACATAGCCTTCCCAGCTTGGTGCCTTTTGATAATTACTATAATTACTTGCTGATTGTTACACAGCCAAATTGTCACAGAAAGAGGTCTTTGACACAAATTTGTTCCATGATAAATGTAGAGGAAACAGCCGAGCATTCCTCAAATAAAATAAGCTGCCTCTACGTATAAGGTAAACCCCCTCCCTGTCCAGCTCGTTGTTGCCGTGAGGGGCTTGGTGGACGGCTGCCGGAGTGTGATGCTCCTTAAGACCTCTGTCCTTTTGTACCCTTGTGCTCCTGCTGCTTTCCTCTCTAACTCTGCTGGACACCTTTTCCTTTATCGTTTTAGTTTTTCTCTATCCCCCCCCCCCCCTCTTCTCCTTTCTCGTTGTCATTTCCCGCTGACCTTGTGCCTATTTTGAGGATTATTTTGTCCTTTTGTTTTGACGCCCGGGTGTTTGAGGCATACTCTTGCACCTTTAGAACTGTAGTACCCGACGTCCCGAGCGAGGGGAACTTTTTATTATCAATCCCTCTTTCGTCATTGAACCCGATCTCGACGGACAGACGGTTCTTAAGGTGGCGATTGTGGGGCGTATTAACGCACCCCTGGGGGGCCCCGGCATGATCGGCGATAGCTTCCTGTTGGGTGTCCTGCCTCTAATTGTGGCTCCATGGTGGGTGTGCGGGCACATTAGAGAATGAGTGTTACTTCTCGTCTTTGTGATCGTTCTTCTTGTACTCTCAGGCTCGTGGGGTGGGCGACCACAAGCCCGAGAGTCGGCCTGTATTGGAAGACCAGGCCCTGTAGCTCCCGCTGCATTGGGCCCCGACCTTGCTCCTCCTTTGACCCTCCTGACTACTCCCCTTGGCTCCCCTCCCTCCCTCTGTGGTTGGGTCGAGCCATAAGCCCCCCAGTGGTGACCACCTCGTCCCCTAGCACGGCTCAGTCTCGTTGTGACTACTGTACCTTTTAACCCCTCTCTGGGAGTTCTCGATGCTATCCGCGCCACAGCTGCACTTGCTCGATTCCTCCCCGTACTGATGCGTATCAAGCTTTGTTTGGTCCCGCTTCGTGGACCAAATACTTTGATCTAAAATGGTTGTGTAAAAGCCTGGGTTGTGCCTCGGAGAGGCTACGGGATCCAGTAAGTTCAGTAGAACTTCGGTTTCAACCCTTTTACCCTGTCGTAGCTCAGTCGATTAAGGCAGTGTCTGGGATGCACCCGGACGCAGGTTCGAATCCTCGTCACGGTCCTTGTGGATTTGTTCATTTGATGCATCACGTTAGTGTGATCTGTGTGATTCATTGAGATGCTTTGCCATCTCCCTCTCTGCACGTTCCAGTATTTACTGAGTGTTTATAGCCGTGTCTGGGAGTCGTTGTCAATCCCGGAGGACTGGCTTGAGGCCGTGGTTCTTCCTACTAGGAAACCTGGTTCTCTAGGGGGTCATCCCCTGAAGACTTCTGCCCCATTTCTCTCATGAGTTGCGTCTGCAAGCTCTTTAAGCGTGTAGTCAATGTCTGTCTGATGTGGTTCTTGGAACGCTATCACCACCTCTCCCCTTCTCAATTTAGCTTTCCCAAGTTGTGAAATTTTTCATCATGTTCTCTTTTTTTAGTACATCTATTAACTTTAAACTGAAAGTCTAGATGGGCTTTTTGAGGAAGGAACTGCTTGGCTAACATGCTAAGTGTAGTAAGCAACTCAATACTCCACTCTAGAGACCATAAAAATTACTGGGATCGAGCAAACGCCGAGACCTCAAAAGTTTGAAATCCCTTTCACTAGGCCGTCGACTTTTGCACATCGCTGGAGCGAATCTAACAAGTAGGTCATGAGTTCTCACAACATATTTGTTTGTTGTGTGGTGCTATGAATTCAGCTCGAAGTTTAAGAAGCAGTCTCAGATTATTAGCAATAATAATTTCAAGTAACGTGGCAGAACACATGTAAATCATTAATAGTGTGGGAGTGTACGAAAAGACAGTGTTCAACTTTACATAGTTTATTCAACAAACTACTAACTACAACAACAAAAATATAACTAACGTTACTCGAAATCCTTCCTATGACACCTTTACGACAGCTGGACACCAGCCAGGAGTAACAGGATCCTTCCTGCAATCACGTTGTGCAGGATAAATGAACTAACCTGAACAGTACTCGGTGTTCACAGAGGATGAAATCAACTAAAACATACTAAGTTTATAATTATTAATGCAACAACAAGATAGGTTAGGAGACGAGTCTCCTGTAACCACCTATCAGTTACTTTATGCTCCTTGCAGCCCTCCCCTGCAATAGCAGTTGTAAATGCAATCAAACCAGTAGTCTACAATGACATTACAATGACTAATGGCGTTACTGGTAACTCCAGCAACCCTCCTTAATTAAATTCTTACGTTAACACCTCGTCCCTCGGACGATCAACAATCAATGACTAATTCATTATGTTAACACAATATCACCAGCCTTTACTTATCACCACCACGCCTTTTTTCACCATAGCCGATGTCACCTTCAGTGACGTCATCGTTAATTATCAGCTGTTGGTCACACATCACCATCGCATCTGCTTTACAGCTGTTCTTGTATGTCCTTAAATTCATTCCTGCCTTTGAATCCCTCGCCATCACTGGTGCCTCGCCATTGTCACCCCTAACAATCACCTGTCAGGCGGGTCCCACAACTGGACAAGTGACCATACCGAGCAATAAACATGTTTAGTCCCGAGTTAAAATCAACGACAGCACATTTACTAGGATTGAATATGGGGTTGTATTTAGCACCATAGTTACTGTATTTAGTTAACTTGCCCCATACAAGTAATTGTTTTTAACACATATTCGTGTGGTAGTGACAAACAAATTCATGTCATGTCTTGAAGTCAACATCATTTGGGCTGACAATGTTATGTTGTAGATGATTGTTACAACATGTTCATAGCTCGGGAGGACGCCATACAATAATGACACCTTTGTATTGCACAAAATGTGTCTGGTGGAGAAAGGAATGGATGAGCAAGAGAGCTAGTTGTCTGTGAGGTAAGAGAGCCTCACAGACTTAGGGAAGCCATACTCTTCGTATTAGAGATTTTATATATGGTATATTGTTCACCTATGAGTTCTCTATCATATCAATCTATGTTTTATAAATCAAAATTGTTATTGTTTTTATCATATTATTTACATTCTTGGTGGGTTAAAAAAAAAGAGTAATATTTTTTTATTTTTTGCAAGTCTTGACAAATCAATTGAGAAGACAAAGTTTTATGTTATAAAAATAATTATAATAATGGTAAAACCCACTCGAGCATACAGGGAGCCAGGCTTATCGAGGAGGCCTGGTCAGAGACCGGGCCTAGGGGACCTTGACCCCCGGAATCAACGCAAGGTAAGGGGATAAAACCTTCCAAAATAAATGAGTAGAAAGTATAAGCGCACCAAACCAGCAACTCTTGAAGGAAATTAGTAACCTTGAGGGAAAACAAGGCAATTATTGTCGCCAGTTAACCCCCCCCCCCCCCGTGATGCACCTGACCGCCACCAGATGGCTCTCCAGCCCACCAGGGTCTCCACCAGCCAGCCAGCCAGACTGCTCATTCACTTGTCTGGTTCTGCCTGTGACACACGTCTCTGCTGCCCGCCGTCTGCTTCTTCACACTCTCAGAAATGTGGTATCTGCTCTCACGTGAATGTTTCGTTTCCCGCGGGCACATAATTGATTTTTGTTCCATTTCTTTCTTCACATTTGTTTTATGTCGCCTGCCTCGGTGTTCATTGTTTACAATCCCTCCAACTGCGTGTAAGGGTAATCTTCCATAGTTCTCCTAACCCCATCAACTATTCTAGTTTTCTCCCAGTTTTTCCTTTAATTTCTACCCAAGTTCGCGTCCCACTACGAGGCCAGTTAATGAGTGATACATTTGTAGTTGGTAAGACACTCGCCTGGTGGTTCGCGAACCCTTTGTCCTGGGTTCATATCCTGGCCGGGGAGGATTTACTGGGCGTCAATCATTAGCGTAGCTAGGGAAGGGGAGGTAGAAATAGCCTAAGCTACTCTATCCCTTTGAGATGCATTTCTTGTCTCAATAAACATACTTGAACGTGAATTAACGTAGCCTGTGTTTACCTACAGTAAAAATTGAGTACCTGGTTGTTAAACGATTTAGCGGGTCGTATTCCGGGAAACATTGGATTAAGGACTTGCCCGAAACGCTATGCGTGCTAGTGGCTGTACAAGAATGTAAGAACTTTTGTATGTTTCATAAAAAAAATTAGGCTCATGGGTGTAACGATCGTTACTACGGCGACAACTTCAGTATAGTAACTTAATGTACTTTCAATACAGCTTGTGTACAGCAGTTGATGGTAGAATAGTATGACGGCGCTATGGCAAGTTGACTTGTAAAATGGAGATGGCGATAAGTTTAGATTTGGTTAAAAATCTGGGTAAAAACTTTTTTGGAAACTGTTGTTTATATGTGGAACAGAGTACTGGATAACGTGGTAGTCGGTGGATCACTAGATTGTTTCAAGCGTAGGTTAGATGTGAATATAAATAGGTGGCGCGTTTGGGCGGGTAACTTTCTTCTTGTGCGTTTCAGGCTAAAGTTACGTTGTGGGACTAAAACCAACCAGGCTCCTGCGGCCGGCAATTAGGGACCCATTCCCCCCCTCTCTCCCTGAGTCTTGATAGGGATGGAAGATTGGGCTCTGACCAAACTTGATCTTCGGTTATCTCCTATAATCTCTCCCCACTTTCTCGTAGTAGTCCCACACCTCCAGTGCAGCCTGTCCTCCTAAGACCCAAAAGTGATTCCATGCACCCGCCAAACCCCCTGTTTATGAATGAAAAACGGTTTACACACGACTCCCAACTGGTGTTCGAACATTTACGGAACAAGTGCTTCACTAGAGAATTCGAACCACAACGCTGTAAATGCTTCGACCACGTACTACAAATAATCGCCAACAGAACCTCAACACCCAACCTATGCCTATATATACACAATATGCTAATGTATTATAATTTATATTTGAGAAAATTCCCGTTTTGAATTCTTGTCTTGCTTCAAGTAATTTGCGGTTACTTGTCCCTCGATAGAATTCTTGGTGAATGGGGTACTTTCGATATTGTTCGGCTTATGCGTTTCTGTTCTTATATTAGCATCCTTAGTGATATTTAGGGCTATTCCACACATTTGGTGCTACACAGCCTTCCCGGCTTCATACCTTCATTTCTTAATTACAATGCTGGGTTTCCAATCGCATTGGCATTACCTTAAACGAACGTTCGGATATGGCCACTAAGGAAGCAATCCACGCTTTTCCCAGTTTCCTAAAACTGCATGTCCTAATTCAGATTTCTTCTCAATCATTCATTCCTCAGTCCACGACCATTGGCAGGATCATAAGCATGACGTGACAGGTAACAAACTCTGCCTTCTTAAAGGTAACTTTTTCCTTTGGCACTCGTTGCTGTAATAGGCGGTGGAAAAATAATAAAGGTCACTTAATGACCTTAATAACGCGGAACGGCGTTCCGTGAGCGCTTTGTCATGGGTTCGTATCCTGGCCGGGGAGGATTTACTGGGTGCAAATCCTCAACTGTAGCCTCTGTTTAACTCGACAGTAAAATGTGTACTTGGTTGTAACAACGATTCTTCGCGGCGGGGATCGTATTCCAGGGACCTGCCCGAAACGCTAAGCGTACTAGTGGCTGTACAAGAATGTAACAACTCTTGTATATATATCTCATCTCGATGACCTTTGTGACCTTTATTATGTCCTTTAACGCAGCTTTGCTCCTTATTGTCCGAACTGTGTTCTATTCTTAGCCATGCACCTCCTTGTGAAATGTTCAGACTTTAGAGACTAAAGCATGTTTTGCTTTTCTAATGTCCCTTAAGGTCATTTCACTCTAGCCTCCTGGGGAATCTGATGCCTTTTAATATAGCTCGCCTTGTTCCTTTCTCGTATTGATATTCTCGGTGATGCTTGGCGCCTTTTGACTATCCAACACCACTGATGGTGGTATATATTTTCCCCACCATGACTCCTTATAATTACTTTAAAATGTTTTTGTAAACATTGTAAGAAGCCTAATTCTGGTATCCAGTGGTACAACCTGTCACATATTACCCCAGCCATTTGGGTCTTTGTTAAAGTCCTCATAACAATGTTTCACGCCTTGAGGGTTTTGGTCCAAGTTCAGTAAATCTTTTTTTTCTGACCTGGATCTGAATAAGAGCAATACTGAGATATTATGTTATTGATACTGGTGCTTTAGGGAAGTAACTAACCAATTTATTTTCCATTGGACAGCGACATGCCTGAGAATTGCGCAATTTGTAAAAACAAATTCGATGAACTTCTACGGAGGCCGCGTAATCTGCCTTGTGGCCATACAATCTGCTCACAGTGTGCTAAAGATTCTGTACAGAAGGGTCTGTTCATTTGCCAGAGATGTCGTGTTGAGGGCAGTGTCTTAGCTGATGCTCAATTGCCAGTTAAATGCAGAACGGAGGCCTTTATCAGGAAACACAAAGGTTTTAGGCCGACGTCAGTGGCACCAGACTCTATTAAACCTCAAGACTACTCAATAAAACTCGGCATTAACTTACCGTCGCTGATAGAGCCGCCCAAGGTCAGATTGAACAGGCTCATATATCGTTGTGACCGATTCTGTTCATATTTGGACGACCATCGGGTACAGCTGAGGATCTCTAAGAATAAACACGACGATCTTAAGGACGGACTCCCCAGTCAGTTGGAAGAGAACAACGCGGCGATCAGACTGCTGGAGCTGGAACTTGCGAGTGTGGCAGACTTGGCAACAGTAGGCCAGGAAATAAAGCGGCAGCTAGAAGAGTTGTTGGTGCGCCTCAACGCGGTAGAAGCTGCACAAGAGGTATACGTGATCAACGACGTTGATGTATGTCGTAGGAAGCTAGACAATTGGGAGAGGCAGTGCAAGGTACTACTCCCAAAGTGTTACACTCGCCCCACCGCACTTAAGGTATGTTGCTTATCAGTCCTGGGGCTGACCCGCCTCACTGAGGCGAGGACTGCTAACGCCGTCCTTACTAAAGTTTTCTTTATAAAGTGTTAGGCTTATAGCATATCGGTAAGATTCGGTACTTATTTAAAATTGTAATGTCTGCCATCACTCTGGTACCCCGTACTTCAGGAGGACCTTAAGTGATGGATAAATATTAAATTTGTCAAGTTTTCAAATTCTATTAATTCAATTATTTGTTGCCAATATATAGGATAGTTGAAAAGTCTGTTTAAAATCTTTAAGGGGTAATGAAGTTAGTAGTATAGTTAGGTTCCGTTCTAGACTCCCAGTATGAAATTCAGTTTGAATCACAAGAGGGGACAAGTAGTCTAGTGTCTATTTTCTATTGCCTTCACCTAACGTTAAAAACAGTTAGGCAACTGTTGAGGCAAGGTTCTGGGGAGGGTCGGTAGTGACAATTTTTTTTATTTCGGGGGGGAGGGGGGGGGGGAGGGGAAAGGTTCTAGATAAGTGTGAAGTTTTGCCAACGATTTTTTTTAAATGGCATTGTTTACAAGAGCCATGAGGAAGCTGCTGTTAACCCCGTGTAGCCGCGGAACTTATAAATCTTGCGTGGTACTCCCACACATCATATGATGTGGTGTGCAGTTTAAGGGTTAAATTTTAACAGGTAAATACCAATTTATATCTTGGTTTACCTTGTTGATTTTCCAGATATTAGGTATTTATATTGCATTGCCGATAAGCATAACTTTGCACTACTCGACATTGGTATTGACAGATGCTGGAGATGATGAGGGCTTCCATGAAAATGACCTCAGAGAAGAACGCCGCGGTGGCCCCCGTCGACCTGGAAGGCTCTGCGGTGGCCCCCGTCGACCTGGAAGGCTCTGCGGTGGCCCCCGTCGACCTGGAAGGCTCTGCGGTGGCCCCCGTCGACCTGGAAGGCTCTGCGGTGGCCCCCGTCGACCTGGAAGGCTCTGCGGTGGCCCCCGTCGACCTGGAAGGCTCTGCGGTGGCCCCCGTCGACCTGGAAGGCTCTGCGGTGGCCCCCGTCGACCTGGAAGGCTCTGCGGTGGCCCCCGTCGACCTGGAAGGCTCTGCGGTGGCCCCCGTCGACCTGGAAGGCTCTGCGGTGGCCCCCGTCGACCTGGAAGGCTCTGCGGTGGCCCCCGTCGACCTGGAAGGCTCTGCGGTGGCCCCCGTCGACCTGGAAGGCTCTGCGGTGGCCCCCGTCGACCTGGAAGGCTCTGCGGTGGCCCCCGTCGACCTGGAAGGCTCTGCGGTGGCCCCCGTCGACCTGGAAGGCTCTGCGGTGGCCCCCGTCGACCTGGAAGGCTCTGCGGTGGCCCCCGTCGACCTGGAAGGCTCTGCGGTGGCCCCCGTCGACCTGGAAGGCTCTGCGGTGGCCCCCGTCGACCTGGAAGGCTCTGCGGTGGCCCCCGTCGACCTGGAAGGCTCTGCGGTGGCCCCCGTCGACCTGGAAGGCTCTGCGGTGGCCCCCGTCGACCTGGAAGGCTCTGCGGTGGCCCCCGTCGACCTGGAAGGCTCTGCGGTGGCCCCCGTCGACCTGGAAGGCTCTGCGGTGGCCCCCGTCGACCTGGAAGGCTCTGCGGTGGCCCCCGTCGACCTGGAAGGCTCTGCGGTGGCCCCCGTCGACCTGGAAGGCTCTGCGGTGGCCCCCGTCGACCTGGAAGGCTCTGCGGTGGCCCCCGTCGACCTGGAAGGCTCTGCGGTGGCCCCCGTCGACCTGGAAGGCTCTGCGGTGGCCCCCGTCGACCTGGAAGGCTCTGCGGTGGCCCCCGTCGACCTGGAAGGCTCTGCGGTGGCCCCCGTCGACCTGGAAGGCTCTGCGGTGGCCCCCGTCGACCTGGAAGGCTCTGCGGTGGCCCCCGTCGACCTGGAAGGCTCTGCCTCCAGTATGGTGCTAATGTTCAGAAAATTATCGAAAAGTTCTGAAGCGCTGTTAAAGTGTGAGCTATAATTACTCTTCAGCCACGCAACTTTAACTATTTTTCTGTATTTTTAGTTTTTCAGTCGGTTGACTATATTGTTAAAATGTTGTGGAATTGTTAGGCAGTAATTGAGTATTTTTTCTGGTAAGCTTCTTTAAGAGGCTCCGAGCCATCCTCCATAGCACCTTTGCTACCACACTAGGTTCTAAAGATCAAACACCTGTAAGACCAAAGCCAGTCTGATCTCCCCAATAAACACAGCGAAGTGAAATTCGTGAGCACAACAGTACCAACGGAAAATCATATAAAAAAAAGTAACTGGACAACGTTTAGTCACAAAAAATTATGAACAAGAGCGTTGTTTAGGTCCAAATGGGAGTTAGCATTACTAGCTCGCCACCAGATGGGAACCCTGGCGACCCAAGCCACCACAGTTATTAACCCACTGTGACGTAAACAGTCTGTCGTGACACATCAACATAGATGTTGTATTCTGTCAAATATTCAAACTCCTGCAGGGAACTCCAAATTGTGATACTTCTTTCTTCCATAGGTCTGGGTTAGTTCTATTGCATCCATATTAGTGTATTGTAACTATATTTAGGAAAGTGTTAGCAAGTCGATAGGATTAGCCTAGGGATAAGCGTGTGGTAACAGCACTTAGTGCTACCTGTCACCATCTCTTACACTATTAACAAAATATCACCAGTGTTTACTGTCTTATCACCACCACGCCTTTTTTTTTACACAATAGCCGATGTCACCTTCAGTGACGTCATCGTTAATTATTAGCTGTTGGTCACACATCACCATCGCATCTGCTTTACAGCTATTCTTGTATGTCCCTAAATTCATTCCTGCCTTTGAATCCCTCGCCATTACTGGTGCCTCGCCATTGTCACCCCTAACACTCGCCTGTCAGTCGGGTCCCACAACTGGGCAAGTGACCATACCGAGCAATAAACATGTTTAGTCCCTAATGATATTTATGGCTAGATTTTAATGTATTTTACACAGTAAAAAAAAAATTAATTTTAATATCCAAAATGTTAACCGTTTCCGTTAAATGGGTAATACCTAGATTAATTACTGAAACTGGTATTTTGACTATACATCCTCCTCAGTCTAGCCTGTAGTTGCCTTGAGGCCTTGTTTAGTCCCGCTTCGTGGGCCAAATACTTTGATCTCCTCCCTCTTGATTCTGCGCCTCCTGATGATTTCTCCCTCCATCGGCATCTCGTTGATTCCGTGGATGCGTCTGTTACCTTCAATCCCCACTCGTCTCGGTACACGTGTCGTTGCTGCAGCTCCTCAGGATGCAGCTTCCCGCTTGGCTGCCTTATCCTGCCTTGGCGAGACCCCTGTTCGGGTCTCAAAGAACGCTCGGTTGAATGCCAGTGTTGGCACTCTTCTCCTCCTGCCCCATGTTGCGACGGGTGTTCGGAATCTGCAGGACTGCCACGATGATATTCGGCATATCCTTGATGCCCAAGGCCATTCTGTCCTCCAGGTGGATACGTGTACTCGTCCCCCTCGTGGTCGTCGTCGTCAACCCCTCCGGGTTGTGAAGATTACCTTTGATGGTAGGACCCTTCCACCCTCTGTCATTCTTGCTGGTGCCAGGTGCTCTGTCCAGGAGTACATTCCTTCTCCTAGGCTTTGTAACAAGTGCAGGAGGTTTGGGCATGGTGCCCTCCGCTGCTCCGGGACTATCTGTGTCTTTCGTGTGGGGGCGAAGGTCGCTTTAAGCCGGAGTACACTTCTCTCCAGGCTCGGTGCCTCAACTGCGGTGAGGCCCATCCTACCTTCTCCAGTTCCTGTATCCATTTAGGTTTTAGATGTATTAATCGCACGAGTACAGTGTAATTTCCATTTCATTGTTCCTTGCACTGTCATCTAGTTATGACATTTACTGAGATTATGGCACTGTGAAATCTATTCCACCTAGACAAGCTTTTGATACACATGTTGCATATATCTGCTTTATTTTGTATTCTTGTATACATATGTATTAGCGGTTGGCCGACGTCTTGAATCCTCCCTATCTCCCTCCCTTTGATGTACCGACTCGCGCCAGTGTTACTATGTCGTACCAATACGAATTCTGTGTGCATATTTTTATACCCTGATAATAAGAATTAAATACATTAGAGAATTTATGTATTATGTAAAGTTGTCTTATAATCTTTACTTTGTTATATATTAAATTAGTTCATGATTGCGTTATGTCTGTAAATGAGCTAGCGAGATTTGAAAGAGTGGAGTCGGATAACTCAAGAGTTGGATACAGTGTCGCTCCCGGCCAGCTTGGCTCAGGGCAGTCATTACTCCCTGACCTTCCAGGCGAGCGCATCTATGGCGTTCTCGGTCAGAGATTTGTGACCTTGTTTATGTATTGTGACTGCTAAATTGTCATGTAACAGTATGTATTACCATGGATCATTTCCACTGTTGTGCATCATGTATACCAGGTGGTAGGCGATTTTGTCTTTGTGAGGTGATATTCTGAGGAACTTAAGTAATGCCAGTGTGCTGTATGTAATATTGTTTCCTCATACGTTGAGACGCCACCATCCTGTATTGGTATTAGCAGCATATAGGCGCTAGTGTTCCGTTGTGCAAGGATTAGAGCTTGGTGTTAGCTAGTACTAATTGATGCAGTTTCCAGACCGTTTTGTATGATCATGCTCAGTTAAGCTGGATAAAGTAATTGTGTGTGAGTTAATAATGTTATATTTTAATGTTATGTGGATTTATATTAATGCCAGTAAATTGGAATATTTTTTTGCTTGCCTTTCACTCCCCTAGAACATTGATATTTGGCCAGGCTGTGTGTTCCAGTGATGCTGAAGGTTACTCTCTCTCATAACACTAAAGTGGGGGTCTTGTCTATGAGCCCATAACACTGACATAACAATGATGCGGCCAACTTTTGAACAACCTGGCCGTGGAACGAGGGAAGACACACCCGACGGACAGCATCACCCAGAGCACACTGTGGCACGCAAATAACCGAAAATGTTGCAAATGGATAAATGAAGCGACCTCGGCCAACCAAGCTATAACTAAAGGGCCTCTTTGAACCCAGCCATCTGATTTTAGGCCAAAAATGGATACGGCTGCAAACTAAGAAACCACCCTCTGGGACAAAATAAAATCATCGCTTCAAGACACTAACCCAATAACCAATACCGAGGCAAAAAACTAGAATCCTCGAATGGGGGAAGAAACTAGCATGTTTGACACTCCTACGACGTTAATGGTGAGGAGGGCTCAGAGTATCAAGAGCCACCACCTAAAACTCGAAACCAGAGCAACCATACCCCCTTCCACGATTCAGGCAATGAACTGGAAATTTGTCAGTGTAGTCAAACCACCGTGCCTAATGTGAGCCGAAGAACATGTTCCACAAGTCTTCTTAGAGCCTTGTGTTCTGCAGCCTTCTTTACTAATTTTGCTAGATGGTTCCCCCCCCCAATTGTTTCTTATCCCTGCAGTCCATCCCCCCCCCCCCTTTTCCTTTCCCTTCTGCTTTCTGGATGAAGTTTCCTGGTAACTGCTGCCGGGGTGTGATGCTCCATGGGACAGTCCTCTGTCCTGTGGCCTTATTCTCCTGCTGCCGTCCTCTCAAATTCTGCCAGACGACAGTACCTTTTCCTTATGTTTCGTTTTTCTCCCCCCTCTTCTTTCTAATTGTCATTTCTCGCCGATCTTTTGTCTGTTTTGATTATTCTTTCGGCCTTTTTATTTTGACGCCCGGGTGTTTGAGGAGGCATACTCTCCCACTGTAGAACTCTGGTGCCCGACCTAGCCCCTGCTGCATTGGGCCCCGACCTTGCTCCTCCTTTGACCCACCCTCCCTCTGTGGTTGGGTCGAGCCAAAAGCCACCAGTGGTGACCACCTCGTCCCCTCGCACGGTTACGTCTCTCATTATGACTACTGCACCATTTATCCCCTCTCTGGGGTTTCTCAACGCTGTCAACGGCACGGCACTCACACGACCCCTTCCCGTACTAATGAGTACCAAGCCTTGTTTGGTCCCGCTTCGTGGGACGAATATTTTGATCTTCTGGATTCTACACCACCTGACGAATTCTACCTCCATAGGCACCTTGTTGATGCAGAAGATGCCTCTGTTACCTTCAACCTCACCCGTCTCGGTACACGTGTCGTTGCTGCTCCTTCTCAGGACGCAGCCACCCAATTGGTTACCTTATCCTGCCTTGGCGAAACCCCTGTTCGGGTCTCCAAGAACGCTCGTTTAAATGCCGGTGTTGACACTGTTCTCCTTCCATCTCATGTTGCAACCGGTGTTAGGAATCTACAGGACTGCCACGAAGATATTCGGCATATCTTTGAAGCCCAGGGCCATTCTGTCCTCCAGGTGGACACGTTTACTCGTCCCCCTTGTGGTCGTCGCCGTCAGCTCCTTCGGGTTGTGAAGATTACCTTTGATGGTCGAACCCTTCCACCCTCTATCATTCATGCTGGTGCCAGGTGCTCCGTTCAGGAGTACATTCCCTCTCCTCGGCTCTGTAATAAGTGCTGGAGGTTTGGGCATGGTGCCCTCCCATGCTCCAGTACTGTCTGTCCCTTGTGTGGGGACGAAGGTCACTCTTAAGTCGGAGTGCATGAAGATCACTGTTTTATAAATCAAAATTATTATTATTATTAATAATTTACATTCTCGGTGGGTTAATAAAGAGTAATATTTCTTTATTTTTTTGCAAATCAATTGAGGAGACAAAGATTTTGTTAAAAAAGATTTATAATGGTGAAACCCATAAGAGTATATATATTTAGGCAGGAGTGGTTAGAAACCGGGCTTCGGGGACCTCGACTACCAGAATCAACGCAAAATAACGTAAAATAACGCAAGGTAAAGCAAGCTAAGGGGACAAACCCAAACCCGAACCAAAATAAATGAATTGAAAGTATAAGCGCACCAAACCAGCAACTCGAAGTAAATTAGTAACCTTGAGGGAAAACAAGGCAATTATTGTCGCCAGTTAACCCCCCCCCCCCGTGATGCACCTGACCGCCACCAGATGGCTCTCCAGCCCACCAGGGTCTCCACCAGCCAGCCAGCCAGACTGCTCATTCACTTGTCTGGTTCTGCCTGTGACACACGTCTCTGCTGCCCGCCGTCTGCTTCTTCACACTCTCAGAAATGTGGTATCTGCTCTCACGTGAATGTTTCGTTTCCCGCGGGCACATAATTGATTTTTGTTCCATTTCTTACTTCACATTTGTGTTTTATGGCGCCTGCCTCGGTGTTCATTGTTTACAATCCCTCCAACTGTGTGTAAGGGTAATCTTCCATAGTTCTCCTAACCCCATCAACTATTCTAGTTTTCTCCAGTTTTTTTCTTAATTTCTACCGAAGTTAACTTCCCACTACGAGGCCAGTTAATGATACATTTGTAGTTGGTAAGACACTCGCCTGGTGGTTCGCGAACCCTTTGTCCTGGGTTCGTATCCTGGCCGGGGAGGATTTACTGGACGTCATTCATTAACTGTAGCCCCTGTTTACCCAACAGTAAAATGGGTACTTAATTGTTAAACGATTTGGCGGGTCGTATTCCGGGGAACATGGGATTAAGGACTTGCCCAAAACACTATGCGTGCTAGTGGCTGTACAAGAATGTGAACTTTTGTATATTTAAAAATAAACATTCCTGTGGCCTGTTAGAGCCTCGTGCGTATAACGATCGTTACTACGGCGACAACTCCCCCTCCCCCCCCCTTCCTCTGACATGACTGCACCTGCTCTTGATCTTTCCTATTAGCCCATGTTTCTTTACCTGTTTTTCTTAATTACCTTTCTCTACTATGCCTGTTCTTCAAATGGAATATACAGTACATGGTTTTTATACCAATCTTTACGAAGTCTTATTTTCCATTCTCCTTTCTGTTCTCCCCATTCCTTAACTACTGTTCTTTTGATCCTGAATATTCCCTGTGCCCCAGTTTTCAGCTGTACGTAAATTCCAATGCTGCTCTTATCTTTGTAAACACTGTTCCTTGCTCTACCTGCAGTAACACGTGGAAGTGCGTAGACGGTGAAATTCAGATTACTTGGACTATACGCTAACAGCTTACAAGAGCTAATGTTGTGTTATGGTTTCGGTAGGAGAGTGCAGTGACCCGTAGGGCGATCCATACGGCTAAGCAGGAGAGTTTGAAATATTGTCAGTCATAAAGTTTGAAAACATCCTCACTAAAATCTGGAAGAAAATGCCTAAGTTTTAGGTAAATTTAATATCAGCCGTCTGTGGTTGTGAACGAACTGGGCTCACACTTGACAGCCACTCCCTTCGGTACTAGTCTTCCTCCTACCTTACTTGCTAGAAAGTTGAATGTCAACCCTTGGAGTTTCTCGCCTACAGCAGCTCTATAACCGTTTTGCAACTAGAGCTTGTTGTCTCTGCAGTTCTACAGCGGTGGACTGTCAACATCAGGAAATGCTTCATTTCCCTCGGTGTTCCTTTTAAGTATTTGCTGAAGATTTACAACCGTATTTGAGAGGGATTACTCCCAGAGAACCGATTTGAGGCGTTTTTCCTCCCTATTTGGGAACTCTGTATTAGGGGGGTTTCGTCCATTTCCCCGATTAGTCTGAAAACCTCTTGAAAGGCACGGTTAATTACTCTTGCGAATCCTTGAACACCATCGCCACCACCCCTTTCCACCTCCCTTAATTTGCCTTTGGCAAGTGTTCCAGAGCTGATATCTTGGTGGACTTGGAGCTCTACATTCATACTGCCTTTGCTGTGTATTCCTCCTTTCATTTTGATCTAGAAAGACTTGATAACCTGAAAATGCGATATTTTTTCCCAGCTACATTCATTTGGTCTGTGAATCTCTTGCTTTTTCTTGTGAAGTAACTTTGTGCCAGTTTCTTTGATTGAACTTGCTTGGATCCTGCAGCCTCTTGACACACAAAAAACCAGGGTTTTATGCAACTCTCCCATGCACTCGAGCTATGTCAATATTCCGTTCCACCTCTTCGCCCTTACTTCATTACACACACAAATAGCAATATTTTGCTTCTACTCCTTGTCTTGATGCTCTGCTCCCATGCTGGGTTGTCCCTCGGCTCTGGTGCCTTTCGTGCCACTCCAACCCTCGGCTTGTATGTTGACACTAGCTTCCTCTCTCTCCAGGACTGCCGAGATTGCTACTGTCGTCGCTACCTTGTGTGGTCCTTAAAACACCCTGACTCTCGCTAATGTCGTGCTTTGAATTTTTACCTCTCCTATAGTTCCTGTTCCCCTTCACCACCTCCCTCTTTCTGTCCTGTTGTCTCGCTTGCAGCGTTCTCTTTCGGTTAGTGTTACCAATATTTCTCACCGTGTATCGTCCTTGCCCCTGTGGAGGGTCCCTTTTCCTAAATTTTGTAAAACCCTGACCCACGTGACTGAAGCGTTTACCCCCCCTCCTTCAGTTCTGAACCACCTTTTCCTTGAAACACTTTTCTTCACACTCCTGCTCAATTTCCGTCTTCACCGATGGGTCTAAGTCTGCAGACGGTGTGGGCTACTTTGCTGTTTTTCCTGACCACACCTGTGTCGCCTGCCTCAAGAGAATAGCATCTTCGCGGCAGAACTTTATATTATCTATGCTCTTCATCTACTGCTTTCTTGCTGTCAATCCTCCTTTATAGTTGTAGTTGACTCTTGTAGTGCCCTCTAGGATCTGGCGTTCTTTAATCCAGTCCATCCGGTGATGTAGTTTCAACATTGGATGTTTATCTCTTAGATTTAAGACACTAGCGTTTTGCTGGGTTTCCAGCCATATTGGCGTCTCATTAAATGAAGCGTGTGGACGCTGCCGCTAAAGCAGCTATCAGCACATGTCCTATCTCCATACAGGTATTCCTTATTCAGACTTTTACCCAGTTATTCATTCCACCATCCTTGCCCGTTGGCAGAGTTGTTAGTCTTCTGTTACTAGTAACAATCTGCGTGTTCTTAAGATTAGTGTCTCTGTGGCCTTCCTTCCTACCACCGTAACTGGCGGTGGGAAACGGCTCTGGTGAGGTTGTATATTGGCCATACACGCTAAACTCGCTGACGATTAATGGAGCACCGCCCTGCTCCTTATTGTCCAAACTGTATTTTCCCTCTTACAGTAGTGTATATCCTTGTTGAATGTCCCGACTTCCAGGACGAGCGTGTCTTACTTCCTGACCGTCCTTTGCGGTCACTTTTCACTCGATAGAATTCTTAGTGAATGGGGTACTTTTGATATCCTCCCCTTTATACGTTTCTGTTCTTGTATTGGCATCCTGAGTGATATTTAGGGCTATTCCACACATTTAATGGTGCTACACAGCCTTCCCGGCTTGATACCTTTATTTGATAATTACTTTGCTGGGTTCCAGGTCGCATCGACGTTGCCTTAAACGAACGCGCGGACGTGGCCGCTAAGGAGGCAATCCACACTTTTCCCAATTTCCTAAAACTGCATGTCCTAATTCAAATTTCTTCCCCAATTATTTATTCCTCGGTCCACGACCATTGGCAGGATCATAAGCATGACGTGACAGGTAACAAACTCTGCCTTCTTAAAGGTAATCTTTTCCTTTGGCACTCGTTGCTGTAATAGGCGGTGGAAAAATAATAAAGGTCACTTAAAGACCTTTATTTGTGGCCTTTATTATGTCCGTTAACGCAGCTTTGCTCCTTATTGTCCGAACTGTGTTGTTCCATTCATAGCCATGCACCTCCTTGTGAAATGTTCAGACTTTAGAGACTAAAGCATGTTTTGCTTTTATAATGTCCCTTAAGGTCATTTCACTCTAGCCTCCTGGGGGAATCTGATGCCTTTTAATATAGCTCACCTTGTTCCTTTCTCGTATTGATATTCTCGGTGATGCTTGGCGCCTTTTGACTATCCAACACCACTGATGGTGGTACATATTCTCCCCAGCATGACTCCTTATAATTACTTCTTACAATGTTTACAAAACTTACTCATCCTTGTGAATTTCAGTAGTGTTTAAACATTTTAAAGAAACCCAATTCTGGTATCTAGTGGTACAACTTGTCACACATTACCCCAGCCACTTGGGCCTTTGTTAATTTTCTATAACAATAATTTACGCCTTGAGGTTTCTAGCCAAAGTTCAGTATTGGCACCGTTCTTTTTTTTTCCTCTGCTCTGAGCCTGAATAAAAAGAGCAATACTTAGAGGTATTCTGTATTGATAGATACTGATGCTTTAGGACAGTAATTAACCAATTTATTTTCTATTGGACAGCGACATGCCTGAGAATTGCGCAATTTGTAAAGACAAATTCGATGAACTTCTACGGAGGCCGCGAAATCTGCCTTGTGGCCATATAATCTGCTCAGTGTGTACTAGAGCTATTGCACTGAAGGGTCTGTTCTTTTGCCCAAGCTGTCATCCTGAGCGCAGTGTAGCAGCTGATGCTCAGTTGCCAGTTAAAAGTGCCGAGGCCATTATCACGAAACAAACTGATATTAGGCCGACGTCGGTGGCACCAGAATCTGTTGAACCAAAAGACAGTCCAAGAAGAGACGATAAAATTTTACAGTCGATGGTGGAGCAGCAAAAGCTCAGATTGAACACGTGTATAATTCGTTGTAACAGACCACTCTCAAATTTGGGCAAACACCACGTCCTGCTGAGGGACTCGAGGATTAAACACTACCGACTTGAGGCGGGACTCTCTAGTCTGTTGGAACAGAACAACGCGGCGATAAGACTGCTGGAGCTAGAGCTTAAAAGAGTGGCAGACATGGCAACAGTAGGCCAGGAAATAAGGCGGCAGCTACAAGAGTTGATGGTGCGCCTCAACACGGTAGACACTGTAAACAATGCAAGAGAGGTATACGTGATCATGGATGGCATTGATAAATATAAGAGGAGTTTAAAGAAATGGGGGAGGAAGTGCCAGGAGCTATGCTGGAACTCCCGTGCTATCTTCTTCTCAATTAAGGTATGTTGCTTATCAGTCCTGCTGCTGACCTGCCTTACTGAAGTAAGGACTGCTAACGCGGTCCTTGCTGAAGTTTTCTTTATAAAGTGTTATGCTTTTAGAATATCGGTAAAATTCGGTAGTTTTAATTTTCATGTCTGCCATCACTCTGGATCCCTGTGCTTCATAGATCTTGAGTGATGGATCAATATTCTAAATATTTTAAGTCTCCAAAGTCAATAAATTCAGTTATAGTATTACCAATATAAAGATTAGACTTCATTAGTTATGGTTTACATTCTTAAGGGGTATTTAAGTTAGTAGTTTTTATGAATAAATCCACAAGGCCGTGATAAGGGTTCGAACTTACGTCCCGGATGATCAAAGACTCTCCTTAATAGACAGCCTTACCCCTCGTCACGGCCATTGTGTATTTATTAATTTGATATATCACGCTATTGTGATCTGTGTGTATACAGTATCGTTCTGGACTAGCAATCTGAAATCCTGGGTTTGAAACCCTGGAGGTACAAATGGTTTGGCGTGTTTCCCATTTTCTATTGCCTCTCTTCACCTACCAGTAAATAAGTTAGGCAACTCTTGGCAAGGTTCTGTGGAGGGTTAGTAGTGACATTTATAATACATATGTATATATATAATGTGATTTTAATATAATCGAGGGCTACAGGCGCTAGTTACGGTGCCTGGGCCCAGTCCAGGATGTCGTCCTACCAGTTCTCACACCCTAGGCCCCTTCTCGTGACCACCAGCTCTCAGGAGGAAAGGAGGGGGGGGGGGAAATGTTCCTAGTTTTGACCTGAATTACAATGAATTAATGTGATTTTAAACAGCATTATAGAAGCAAAGCATGTTTCCCGAAATGTTTCCTAGGTCTATCAAAAACGTTTGTCTCGACTTAAAACTGTAACCTAACATGAAAGTTTAAATCGTGATTGGTTATTACCAATTTATATCCTAGTTTACCTTGTGGATTTTCCAGATATTAGGTATTTATATTGCATTGCCGATATGCATAACTTTGCACTACTCGACATTGGTATTGACAGAGGCTGGAGAAAGCGAAGGCTTCCCTGAAGGCAACCTCTGAGAAGCAGGCCGCAGTAGCCCCCGTCAACCAGGAAGAGACTACAGTAGCCCCCGTCAACCTGGATGACTCTTCCTCCAGCAATGAATCTGAAGATCAGTCGGCTGATGAAGACTTCTTTGGCACGATGTTAACATTTAGTGTGAGTTATAATTAATTTTCAGTCTCGCAACTTTCAGTTTTCTTAATTTTTATTTGTTCACTGTCGCCGTTGACTTTGCTGGTAAATTGTGTAAATATTGTGGAATTGTTGGGCAATAAGTGAGTGGTTTATTTTCTCTGGTAGAGCTTCTTTAAGAGGCTCCCTGAGCCATCCTCCATAGCACCTTTGTTACCACAGTATGCTCTAAAGATTCAGGAACACCTATAAGACCAAATCAATCTGGTCTTCTCAATAAACAAAGCGAAGTAAAATTCATGAACACCACAGTACCGAAGGGAAAACATAACGGCAAAAATATTAAGTGGACAACGTATAGTTTTTAAAAATAATGTACAAGAGCGTTGTTTAGGTCCAAATGGTAGTTAGCACCACTAGCTCGCCACCAGATGGGAGCCCTGGCGACCCTAGCCACCCCAGTCTTTAACCCACTGTGACGCCAACATTGTTGACACATCACCCTAATGATGATGTTGACAATACACAGGACAAATTGCGGTTAAAGGATAAATCAGGAATGACATAACTACACGTGTTTTAGGCACTATCCTTGTGACAATTGGCTTGATGCCGTCTGCAAATGACTTAATGTTCACGGGTAATAATGCAGCTGATTATCCACAGATCGAATATCTTCGTAAAATCAGCCGGCCTCTCCAGAGCTTGTTCTTGAGTGGCCGGGTCTTCTCTGTCAAGGAATTTCATGGCGGGTTTTACTCGGCAAGGATAACATTACGAGGAGAAGCAGTTTACTTTCATGCATTGGAGAAGCGGCCTCCCAACGCTTGTCCTGATACAATCAAGGTAACTTGTATTATACATTACATCTCGAGCAAGATGGAATATTTTATGGGATGCGTTCAAGCTTGAACAGTGATTACAGTATCTTGGGAAATCACACCAGGTCTGAGACTACCCGGATCTGCCGGGAGCCAAGATCCCGCTCACTGGGTTTGGTTAATATTGGTCTTCACTTGTGCAATGTGGCGTTTTGGGCAGCATCCGCACGTGGTCTCAGTTTTGGCAAGTTTGGTTTAGATTACCTGGAATTATTATTGGTGGGGGTTGACTTGTACTGTCCTCCCCGGACTGTTGGTGGGGGTTGACTTGTACTGTCCTCCCCGGACTGTTGGTGGGGGCTGGCTTGTACTGTCCTCCCCGGACTGTTGGTGGGGGCTGACTTGTACTGTCCTCCCCGGACTGTTGGTGGGGGCTGACTTGTACTGTCCTCCCCGGACTGTTGGTGGGGGTTGGCTTGTACTGTCCTCCCCGGACTGTTGGTGGGGGCTGGCTTGTACTGTCCTCCCCGGACTGTTGGTGGGGGTTGGCTTGTACTGTCCTCCCCGGACTGTTGGTGGGGGCTGGCTTGTACTGTCCTCCCCGGACTGTTGGTGGGGGCTGGCTTGTACTGTCCTCCCCGGACTGTTGGTGGGGGCTGGCTTGTACTGTCCTCCCCGGACTGATATATTCTTTAGTAGAGGTTGTGTACGGAGGGTTGTTTGTTTGCTTCTCGCTCGTCTTTCCAGTACACGAGTTGCACGAATTTCAATTTCGTGTCATCGGCTGTGACTCTCATACATACAGGTCGGTGTATTGTCTTTTTGTTTGGCTTAGTTTCGTATATTATGCAATTTACATATCATTATAGTGAATATTAAGTGCATAAACCGTGTACTATGTTTTGGTTTTATTGCAGAATGTAAATGTACTGAAATTGTGATCAATAGTCACAATTCTTGCAAAGCTTTCGATGACTTCGAGCAGCTTTATGCTTGCATTTGTCCTATTTTGAGGTTTTCAGAATTTAATCGTGTGACGCTGCCTTCCTCTTCATTTCCAGACTCGAGGTTTTGCAAACTCGAATTGGCTCAGGCCCTTTGGGCGGTCTGTCGGGCTCGCAGTATGGTTCACGTGGTTTTGCATGATGATCGGCTCACTTCAGGCTTGGTAGTTTGACTCGCTGTCAACTTTCCAGTTCATTGTCTGAAATGTTGGGGGGGGGGGGGGAGAGGTTGCTGGGGTTTAAGGTTGTAGGGGCTGGACTCTGGTGGTTCTTGATCCTCTGAGCCCTCCTCACCATTAACGTGGACGAAGTGTCAAACGTGCAGGCGTTTTTCTTCCCCCATTCGGTCTTAGATTTTAGTTTTTGCCTCGGTATTGGTTATTGGGTTGGTGTCCAGAAGCCATTTTTCACTTGTCCCAGAGGGCTTCTTAGTTTGCCGCCGTATCTTTCATTTTTGGCCCAAAATAGGGCGACTGGGTTCAAAAAAGTCCTTTAGTTACAGCTTGGTTGGCAGAGGGTGCTTCATTTATCCATTTTAAACAGTTTTCTGTTATTTGCGTGCCACAGGGTGCTCTGGGTGATGCTGTCAGTCAGCTTCCCCTCCCTGTCCGGCCCGTTGTTGCCGTGAGGGGGCTTGGTGGGCGGCTACCGGAGAGTGATGCTCCATGGGACAGTCCTTTTGTGGCCTTGTGCTCCTGCTGCTGTCCTCAAGAATTTTGCTGGACAACTTCTACGTTTCCTTTAGTTTTTCTAACCCCCCCCCCTCTTCTAATTTCTACTTCTCATTTTCCGCCGAGCTTTTGCCCGTTTTGATAATTCTTTTGGTTTTTCGTATTGACGCCCGGGTGTTTGAGGAGGCATACTCTTGCACCCGTAGAACTCTATATTACCCAACGTTTCGAGCGAGGGGATCCTTTTGTTGTCAATCCTCCTTTCGTCACTGAACCCGATCTCGACGGACTTAAAATTCTTAAGGTGGCCTTTGTGGGGCATATACTCACGACGCACCCCTAGGGGGCCCCCCAGCAAGATAGGCAACATGTCTCTTGTTGGGTGTCGTGCCATTAATTGTGGCTCCGTGGTGTGGGAATTACATTCGTGAATGAAAGTATTACCTCGTTTTTGTCTCGTGCTGTTCTCCTTATACCTTCTCGGGCTCGTGGGGAAGGCGACCAAGCCCCCGAGTCGGACAGTGTCGGAAGACCGGGCTCTAGCCCCCGATGGATTGGGCCCAGAGCTTGCTCCTCCTCCTGGCCCGCCTGACTAATCCCCTGGGCTCCCCTCCTTCCCTCTGGTTGGGTCGAGCCACAAGCCCCAGTGGAGACCACTTCGTCCTCTGGCATGGCTCAGTGTCTCATTGACTACTGCACCTTTTAACCCCCCTTCCCCCCCCCCCCCCCTCCCGTCTGTCTGTGTTTTTCTCAACGCCGTCCACACCACTGCTGCACTCGTTCGATCCCATCCAGTGCTGATGCGTACCAGGCCTTGTTTGTCCCGCTTCGTGGACCCTTCCGTCCTGTCATTCTTGCTGGTGCCAGGTGCTATGTCAAGGAGTACAGTCCCTCTACCTTGGCTCTGTAATAAGTGGTGGACCAAACTCTCACAAGTCGAGCCTGGCCTCGGGCCGGGCTTGGGGAGTAGAAGAACTCTCAGAACCCCATCAACCAGGTATCAACCAGGTAAGTGCTGGAGATTTGGTGCATAGTGCCCTCTGGTGCTCCAGTACTCTCTCTGTCCCTTGTGTGGGGACGAAGGTCGCTACAAGTCTGAGTGCACTTCACCCCAGGCTCGTTGCCTCAATTGCAGTGAGGCCCACCCTACCTTCTCCTGCGCATGTGTACATAACAAACTTGAGGCAGCCGTCTTCGCCTTGAAGCACCGGGAACGTGCGTCTTTTCCTAAGGCGAGGTGCCAAGGTCACTGTCCCCCCCCCTTTTTTTTTTTTGGGGGGGGGGGGCTGGTGTCTTGTGCTCGCATGTTGCGCACTTCCTCTCCCCGTCCTTCCCACCTTCCTCAGTCTCGCAACTGTGTTTCCAGGCCTTAGACCCAGACACGCTTACCGCCGCCACCTCTGTTCCTTTGCGTTCTGTCCCGAAAGGTCCCCCTCATGGTTCTGTCTGGGGTTCCCCTTCTTTCTACCCAGTCTGTCTTGTCTCCTGTGTCGTCTTCCTCGTCTCCTTCCGATCTTCCTTCCCATCCTTGTCATCAGTCTCTTGCCTCTCCACGCCGCCTGTCAGTGCGGGCTGATGTCCGTCACTCTCCCAGCTGCCATCGTGTTTGCTCTCGTTCTACGTCTCCTGTTGAGATGCTTGAATCTGTTAGCCAGTACATTGTTGCTTGGACGCCTCTGTCAGAAGCGAAAGCCTGGCTTCTCTCCTTCCCCTTCCTCGCTCGCTACCTCTGACACTCTTGCTCCATCCCCTCCCGTTTCGGTGGTAGTGCCCCCTGTTCCTGTTATGGAGGTCTCTTTGGCCTCCGCTTCCTTCTCGGTTGCTGCCCTTTCTGAGGTGCGTCACCTGATTTCTGCCCTTCCTGCTACTGTCCTTGACCCTCGGTTGTCCCATCAACCAGGTCCCCCCTCGCCCTCCTTCCCCTCCGGATCCCTACTCATCAACCTCTGGTAGGTCCTCCCGCTCCTTTCCCCTCCATCCATACGCAGTTTACCCATGGCCCCCTAACCCCGTCTAGCTGATCCAGATCTGCGATTCTTTTACGTGCTGTAACTCTTTCCCCTTTTCTTCATTGTCCTCTGTTGCTGTCGTTGTTCTTGCCGATCCCTTTTTCAATGGAATATTAGCGAATATTACGCCAATTTCAATGAACTCCAACTTCTGATTTTGCAGTTTTCTCCCCTTTGTGTCTGTCTCCAGGAGCCGATGCTTGGTACTCGTCCTGGTCGCTTCCGTGGCTATTCATCTCTTCCCCCATCCCCCCCCCCCCCCAGGGCTTTTGCTGGGGCCCGTTCCTCTTCTGCTCTAGATTCGTTCCGATGTTCCCTTCCCCCTACTTTTACCGTAGCCTCTGCAGTGTTCTGCTGTACGTGTCTTTGTACGTAAATGGTACACGGTTTATATTTACCTCCCCCCAAATGTCCCGCTTTATCTTCCCGATCTTAAACACCTACTGGACTCCTTGTTGGAGCCTGTGCTCCTGCTTGGTGATTTTAATTGTCAACATATCCTCTGGGGTGATGTTCTGACAAAAACCCGGGGTCGCCTTCTCGAACCGTTCATCCTCTCTTCTTCCCTCTCTTCTGAATTCTGGCGAGCCCACTCACGTTGCGAGTTCTTGATGACCTCCATAGCAGTGACCATTTCCCCATCCTTTTTCTTTTTTTCACCCTCCCCTCTCCTTCCCTAGGGGGTAGTTTGCCAAGGTAGACTGGAACCTATTTACCCTTCGTGCTGCTCTCTGACCTCTCCCTTCTGCCTCTCCCTCGCACCCTCCTTTTCCATGACACCATCTTAGATACTGCCCTCGGCTATATTCCTCTCGGGAGACCACGGAAGTGCGTTCCCAGGTGGAGTGTGCTCGGGCTGTCCGTTGTAAGCGTGCAGCCCAGAAGAGACTGCCACCGGCAGATGGCCGATTCTTTTGTTTCAGAATGAGTGCAGTGGCCTGTAGGGCCATCCGTAAAGCTAAGCGTGAGTGTTGGAAGTCTTATGTTTCCACAATTACGGCCGAAACTACTCTGCCGCAGATCTGGAAGTGTTCTCAAGATAGCGGGCAAGTTCGTTCCCGATGTCTCGCAGGCAAGTCGCCTCCATGGTACTCTTGTAGCGAACCCGTTGCAGGTTGCGACCGAACTGAGTTCCCACTTTTCTGTTAGCTCAGTCTCGTCTTCCTCAATCTTTCATTATTCGTAAACTTTGAATCTCTTTCTTTAGATTTCTGCACTCACCTCAGACTTCCCCTATAACGATCCCTTCTCTCTGAACTTCAGTCTGCCCTGGCCTTCTGAGGTTCTACGGCGGCGGGCTCCGATGCCATTCATTATGAGATGCTTTGCCATCTCCCTCCGTGCACGTCTCGGCATTTACCGAGTCTGTATAATCTGGGTCTGGGAGTCGTCGTCAGTCTGGGGACTGACTCGATGCCGTTGTCCTCCCTGTTCAGAAACCAGTCTCTGGGGGACATCCCCTAAGGACTTTCGCCCTATTGCCCTTAAGAGATGTCTGCAAACTCTTTGAACGTATGGTTAACGTTCGTCTGATGTGGTTCTTGGAGCACTATCACCACCTCTCCCTTCTCAATTTGGCTTTCGCAAGTGCTGCAGCACAACAGATGTCCTAGTAAATTTGGAGGTCTATATTCGTACTGCTTTTGCTGCGAAGACCTCCGTTGTTGCTGTCCTTTTTTTACCTGGAAAAGGCTTAAGACACGCTTGACGATATCATATTCTGTCCCAACTTCATTCTTTTGGTGTTCGTGGTAATCTCCCCTCTTTCTCCAAAGCTTCCTCTCGCATCGTTCCTTTAGTGAGGTTTTGTACCACTCTCTGCCTCTTTACAGCAATACGAAGGTGTGCCCCCAGGGTAGTGTTCTGAACACTACTTTTTCTAGTTGCCCTCAATGATCATCTTTCCTCTCTTCCTTCTGGCGTCTTCTCCACTCTGTCGACAATCTTACTCTTTGCTGTCAGGGTGATCGTTCGCCTCTCCTTCAATGACGGCTTCAACTTGCGATTGATGCAGTCTCTTTTTAGACCACCGGTCATGGCTTCAGGTTCTCTACGTCTAAGACGTGTACTATGACTTTTACTCGGAAGTGTCGTTCTTCGTCCTTCTTTGTCGCTTTGTTACCTACTTGTGTACAAGGATTCCGCTAAGCTTTTGGGGTTAATCTTTGACACTCGTTTGTCTTGGCCTCCCCATATCTCTTATGGCAGAGTTGAATGCTCTAAGGCCCTTACCCTCCTTCAGGTATTGTCCCATACTTTTTGGTGAGCAGATAGACGCACACTCCTTGCTTTATATTCCTTTCTCGTCCTGTCTAAACTAGATTATTGTTGCCCTGCTTACTCGTCCGCTTCTTCTACTCTTCGCCGTCTTGATGCTTTGCGTCATACTGGGTTGCGCCTCAGCTCTGATGCCTTTCGTTTGACTCCCGCCCTCTGCTTGTATGTTGGCACTGGCTTCCTATCTCTCCAGAACCACTGTGATCGCTACTGTCTTCGCTATCTTGTGCAGCCCTTGCAACGTCCTTCCTCTCACCTCTGTCGCGTTTTAACCTTTACTCCTCCTGTAGTTCCTGTTCCTTTTCACCACCTCCCTCTGTCTGGTTATTTCGCTTACAGGATTATTTCGGTTCATTTTTCTAATATTTATAGTGTTTCTTCCTTGCCTCTGTGGAGAGTCCCCCTTCCGAAGTATTGTACATCCTTAACTCGCATCACTAAAGCTTTTACCCCTCTTATGATTCTGAACGCCTTTTCCTTGAGCACTTTTCTTTGCACTCCCGCTCTGTTTCCATCTTCACCGATGGGTCTAGTCTGCGGACGGCTAGGCTACCGATTTCCTGACAGCACTTGTCGCCTAGCCACGGAGACTAGCATCTTCACAGCGGAACTTTATGCTATTCTCTCTGTTCTTCGTCTCCTGCTTTCTCGTTGTCAGTCTTCCTTTGTAGTTGTCGTAAACTCTCGTAGTCCCGCTCTTGGGTCCTTTAATCCGGGCCATCCAGTGGTTGTCGAGATTCGGTATTGGCTGTTTTAAATTTCCAGTAAATTTGCTTTGCTGGGTTTCCAGCCATATTGGGGTGTCTTTAAAAGAGCATGCGGATGGTGCTTCTAGGGAAGCTGTCCTCTTGTCCATATCCCGTAAAGATATTCCTTGTTCAGAGTTTTACCCAGTTATTCATTCCTTCACCCTTACCCGTTGGCAGGATTGTCGGTCTTCTGTTACCAGTAACAAACTGCGTACTCTTAAGAGCAGTGTCCTCATGGCTGTCCTCCTACAGCCATAACTGGCGATGGGAAACGGCTCTGGCGAGGTTGCGTATTGGCCATACATGCTTAACTCGCTCGCTTAATGGAGCGCCGCCCTGCTCCTTATTGTCCAAATTGCACTGTCCCTCTTAGTCTTGCATATCCATGTTGACTGTCCTGACTTCCAGGACAAGCACATCTTGTTTTCAGACCCTCAGTCGCTTGTCCCTCGATAGAATTTTTGGTGAATCGGATACTTTTGATATCATTCGCCTTGTGCGTTCCTGTTCTCGTATTGGCATCCTTGATATTTAGCGCCCTTTGATTATATCCGCTCATTTGATGGTACTACATAGCCTTCCCGGTTTGGTGACTTCTTTTGATAATTACTTGTTTACTTACCAGGCATTCCAAGCCCTTGTGTGAAAATTATATATATTTCCGGTCTTGGCTCTCGGTAGTTAGGAAGTAAAGACGGTCCAGCAAGATTACTTAACAGGTTAATCTCTGCCACTATCCTTAAGTGGCATGCCAGGGCAAGGGTCTCTTTTAATATTGAATAAAAAAAATTTAGGTCTATTTTTGTAAAAATTTTAAAAAATTTTTTATTTTTACTATTATATTCAGGACAGAGCCATGTTGCAGTTGCTGGACCACTGCGCCACCGTGGCATATGACTTCATTGAATGCGACACAGCTACTGTGGAACAAGTAGAAATATGCACCAGTCCTGACACTGCACTGAGCAAACAGTTCGTATCGCTTCATACTGGTGAGGTTCATCAAGCTGGGGACTCTGAAGAACACGGAGTGTATGTGGTAGTTGGGGAATACGACAAGTTGTCTAATAAAGACACTCATGATCCACGACCCACCGTGGAAGGGCAGTATGAGAAGCCAGCCATGGATTGGGATGTCAACGCATGGGTGCGGCCGGACACTGGAAATTGGGTGCAGTTCGGGATCATGCTTGATTGCTGCATGTCGTCTGACAATTCTTCAGATGTGCCTGGTGGGGCGGTGGGAGATCAGGGTGCGTTGAAGGCGGGTGCTCAGGCCACTGACGTCATCGAGTCGGTAGAGCTCGACTGTGGTATTGTGCTGCCATTTTAGGTCTACACTGCTATCCCACTTACCAGCATTGTCACCACAATGCTTCATCCTTTTGTCTGTAATTTAATTGTTGGGGATTTCACAAATGTAATAGTTTCATTCTAGTTTACACACTGGAATGACGTAGCAAGTGGATTTGTATAATTAAAATAAAACGGTGATTTAGTACAGTGTATAGGCCTGCAATGTAATATACGCCTATGTAGCACAGCTCGAAGGCTCTGGGAACACCCTTTCCTTACAGCTGTTAGGTACTGTCGATCAAATATTCAAACTCCTGCAGGAAGTTCCAAATTGTGATACTTACTTTCATGTGTCTGGGTTAGTTCTATTGCATCCATATTTGTTTATTATAACTATATTTATTTAGGAAAGTGTTAATAAGCTAATAGCATTAGCTTATGGATAAGCGTGTGGCAACAGCACTTAAAGCACTGTCATCTCCTTTATCACTATTAACGCATTATCACCAGCCTTTACTTAGCACCACCACAACTTTTTTTTTTACACCATAGCCGATGTCACCTTCAGTGACGTCATCGTTAATTATCAGCTGTTGGTCACACATCACCATCGCATCTGCTTTACAGCTGTTCTTGTATGTCCTTAAATTCATTCCTGCCTTTGAATCCCTCGCCATTGTCGCCCCTAACAATCACCTGTCAGGCGGGTCCCACAAACGGGCAAGTGACCATACCGAGCAATAAACATTTTAAGTCGCTATTAACATTTATGGCTACCATGAGGTAGCTCACTTTTAATATGTATTTTACACAATAAAAAACTATATTTTAATGTTATTATCCAAGATGTTAACCGTTTCCATTAAATGGGTAATACCTAGACTAAGTACTGAACTGGTATTTTTGACTGTACATCCTCATCAGTGTCTAGCCCGTAGTCTCCGTGATTGGGGGGGTGAGGGGGGGAGGCTTGGTGCCTGGATCCCCCTCCCTTTCTGGCCCGTTGTCGCCGTGAGGGGCTTGGTGGGCGGCTGCCGGAGTGTGATGCTCCATGGGTCAGTCCTCTGTCTTTTAGAGGCCTTATTCTCCGGCTGCTGTCTTTACCAATTTTGGCCAGAACTCTTTTCCTTTTCCTCGTTTCGTTTTTCTCTCCCCCCCCCCCCTCTCCTTCTCCTTTCTAATTGTCATTTCCTGCCGACCTTTTGCCCGTTTTGATTATTCTCTTGGACTTCTCAAACACCCGGGCGTCAAAATAGGAGGCATACTCTTACACCCGTAGAACTGTAGTACCCAACGTCGCAAGCGAGGGGAACCTTTTATTGTCAATCCTCCTTTCGTCATTGAACCCGATCTCGACAGACAGACGGTTCTTTAGGTGGCGATTGTGGGGCGTATTGACGCACCCCTAGGGGGCCCTGGCATGATCGGCGATAGCTTCTTGTTGGGTGTCCTGCCTCTAATTGTGGCTCCATGGTGGGTGTGGGGGCACATTCGTGAATGAAAGTTTTTCCTCGTTTTCATGGCTGATAATGTTTCCCTTGTTCCTTCTCAGGCTCGTGGGGTGGGCGACTAAGCCCCCCCGAGTCGGACTGTGTTGGAAGACCAGGCCCTGTAGCCCCTTGTAGCCTGACTTTTATTTGGAAGCGGGTCGTTCTTCGTCCCTCTGTCACTTTATGGTCATCCCCTTGAATACAAAGATTCCACGAAGCTTTTGGGGTTATTCTTTTGACACTCGTTTGTCTTGGTCGCCCCATGTCTCTTACCTCCGTGTTGAATGCTCTAAGGCCCTTAACCTACTTAAGGTTTTGTCCCATACTTCTTGGGGAGCGGATACACACACGCTTCTCTATTTGCATACCTCTCTCGTTCTGTCTAAACTCGATTATGGTTGCCCTGCATACTCTTCTGCTTCTCCTTCTACTCTTCGCAGTCTTGATCCTTTGCACCATACTGGGTTGCGCCTCGGCTCTGGTGCTTTTCGTTCAACTCCTACCCTTAGCTTGTACGCTGACACTGGCTTTGTCTCTCCAGGTCCGCCGTGATCGCTACAGTCTTCGCTATCTTGAGTGATTCTTACAGCATCCTCACTCTCGCCTCTATCGTGCTTTGACTTTTACCCCTCCTGCGGTTCCTGTTCCTCTTCACTGCCTCCCTCTTTGTCAGTTTGTCTCGCTTACAAGATTCTCTTTCGGTTCATATTACTAATGTTTCTCCTCGTATTGTTCCATCCGTGCCCCCGTGGAGGGTCCCCCTTCCCAAATTTTGTACTTCTCTGACCCGTATCACTAAAGCTTTTACCCCTTCTACAGTTCTGAAACGCCTCTTCCTTGAGCACTTTTCCTCTCGCTCCCACTCCGTTCCCATCTTCACCGATGGGTCTAAGTCTGCTGACGGTGTGGGCTACTGTTTTTCCTGACCACACTTGTGTCGCCTTCCTCCGGAGACTAGCATCTTCACAGCAGAACTTTATGCTATTCTCTATGCTCTTCGTCTCCTGCTTTCCCAGTCCATCCTCCTTTGTGGTGGTAGTTGACTCTCGTAGTGCCCTCATGGCGTTAGGGTCCTTTAATCCGGTCCACCCGGTGGTTGTAGAGATTCAACATTGGCTGTTTCTTATCTCCAGTAAATTTAAGTCGGTTGCATTTTGCTGGATTCCCAGCCATGTTGGTGTCTTCAAATGAGCGTGCGGATGCTGCCGCTAAGGAAGCTATCCGCGCTTGTCCCATCTCTCGTAAAAGTATTCCTTATTCCGACTTTTACCCAGTTATTCATGCCTCCATCCTTGCCCGCTGGCAGAGTTGTTGGTCTTCTGCTATTGGTAACAAACTGCGTACTCTTAAAGAGTCGTGTCCCAGTGGGCTTCCTCCTGCCACCGTAACTGGCGGTGGGAAACGGCTCTGGCTAGGTTACGTATTGGCCATTCCTGTTTAACTCGTGGTCACTTAATGGAGCGCCGCCCTGCTCCTTATTGTCCACATTGCATTGTCCCTCTTACGGTCGTGCATATCCTTGTTGAATGTCCTGACTTCCAGGACGAGCGTGTCTTGTTTTCCGACCGTCCCCCGCAGTCGCTTGTCCCTTGATAGAATTCTTGGCGACTCGGATACTTTTGATATCGTTCACCTTATGCGTTTCTCATATTGGCATCCTTGGTAATATTTAGCGCCCTCTGATTATCCCGCACATTTGATGGTGCTACATAGCCTTCCCGGTTTGGTGCCTTCTATTGATAATTACTTGCTTTTATTCACCTAGTTGTGCTTGCAGGGGTTGAGCTCTGCTCTTTTGGCCCGCCTCTCAACTGTTACTATTCACACCCCCCCCCCCCCCCCAGGAAGCAGCCCGTGACAGCTGACTCCCGGGTACCTATTTACTGCTAGGTAACAGGGGCATTAGGGTGAAAGAAACTCTGCCCATTGTTTCTCGCCGGCGCCCGGAATCTAACCAGGGACCACAGGATCACACGTCCAGCGTGCTGTACGCTCAGCCACCGGCCCCCCTGTGTGTGTGTACGTACTCACCTATTTGTGCCTGCAGGATCGAGCTTTAGCTATAGGACCCCGGCTGTGTGAGTGTTTAAGTGTGTGAATGAGAGATAAAACTAACATTTTCCCGTTCATAACTACCTTACCTTGAGGTTACCTTGAGGTGCTTCCGGGGCTTAGCGTCCCCGCGGCCCGGTCGTCGACCAGGCCTCCTGGTTGCCGGACTGATCAACCAGGCTGTTGGACGCGGCTGCTCGCAGCCTGACGTACGAGTTGGTTGGTTGACGTACGAGCCTGGTTGATCAATAAACTATAACTTGTAACTATAAAATGGTTACTCTATATATTCTTCTACTTAAAAGATTTTTTCCAGCCGCCTCTCCTCTTATCCTATCCATTTCTCGCGGCACTTAACAAAAACATAACCTTCCACCCGGAAGATAAACCAGCCTAATCCATTTTTAGGTCCATTTCCATTTAAATGACCAACTTTTCCATTAAGAGCGACGTTTTTCCTCAAGCGCCTTTCAAACAGGCATGGATTAATTTCCTCGGGCAGACGAGGGGGCCGCAGAGAGCCGTTCTTCTTCAGCAATAATGGCGTTTAATGACTGATTCCCCCTCCCCCTCTATCCCCCACCTTGAAGTTCATTTACTGATGTCCCTCCGGCATCCGTCCTTCCGCTCCCCTTCCCCCATTTCGTCCTCCCTTCCCCCTCATTTCCTAGTCGCCATATTGACGGTCTGATGGCATATTTGCTGGTTTCTAACTCGGATGAAAATAGTCGGGTGTTATAGGCTTCGAGCCCCAGTGTGTGATACTCGAGGTCAAAGATTATCCAGGTGTACGAGATCTTTGCTGAAAACTGGCGCTGTACACAGCACGAGCTTGGAAAGAGAATATTGAAGTTCTAATTCTAGTGTCTGAGACTTAAGATGATTTGTCTATTTTGGAGTCAGTTCAAATATTTGAAATGAAGATGAATTGGCTGAAGACACACTGTGTCTGAGAGATAGGCTGCAAACACGCGTCTTGGGGGGGTTATTGTGAGACTGAGCATTGGTGGTGTGGCTGTGGTGGTGTTGAAGGTCTTGTGGCCACTAGTATACAATATTACTGACGACTGACAATATATAAGGGATAAATGATATCGAATATCATAATGCTGCCATACTGGTTATTAGAGTATAACTATTTAATACCACGCAAAAAAAAACTTCCAAATTAACACAAATAAATGTAATTAGTAGTGTGGACCGAGTTGGCACAGTAAGAGTAGGTCAATTGAACGTTGATAAAGTTTCTTCACCGTGGAATAAACATCACTATTGTATACTGTGCTTACTGGGTGTATACTGTGCTCAGTGTGTATACTGTACTCGCTAGGTAATGACAGGAGGAGCCAAAGCGTCTCCTCCCAAGAACTAAAATTGTATAAACCCGCAATGCTGTTAAGCAGCACCAATTTAGTCAAAACATTTGTAAGGTTGCAGAGGTTGGGGCGAACTGCCGGCTTGGCTGTGATCTGACCAGGGGCACAGGGGCGGGAGGCCGGCCTCCCCCTAACACCCATCACCGCCAGAGAAGGGAGGCCGGCCGGCCTCCCCTTAACACCCATCACCGCCAGGGGAACGGGGGCGGGACGCCGGCCTCCCCCTAGCACCCATCACCGCCAGGGAACAAAGGACGGCTGTAATTGAATGGGGGAGCGAGATTCTTGTTTTTTTATTGCCGGGGGAGGGAAGTTATGGTGATATCTTTGGTCATGGGTGTCGTAGTGCCGTCAGTGATGGAGAGTAGTTGTGCTGGTGCTCATTATGACTTGATAGTTTAAGGTGTCGACGCAGCAGCTGTGGTGATAGCTGTCAGCGGATATATTGGCCAGGGGTTACCGTTGAAAGCTACAGTAGTGAGTCTTGTACAATGACCATCGGTTAGCTAGTCTTGAGGACGCTTGTTGGCTACCAGAAGATCATAATATTTACGTGATGTATCAATGGGAAAATCCTAACCCGTCCTCGACTCGTGTCCATTCCATCCAGCGGTCGACCCCACAGACGCATTCATAAATGTTTACATGCTGTTCATTCAAAACGGGGATTTTCTCAAATATAAATTAATATTATGATATATTAGCATATTGAGCATATATAGGCATAGGTTAGGTTAGGTGTTTAGATTCTCTTGGCGATTATTTGTAGTACGTGGGTTAAGCATTTACAGCGTTGTGGTTCGAACAAAAGTCGTCTGTGACGCACTTGTTCCGGAAGTGTCCGAACGTCAACAGTTAAGTCGTGTGTAAACCGTTTTTCATTCATGAACAGATTGTTTGGTGGCTGAATTAACGAGTTTTTGGCTTTTGTTAATGAGGACGAATTGCTATATACAATTCTCGACTGACT